CGGAGCTGCTGCAGGGCATGCCCGGCTTCACGGCCAACGGAGAGGCCAACGGAGCAGGAGACGGCAAGGAGGTGCGTTAGCCGGGGTCCCGGTAGGGGGCCAGCCTAGTCCGGGCGAAAACCGGAACCGCGTAATTTGGAGGCGCTATTGGTCCTGCTGAGCAGTCGGGCATCTCATTCTCGACCATCGCTGCTGTTTTGTTATGCAATGCTTGTCAAGGGTTTATTTTTGCTCCCGCCTCTCCTCCGTGCCTTAACGCTCACTCGTTTCAAGCCTGCTGATCCCCGCTCTGTACTTAATGTCCTGAATTTGTCATTTCCTAACTGTTCCGTGTCCTTGTTTCAGAACGGAGCTGGGAACGACACTAAGCAGGTCGGAGAGCCGGAGGTCAAGGTATGTCGACAGGACACAGCTGGGTCCATGGGGCTGACTAGGTGGCGTCTCCGTGAGACTCCACCCTAGCGTGTATTGCGAAGTGTTTTTTTTTTTTTTTCTGTGCGCCCCTGGTGTTCGACATTGTCTGTATCTGTCACTGTGTTGTTCCTGTGTCTGCCATTGTCTGTTGTCTGTAATGTCTGCGTCTGTCTGACTGTTGTCTGTCTGACTGTATCAGACTCTATTGTCTGTGTCTGACTGGTCGCTCTCTCTCTCTCTCCGTCCAGACAAACGGTGACCAGAGTCCGCCCGATGTGGCCGGCTCGGCCGAGAACAGCTGCGACGGCGCTGCGTCCACCTCCGCCGCCGAGCTCGACGAAAACACCAACGACTCGGTAAGAGCCCCGTGAGGGTGTGTGTATGCGTAGGGGAGGGTTCCGCTGCGTCCACCTCTGCGGCAGAGCTCGGTGAAAACACCAACGACTCGGTAAGGACCCCGTGTGTATATGTGGGGGGGGGAGGGGGAGATCGCGTCCACCTCTGCCGCCGAGCTGGACGAAAACACCAACGACTCGGTAAGAGCCCCGTGTGTATATGTGGGGGGGGGGGGGGAGGGGGGAGACCGCATCCACCTCTGCGGCAGAGCTCGGCGAAAAGACAAACGACTCGGTAAGAGCGCGTGACAGCTGGGGTGTAGTTAAGAGGTCTTAAAGGCTGAAACAGACTCTTTCCGCATTCAGGAAATCGCATGCGAGAGCCTGTTCAACTACATTATAGTTCTTCCCGCAGCAATCGCATCCGGGAGGTGCGTGCGATTGATGCGAGCGTGCTTCCATGTATTTGAATAGGCTCTCGCATGCGATTTCCTGACTGCGGAAAGAGTCTGTTTCAGGCATAAGAGGTCCACAGCCTCCTGCCGAGATCGACACAAAGTATGCGACTCGACAAAACTCTGTAAGTCTGTGGGCACTGCCCACAGCTGACGGTACCGACGGCTCCGGCCACATGAGACTACGCCTGATCCTCCAGGAAATTTCGCTTGTATCCTGCGTTTTATTGGGTTTTGCTTGAAATCGGTACACAGACCAAGACGCTCAGCCGATAGGAAATACACTGGATTGGCTACACCCACAGATCACTACTCACGCACATTGGAGATAATGTACGACACAGACCGATGTTCAGTCCAGGAAATACCGGATAGTCATGAGGATTGTTAGCACCGATATGAAGCTGCGAGTTCTGAACTTTTTAGCAGCATTTGCATGCCTGCGTGAGATAAAACAGCTGTTGGCTCACTTTGTGGCGTACCAGGTGAATCAAAGTTTATTTTACTTGTCATGTTTGATTGCCGAATATATTACAAAATGAATAGGTTAATTAGGAAAAAATGCGCGTCTACCGACGTAGCGCTCGCGCTCAAGATTCCTTTACTACTCTGTAGTAAAATGGTAGCGCTGGCTTTAACATATACGTTGTGGCTTTAACAGGAAAACTATTTATAGTTGTCTTGTAAGCAAGCGATAGTTCACGAAAGTTCCGTAAAACCGCAGAAACTGAGAAAGTCCCGGAAGCGCGGGAACCCTGATAAAACACAGACATACAAGCTAGGGCTGCTTATCCTTTAGTTCCCTCAGTTTGGTCGGGATGGCCTGAGCCATAGTCAGGCGGAATGGTGTTCACGGCGCCTTCCCTTGCCCTGACTGGACGCACGAGTGTCACATGTCACGCTGGCTGACCGTGATTCCGCGTGATTCCAGATTCCGTCAACAGAGGCGTCGTCGGGCATCGCTCCGTTCGAGGACTCCAACATGGGCGACGAGTCCAACTCCAACTTCTCCAACATTGGCGACGAATCAAACCCGGCCGACGACGGCATTCAGGTGGGTTGGACGGGCTGGGGAAGCACCAGTGGATGAATGTGTACGGGTGAATAGGGGCAGCAGTGGGTCGGTGAAGGTCAGGCTATGTTGTCACTTACTGTTAAACCCATATCTGTTGTGAAATGTTGAGCTTGTGCCACCGGGTTTATCTAAGAGTCGAATATGGTCTGAAGTTCGATTGAAACTTGTCAATTGAATCATTTGTCCTGACTGACTGACTGACTGACTCGATATTTTGGATCTCATCAGTTCCACTCGTGTAAAACTGACTGTCGTCGACTCTACCCCTCTGACCTCTCTCGTCCCCTCTGCCCTGCAGTCCGGAGCAGACGACTCAGCCTCGATGCCGCCCCCGGCCGCGCCCGCCGCCGAGGCCGGCGCCAACGGCACCGACGACCACCCGGCGCCCGCCGACGACACGCCGCCCGCCCCGGACGGCTCCGAGCTGAAGCGCCCCGCCGACGCCGACGCCGGCGCCGACGAGACGGCGGCCAAGCGCGCGCGGCCCGACGAGGGCCCGGCGGCGGCGGCCGAGACGGCGGCAGCGGGCGCCGAGTGAGCTCCGGCGCCGGCCGAGCGACAGACGGACACATACCACCCCACATAGTACACACCACATGCCAGGGACGCGCGCCGGGCGCCGGGCGCGCCGCTGGCCCCGGCCGGCGGCCCGCGCCCAGACGCGGCCATACGCGCGCTATTTTTATAGACATACCTCTGTGCCGGCGATCCCGCGACGCCCGTGGCGTGTCTGCGCCGCTCGTGGCGCGCGCGGCGACCTGTGTGTGTGCGTGAGACGATAGTGGCGCGCTGCGGCGGCGCGCGCGCGCGCTGTTGGAGGCGGAGCTGACAATGGCGGCGTTTGCTGCGCGTCTCGCCGCTGCTCGCCGCGGCTGCGGACCTCTCGTTGACACCGGCCTGTTCATTCCAGTGGGGGGTGCGCCTGCGCGCCGCCCCTGCTCTCTCGCACACAATACATTCTGCCGAGAGGAGCTCAGCGTTTGGGAGGACGGAGAGAGAGGATTGGAGGAGGAGCGGAGTGATGGTTAGCAGGGCGTTTGTGAAGGGGAAGATGTTTGAACAGCTTTTAGGAGCGCGAAGATACTGAGAGGATAGGCGTTTCTGGGTAGGGAAAGGCTAGGAGAAGTTGTCAGGGAGGCTTCCGAGGAGAGATGTTTGGAGGACGATCGTTTAGGTGCAGAGGCGTTTGGCTGATGATGGGGGCGGCTTCATGATGCGGATGACGGAAAAAAGTGCTGCTGTGTTTCTGGAGTGAAGGTGATACGAGTGATATTTTGACGTTTGTTTGCAATTGGACGGTATGATATGATGTATTTCCCCGGTACATTTGAACCGTTTAGGTATCTGGATCGTTCACATGCACCTTCCTGCCGTGCAAAGGCAAAAACCATTATTTCAGGTCAGAGGTCAATGAAGCACAATGGATTTACATTTTACGGGCAACTAAAGGCATAGTGCACATAGTTCAGTAGCAGTGCAACCGATTTCGACAGTTTGTCAGAGACAGACTATGTTGTACTGTCGAAATCGCCTGCACTATTACTGAAATGTGTGCACTGCCGCCTAAATTGGGTGTAAAAAGGTCTTCTTTTGCATACGCCATCCCAGGACCCCAAAGATTTCTTGTGTCGGCTTATTCAGTGACCTTGCTCTCAACGGATTGTTTTGTTCTTGGTTCTGTCTGTAGCTAATATTATCAGTAAATAAAAGATGCAACATCTTGTGGGGTAAGACCATGAGCACTTACAGCCGCCTTGTCATCCATAGAGTGTCTCGCGTCAACATACTTGGAGGTGCAATCAGTCTCAGATGCATCGTGTTACTCGTCTACATATGTATTCATTTTCATTCAGCTACACATACTGGGTAGTCATCAGACCTCACTTCCGCTAAGGCACATGCTTTGAGATAAGCGTTCTGCAATACAAATCATGGTATGCTCGTAAACATGGTATCAAATAGTTTCCTGGCTCGAACTGGCTGAGAAACGCCGAAAGCATGAACTCTGGGCACTGGCGCTGTTCAATTCAGACATCATTTCTGAAGCGGTAATGGTAATACGCTGGTGGGCTAGTTGTGGATTCACCACAATGTGCTGGATGGCACCATCACATTGTTCCCGACGAATAGCGGCCGATTTCATAAACGGACGTCAAATACGTACACCTTGTCGCAAACCCATAACCCTTATCAAATTGGCCGCACACAGACCCAGTGGCAACAAATCGAACAGCAATAGACGCAGAGAGTGCATCAAGCCTGGAACGACACGCAGTCAGCAACGTGAAGGCCAGACACACACGAGATTCCTACGGGAGGCCAGTCCCGTGTTTGTGGACATATCGCACCACGTTCATCACGATGCACTGGATCAAGTCGGCGAAGAGCAAGCGGCCCTGAACTGGTCGGAAATGGCACGATAGTTGTACCTTGAGTGGCGAGTCATGAATGTCCATGCTTTATCAACTTGTGCTTACAGTATCCTTACAACAAAGCGACTATGAAAAAAACTAACATGACACTTATGTGTCCGTACGGCGGGATAATGCATGGCACTGGGGCGAAGTTACATGCAGCGATTCGACAACACAACTTTTTACGTTTAAGTGCCAACCAACGTATCTGTATTGACGGATGTGAGGGAACGATTGTATCTTGTTACAAATGTATCTACTTGAACCAGAAAGAGGGCGAAAAACTGCTTATGTGGGAAAAATGGCGCGGGTCATCGAATCACTTTATGAAACCAAGCCCAAGTCGATAATACGGAATAACAGTTGGGTAACCATGGAATAACAATGGAATAACGTTCGGGTGCGGAATGTTGGGATCTCACGCCCTTAGCAAAGGCCTGATACAATTGCACATCCATCTAAAACACAACTGGCGGACTCACCAGGCCTTTCTACATGGTCACTGTGAGCCGCCGCTCCAAGCCATTCTAAATGCACAACAGCCCCACAGTCCACACGTTTCCCAAACCCAGTCCAAGACGATCTATGAGTCTGCCCCGGGACAGGCGGGGGAAGCTTGCCGGAATAAAGTTACAACTGTGTCGAGATTGCACCCTCGTTACCACTTGTGCTTACTTACAGCGGTGTCACAGCGTTTGTAACATCTGACTTCATCACATTACCGCTATTCAATGCTCTAAGTGCATGTTCTGAACTGACGAACTTTTCCGAATCTCCAACATGCTTTGCAATTGTAAAAACTTGCAGGCCTAACAGCCAATTTCCCTATGTTGACAGTAAAACTACTTGCACTTCTCCCTTTTGGGCGATGACGTAACTACAAAAAGATTAGTTCCAGTTAATGGGAATGACACGACAGCCTGGTTTTGAGCATTTTGTCACATCGCTCTCAAACATTCAGAATAGATGCCCATTTTAACTCTATCTTCCGCTCAATTGGTTCCCTACCCAGCTGCTCTCACTCAAGTCCACTCTCTTCCTCTCCTTCTCTTCCTTAGCCATCCCTCACTCCCTCTCTCTCTCTCTCTTCCTCTGCCGTCTCTCCCTCCCACTCTCCCGCTACTTCAGCCTCTGCAGGTAGGCACCGAACGCCCTCTGCGCGTACTCGCGGGCGGCGGCGGCCGGGTCCTCCGCCCGGGTGACGCCGCGGCCCACGATCACCACGTCGGCCCCTCTCTCCCCCACTGCTCTCTCCGGAGAACTGTACTGCTGGCCGTGGCCGTCGGCCGTGGAGACCAGGCTCACGCCGGGCGTCAGCACCAGGAACCGCGGGTCGGAGGTCACCGACGACTGCGCGATGAACCCGCAGGCAAAGTACGGGTGTGCCTCGGCCATCTTCACCACCGCTGTAAGATGGACGGAGGGGGGGGGGGGGGTCAGGGGGGACACGACACAGCCAGCGACGAAGACTGTACCACACATGGTCATAATTCTTCAGCTGAAATAGACCTACGAGGTAAAACATGTGGCAAAGGTGGACGCCACAATTGTAATACTATACGCGAAACGCTAAACACCGTATGATCAGCAAAGGTAAATTAAGAAAAAAAAATACTCAGAAGGCTGGACTTAGCAGAGACCGAGAGCATTGACAATTATGGATCACGACATTTCGAATGCTCAAATGTAAAACCACGTCAAATAATAAGCTGAATCGCGAACTGCAACCAAGCCGTTTTTCAAAGCCACACGGCAAACACACATTGTCACTCCACCAATCCATCAAAACATTACCCTCCCTCGCTCACCGGCGGTGTATGCGGGCTGGACCAGACACCCTTTGGAGGACATCTCGGCCACGAGCAGGGCGCCGCGCTCGGCGCCGGCGGCGCGGTCCGAGAGCGCCGTCAGCTGGCCGTCGCCTGGCAACGCGTGCACGGTGACCAGGTGCGCCCAGCTGCTGACGGAGAACAGACCAGAGGAGTACTGGTCGGCAGACGTGCTGCCGATATCGCCGTACTTCCTGGGAAGCGGGGCAGAGGGGTGAGAAACGCGAACAAAATCGACTTCTGATGGATGAGTGGGTGAGCTGGAGAGGGGCTGGGGAACGAGAGGGGAATGAGTCACAGCTGAAGAGTCGTTGGGCTCATAAGGCAGAAGGCGACAAGGCACTAAGGTCATTATGATCGCAGAGTGTCGGCGGCAAAGAATCCGTGCAGAGTGGAATAGCGAAAGCTAACAATACACACAAGCTTGAATCGGACTCGGTGGGTAAATGTAGATTGCAGATATCGCTTTCATCAAACCAGTTGCCAAAAAAGGTCCTCTTGAGCCGGTACTGATATCACCTTGCCGAAAAAAAAAAAATCCCTAAGGCGCCTGTGTTCGCCAAAGCCAACAACTCATACGAGTCCGACGTATCCTCAGTCCTCCCGGCAGTCTCACCTGTCCTCGCAGATGAGGAAGTTGTGTCGCTCAGCCAGCTCGGTCAGCTGTTTGGGAAACTCGGCCGTGAAGTCAGAGATCGAGTCCACGTGTGTCTTCAGCAGACAGATGTGAGGGCCCACCTGCGACACCAAGACTTTTGAGTAAAGGGAATCGGACTGTGAAAGCCGAGGAGTCGATCCGTGGTGAAACATCACGTACGCATCTTTGAATTTGACAGCTGTACTGAATACAGCTTCACATGATTGAATAACAAATAACTGACCACACGAACCAAATATATAACTACTGCGGTGAAATATTATTTAAAAAAAGAAACAGCGTAACTAAATGGGCGATGACTCACTCAAGTATAAATATTTAATCTAATTAAGGCATCACGAGACTGAAAGCATTGTAACTGAGAATAACACGGAACAAAAATGAGAATGATAGGTAAATCACGCAAAAACAGCGACGTAGGCACTCGTTTCACCCATCCCTCCACCGTCGTTCTGACCTTGTCAGACAGCTGCAGTACGTCCCGCGCCGTGCTCAGGTCGGCGGCCACACACAGATTGGTGCGCTTCTCCTCCATGAGTCGGAGGAGGCGGCGCACCAGCGGCTGCGAGGTGGTGGCCACCCGGTCACCGAACGACATCGAGAGGCGGCCCACAGACTCCTTATCAGGGGCGCCGTCTGTATAAAGATAGGGGTCAGGTCAGATCAGAGCGACATAGAGAGGCGGCCCACAGACTCCTCCGAGCACCCGTCTGTGTGTATGGGGGAGGGGGGAGGTGCGGGCAGCTCAGGTCCGTCTGGTCATATAAGCCGAAATATGAAAGTATCCGCATAATCATCTAGTATCTACATTAAACAGCGAGCAGCCTGATCAATCTGATAAAAATAATTGAAGACTGGAGCAAATCGTGATTGGAGAGTGAAGCAATACAATGACTTCACGAAAGAAAGAAAAAAAAACAATCATTTACACAACCATCTCTGTCATCTCTAGCATCTCTATCATCACTACCACACAATCATCTCTGCACCATGGGCTAATCTCTCTCAATAGTCCATGCCCGCGCAAATAGCATCGTTAGCAGATCTCGTCGAGAATCGAGCTCAAGACCATTCCCCTATCTGTATAAAGGACCAAGACCATATCTATCTGTATAAAGGCAGCGCTACTGTACCGACCTGCGGGCTGTTTCCTGATGATGGTCTCCTGGCTCTCCTTCAGGAACCTGTTCACAGAGTCCACATGCTCCTCAGTGATCTTCTTGTTACGCAGCAGGATCTTCAGCATCTGGAGATAGACAGGCGACGAGTTACACATATGATTTACAAAAATGAAGAAACGCCCATTGTCATTGCTTACGAATTCGCTTAGGATAGGCATGGGTTTCTGACGCCGAAGTCGACAGGTGCATCCTGCCTTATTCCTGCCGCACTTGAGACCACATTGATGTTCAATCCGAGTTCCGACCATGCCCTGAATCTGACCCGTCTCAAACACGAAACACTACCTCTGCAATCTGCATCTAGTTAGCTGCATCCCCTGGCCTTCCTCCACCCCTCAGTCACAACACATCGCTCGTCCTGCCGTCCCTAGAACCATCAGACATCCAATCAGCTCGACCCCAATACCCAACTGACACTAACGACAGTCCATCCAACCAAAGCTCTCCCCCTACCCCCCCCCCCCCCCCACCCAGACCCTCCCTACACTTACCGATTCCATGTCGCACACCGATTTAATGGTGACTCCCAGGTTCTTGAGGTTGTTGGTGGCGCCCTGCTGTCTGTCCATGAACACCACGGCGTGGGTAACCTCCAGGCCACAGCCGCGCAGCGACTGGCGGGGAGAAGAGAGGTCAGGGCAGGTCAACACAGGCCCTGGGCAGGTCAGGGCAGCGCAGGGCAGGTCAGGCCCATTGCATCACTACGTGACGTCATCCGCCACTGTATATTTGAGTACGCAGCAGTTTAAGAGCTTAGAAAGGGTACAAACAGAGCACTGTCCCTATGTTTCGACACTACGGTATGGCATTAGTTGTGTTTATGCAAGATTCAGTTTATGTTCGAGTGTCAATGACTATTTCGTCATTTTGAAGGGAGCTCTAATGAATGACCAAACTCATCTGGATGATTTTATGCCGGGCAATGCGTACCAATTAAATAGTTAAACTACTCACTTTTTCTGTTTTCGCTCTAACTGTTGTATTCCGTTATAAAGAAAAGGGATAAAAAGAGGCATATTGTGGCTAACTAGAAAAAAAAACGTTGAAGCAATACTTCCCCATTACAACAGATAAGCAAAATGACCTCGAGCGTCAGTGACTAACCCTCACACCTGCCTCTCCGGATCGGCGGCCACCCCCACCAGAGAGCGGGTGGTGAAGGGAAAATCCCGTATGACTTCACCGTCTCCGGGGTGGCCGTTTGAGCGGCAGGGCAGGCGGTCCCCATGGGACATTCCCGAGCCACAAAACAAACAAAACACAAAACTAACAAAACAAACGAAATGACCAACTCTCCACGGCGGTGTAAAACCACCATAGCCAGACAGACTCAACACAGCGGAGCTAGGACCCCCAAAGCCTGACCGAGTTTCTCACACGGCGGAGCTAGAACCCCCAAGACCTGACCAAATTTCTCACCACGGCGGTATGAAACCACCACAGTCTGCTCGACTCACCACGGCCGTCTCATAGACGCTGGAGCCGCTGACAATGACGTCTTCGATGATGAAGCAGTTGTCGCCCTCCTTGAAGTGGCCCTCGATGAGCCTCTTGGTGCCGTAGGACTTCTCCTCCTTCCTTCTGATCAGCATCGGCAGCTTCTGCGGGCGCCAGGAGGGCGGCACCGTCAGGATCGGGACGGTCAAAACGCAGATGTGGAGTGGGGGGATAGGTAAGGTTGTTGGTGCAGATGAGGCGTCTAAGCTGCATGGCCTCGTGGCTTTACACTATTCAGCTCAGAAAATAAAGAGAAAATAGAGCGATTACGAATAAGTGCTTCATTACACTTCACCCGTGCTCTCAAGCATCACCTCCCACTCTGGAAGGTGCATTTTTAATTAATTCAATTAATGACTGAGGGACGTATGGCACTCTGACACTGGAGAAATCGACCTATGCGGTCACCTAGTAACCAACCCTCTCCGCTCCCTCGGCAGACTTCAGGCCTCAGGCGTCAAACATCAGAAGCCCTTACCAGCGCTATGAACCTGCGCTATCTATTGAAATCCAACACCGCCGCCGACTTGTGTACTACCCAGTAGGTAGTATTCCAGCGGTCAGACCAGACGCTGCCCTCTTTACCCCTCTCCCCGCCCCTCTGGCCCGCATTCTACCCCTCCCCCCGCCCCACTGACCCCACTCTGTTCCCCTCTCCCCGCCCCACTGACCCCCTCTGCCGCTCTGCAGACCGCAGCGTAACCTGAGACCCGGGCTGTGCAGCCAACACGGAGTGGCCGGCGTGTTCGACTCCGATACAATGCAAGCAGTGACTCCGAGAGGGTTGAGGTGCAATGCTATAATGCCCAATGTCCTATGCCCATTGCCCTTGGACTAGGGAGATGTTACGAGCACTTACTGGGGTGAGGCGGCACAGATAACACTGATGAGGGCCGAGGGGTGATCAAAACCGGTGCCATGTATGTCCTGTTTGGATTGTAGGGAGGCAGAGTCGAGTTTTACACCACCCCATGGTCAAAGACGATGGTGAAAGTGGTGCAGAGGCCTATCATTTATCATGGAACTATACTTCCGGGGATATTGATGTGAACGAAATAACTGCTGACGTCACATCGAATGCATTATCATTCGAAACAAGTGGCGCATTGGCACACTTGCGGAAACCGTAACCTCCCACTTTCCAAACGTAAGTAAACGTAAACGTTCCAAACGTAAGTCGTAACATTCAACAAACGACGACGTAAATCCACTTTCGAGCAGCTCCCGCATTCCACCGGACATCCATACAAGGTCGTTCGCCATTCAAACAAGTTCCCTCATTCGACGCGTGTCGTAACGTAACCGCGGATACGTCGACCGTGCCACCTCGGCACGTGCTGTGCCCCTGTTCAAGGTCACGCGTCAGGTCACCGAGGTGTGTTGCCAGGCGGCCGGACAGTCTCAAAGTGATAGCGATCGCGTGGTGTGGGGCCCTCGGTAACTGATGTCTGGATTTGGGCGAGTTCGGCCTAGGACGCAACGGTGGGATGCATTAGATGTGTATTGTGTATTGGCAGTAGATGTGGAGTGTAGATGACACAGGAGGTTGCATTCCAAAAAAGTGTCTTATTCTCGGAAATCTAACAAACACGTGTCACAAAAAATATATCCTAAAAAGGTAAAATTGGCCACCGAGAAAACCTTCCATGCGACCTCACATCCGCCACCCCGATTGGTCACGTTCATCAAACCCTTGCATGATGCAACTACCCAACCCAGTGCCTCCCCATTCGTGTCTGTGCATAATGGGTGCTTCCTGTGCAGTCTAGGTACGAGTGACAGGGACAACGAGGCGCAATGGCCGGTCATTGGCTGGATAAGGTATGTCAATGACAAGATCCTGCACATTGCACAATGCACATGGGGCCACTGGCGGGACGGAAAACCGGGCTAAGATACGGGATTACGCGACTGTATGTACAGTCTGTCTTAAAAGTACCGCGCAAAGTAACGGTGGATCCATCAAGCCTGACCGAGGAAGGGCGTGCTAAATTTGTGTCACCGAAGCAATTCAAATTCTCGTCCATTCCCCAGGTCAATTGGTTCGGTGACTTTCAAATTATAGCAGGCCCTTCCTCGGTCAGGCTTGATGGATCCACCGTCACTTTGCGCGGTACTTTTAAGACAGACTGTACTTCTCCGGATAATCCTCGCGTGGCTGAACTCAATTCCACGTCATTTTTGCAGGTCTTAGCAAACTTCCCATGTAGGAACGGCACATGATCCCACAAATACGATCAAATACGCTGATCAAACACAATTATAAATGAATTTGGGCTGCATCATAACGACACAGACGGCACCAGATCTAGTTAGTGGGAGCCTTGGTTCGAGTCTCTCCGGCGCTCCATGAATGAGACTCCTGACAGCTTCTGATGGCATGGTCTGCACCCCTGCAGTTGGTGGGAGCACAGTGTATGGTGGGAGCAGCAGCTGGTGAACTTATATATGAAACAAGCCATATCTGAGCGTGTGGGCTATCGACGGCTACGTACAGAACGGGAAAGAGAACTCGTGAGTGACTACATGAACAAACTCCAAATCACGTGTTTCATGACCGGTACACTGACACGCTCCAGGCCAGAGCGTGTCGAAATACCTCCGGAGAGTGCCACTGCCGTCCCCTTACACACGTCATCGCGGGGTCTGGCACTGGCCCCTGGCCGTCTGCACAGTATCATACAGCGGCTACTGGCGCGCGGACCCCGGAGCCGTTTGTATAAACCGATCAATTCATTTCAAACGCATTCCAGTTGGGTGCAAAGTACAAAGTACAAAGAGCACTCTCGGGCGCGGGAAAAGACGGGAGGAGTTCCTATCCACGCCATGGTAAGGGGCGTCGTTACGCCACGTACTCCCAAATCCCAAGGATTCATAGATTTCGCAAGCCCGAAATACATTATTGTCGCAAATATTAAGAAGTTAATCCTACATAATGTTGAGTATCCATGACAGATTGGATAATGATGTAAATAATAAACCAATTAGTACAAATATATTAGATTTTATCTAATATATTTGTACTAATTAGTAATTGGTTTATTATTTACATCATTATCTAACCCTACATAACTTGACTTTAGCCGGACCTATCGCTATTTCGCCATGCGGGACCATACAGGGCGAGTGAAGACCGCTCCCTCACAGTTCATCGCAAATTTAGCTAGATCGCCGCGGAAAAAAAAAACAAAGTACGCACCGTTACAAGACACGGCGATTGGTGACCGATTTTAAGGTCCCAAGTGAACGTTACCTCTGAGTTCAGTTACCCCTACCCCCACCCCCATTCGAGTGGTGTCATCCCCCTTTTTGGTGAGGGATTTTCCAGTCTGATACCCAAGGCCAAATACAACTTTGTGACACTGCTGGAAAGGCAATCTTGGCTTCATTCCAAATAAAATGTGATCATTAGTCAGTGTAAGGTTAGTTTAGTTACAAAGATCATGATATTTAGGTATAGCCATTGGCACTGACTAATATGAGCTTCCCTCAGCATACCTGACAATCACCTCTGCCCATAGTACCTATGCCCAGCCCAGGGTATTTGAGTGGCCCAGCCTACCTGTTTGGTGGCTACTATGGTGGCCATAGGCAGGGCAGTGTATGGCACTCCACACACCGAGGTGAACTGGGCGTCCTTGGGGCGGCACTCCCACAGCAGGTCAGCCACATCCTCCTGTGAAAGAGTGTAGCTTAATCATAATGAGGATATAATGTACCAGAAAAAACCTGCAGAATGACAACCTAGCTGAGCATAGTCAATTTTATTACCTTTATGTGAATTTCCTACAAGATAATTTGGACATTAAATGCAGGCAGAGGTGCCAAGGTTTAAGCTCAGTGACTATAAATAGGCTTACCATCAACTCAGGGTAGCTGACTACTACCCTGAGGTCAAAGTATATGGGGGAGACCAGTCCACTCTTCAGAGTGAACTGTCCAAACTTGACTCCCTGCACATCAAACAGCCTCAAAATCACATCCTCCAGCCTCTTCTCAAATGACATCTTGATGCTGAGACAATGCCTGAAAAATGGGGAGTCAGATAATTCAATTTAAACTTTGCAATTCATGTCAGAAAACACTTCTGGACCATGCAAAATGACTGATTTCAGAATAGCTTCAGCATATTCAACTTTCAGAATAGGCATCAAGTAAGACTCCCAATTGAAGAGAGCTTGTCATGTCTAAAGAGGCAAATCCAAATGTCAAAAAATGTATCACAAATTAGGTAGAGAGCTACTACGATACCGTAGAGCAAAGCAATAATGAAGACATCACACGATTCACGATATCACGAACACTCCCAAGCATATAAAAGAATTGTGTCTCAACAAATGGCCTCGAACCTCCACATCAACATGCGTGGCCGACCTGTAATGTCAAATAAATAAATCCACCGAGCCGAGTGCCTCCCGCAGCAGCACCCAAGGCCATCTATAGAGCAGCACCTCCCCTCACCAGCGCTAGGAGTCAAATGACTTGCCGGGTGGTCAAATGAGTCCGCCCAGTTCGCCGTGCTGATAAAATTGTCCTATTCAAAATCAGTCGACGATCAGTCATCTTGTACTCATCGAATGAATAGCTAAGCTGTAATTGGCGGAGAAGTTGAAAGAAGGGCGCCGATTGGTTCTTTAGTGAGTCGATCTGCTTGCGCAAGCGCGGCGAAAGCAACGCGAATGGCGTGCTGTCAACCCCACGGAACGCAAGGACTTCCATATCCCTCATCCTTTCCGAACCACGTGTCAAGCGGCTGGCGTGTTGGTGAAAGGTAAGCGTTTTCTCCAAGGTTTCCTCAGTTTTTTTTTTAATTATATTGTTCTTAGGAAATTGATTTCTCTTGCAGATAACCCACATTAGTTGTTGTGTCAAACTTTCAATACCGTTGGTATGTTATTCGGATTTATTTCGGTGTGTTACGTGCTCCAGAAGGTTAGGTTGAGGTGGGTTATCTTCGTATTTCAAACATTTCCCCGGCCAATTTAGATGATGAATTATGATATCCAACTCTTAAGCATTCATGATGCTATTCATTTCTCTGACCAGTTACTGTATGATTTGTTTTTGTTTAATCGTTCTTTGATGGTAACCCTCCTATACTTAAATTATGTTTCAGGTTCTTCTGTCTTGTCTCGGACCTGCTGCAGCCCAATTCAAAGGCAGGTTTGCTGCTAAATACCAATTGATATGGGAGTTCTCTGGGTTCCTAATTGTGTCCCAACACCCATCTTCGTTTTATGTTTGATACTTTATAAGTATGTGAAGAATCATTGACCTTTTCCTCGAAGAAGTAAAAACAATGCCAGAAGCGATATTTAAATGTAAAAAGTTTTAAAAGTTTTATTCAAATATAAATGTAACTTTTGGCATTGTTTTTACTTCTTTGAGGAAAAGGTCAATGATTCTTCACATGCTTATTCTGGCTATGTTCATCCCTAAAGCACTTCACACCATTACTTTGATACTTTATGATGGATATTTCAATTTTCAGGTTGACTATGCCATATGCTGACAAAGAAAAAGACACACTGTATCAGCATCAGACTGCAACACTTGGGTGCACATTGGCAACCAAATAACCACAGGTTGTTTGAAATAGACAAACACTATTTGTTAGAATTGTATTGTTCGATGTTCATGGAATTTTGTGACATAACTTGTATGGTATGGCCCACTGACAGCTTGTGGGCTTCATCCGGATTCCTGCCCATGTAAATAAAAAATGTGTTGCCCACTAAACACTAGATTTAGTAATTCAGTGTTGCTCTTCCCAGCCACCTTAGTATTTACTGATTGACTCTGCTTTCTGTGATGAACTACGATATCCAACTCAGAGCATTCATGATGCCATTCATTTTTCTGAGCCAGCGTCTTACCCCGGCCGATTTATTTACAAGTTCGTGGTGTCTCACTTTTGTCTATTATTTCAGGTCCAGTGCTGATTTGGGTTTCTTTGGACTGACGTGAGGCTAAGGCAAGTCATTTTTGCATTCATGTTTTGCTGTTATGTTTGACTGGCAACGACAGTTTGACTAGGTTTATCAGACTAATTTCGACTGTCTTCACTCACCCTCAGCACCCATATGCCTTGCTGGCCACGTTTTTTTACGACCATAGAAACCCTACAATTACATACATCCTACATGGTTACATGCCTTTCATTCACTAGATCTTGGTTAGCATTTGTTTCTGTAAATGCCATTCCTCCATTCAACGCGCCGGTCAGCGATTGATCACATGATGAATATCGATATCCAACTCGGAAAGTTGTGACGACCGCTCATGATCTGATCTTGATGTCGCTGAAAATTGTTTTGTTTTCAAGATTTATCGACTTACAGCCGTTTTGTTCTGTTTCCAGGATCGCTGTTGGGCTTTTTCACGTTGTCGAATATCAATTTCGACGCCTTTGGTAAGCATTTTGCACCGCTGTTCGTTTTATCCTGCTGTTATATTTCCTATCATGGGAAGTCATTCAAGCTGATAATTAATTTCCGTGATGAACTAAGATATCCAACTCTGAGCAGGCATGATGCCACCACTTATGCTGATCCACTTATGTCTGATTGGATCATATTTTAATCCTGTTGCACCATTGTTGATTTCGTCCGTTTTCTTTTGTTCCAGATAGTATATACAGCTTTGACTGTATCTTCGCCCCCTACAAAGCTACGGCAAGTACCTTTTATAAGCTCCTCGCTTGCCTATGATCAATTTTAGTTTGTTTTCTCTACTAGTCCATAGGTTGCCGTGAATGACTTATTCTCGCTCGAGCATTTGCTTGATGCGATTTTGTCAGTCTCCTGTCCCGGCGATATTTTGCTGTGAAAGGGATATGCTAACTTGGGACTGGGAGCGTAACAATGAACTGATGATTATCGATATCCAACTCGGAGAAGTCATGACGCTAACACACCCACTGATCTAGCTTCTCCTTGTTGCTATTTGTCTGCGCTCGATGGCGGTGACTGCAATTTTGTGCTCTTTTTTTCCTTGGCAGGCGACCTCCGAGCCGCTGTCTGCGGGTGGATAGCAGCAGAGGACGCGCAACTAGACGCCATTGGTAAGTTGTTGGGTAGAGGACGCGTGGGACGTGTTAGATGATCTCTCCCCAACCCGGTCCTATGTCTCGTGCAATTTCGAGGTCGTCCGAAATCTAACAACTTCAACACCTAACCACTTATCCATTTCACCCTATGTAAATAGAAGTTGTTTCTTCCCCTCATCTTTCACATTTGTATTTTGTCTCTTCTCCTTTGCCTTCCGTCTTCCCCTGCCTCCCTCCCTGATTAATATGCAGTGAGTGATCGAACCCCTTCTCCATCCCCGTCTAGGTATCCCGGGCCGACACGCTATGGACGAGGACGGGGAGCCGGGTCCTCCGGCGCCGGAGCAGGAGGACGCGCCCATGGAGGACGCTGAGGAGGACAGAGAGGAGGAGGACACGCCCGCCGGGCCCTCGGAGGTGTTCCTCCCCGGTCGGCAGCTCGAGGAGGACGAGGAGCTCGTGGTCGACGAGTCGGCCTACGTCATGTTCCACCAGGCGCACACCGGTGAGGGCGCGGGATCGATTCCTGGCGGTGACAGGAGTTTTGAATTTCGATTTCGCACAAATTTTATTGTAGGAGGGAGGACTCGAGTTGTTATTTTCATTGCCAGGGGCGGCGGATTCGGGGGGGGCAGGGGGGGCAGCTGCCCCCCCTGGCAAAATCGTGGGGGGGCAAAAGTATCTTTTTGCCCCCCATAATTTGTGACAAAGCTTAGACAAGAAACCATATACCTGATTATTCTGTTCGATCATCTGAAGATGTAACCAGATGCCCACATACTTTCATACGTTGCCTTTCTTAAATGGCAAGCGTTCGCGTTCAATTGAAGTTTTCCTCTCTTCAACCTAGTTTTGGAGGAATTATAAGCGTCAACGTGACGCAGCGGCAACCCAGGCCTTCAGTGACCGCTTACAGGGGCGACAGATACGGGGTGGCAAGGGAGGCATCGTCCCCTAACAAACTTTTGGAGGAGGGGCAAACGTATATTCTTGCCCCTCCATAGTTTGTGCCCTAAACATGAGGAAAATTCCCATAACCTGATATTGCAGCTATGCGCTCCTACAGTTTGTCCAACGGTGCCTTTTGAATATGTGTAAATGCTAACCATTTCCACTTTATATCATTTTTTTGTCTTCTTAGATTCGATTTAGAAATATTTTAAGTGAGCAAGAGACGCAACTCATACCTTCAGTGGTCGTTTGCCGCTATTTTGTACCTACATACCTAAATGCCAAATCGCAAGCGAGCGGAGACGGAAGGGCTAGCCATTCGCTTGCGGGTAGTTAGTCCTGATGAGCGCTCATAATAAGCCACTCCCGTGATTTTTTTCAAGCGCAACAGTTTCCAGCGCATAAAATGGTAAACGCCGAGGTCGTACATATTGACCACATTGACCAATGCACGGTATGGTATGGCACCCAAAGGCCAGTCATCAGAGATCTGCTTTGGGCATTCGGAGGCTTGTTTGGGGCCAGTGTTAAAACTGGATGTTCAAAGTTCAGTATACGCTTTATTTCAGTTGCCACTATCAAAAAAGTAAAACTTAATTATGGAAGTTTTTGAGGGTTAGGGCACTGATCATTAGTGCCCCCCCCCCCCCTCTGTCTAAAGGCTGGCTATAGAATAAAGAGCATCAAACACGAACAGTAGCGGCGGAACACCTTCAATTAAGGGGGGGGGGGCACTGCCGACTTTTGGTCCCATTCTTTCCATGCAACGCCCATAGGGCTAACGTTAAAATGCCAAAATCAAAGGGGGGGGCACGGTGCCCCGGTGCCCTCCCTGTTCCGCCGCCTATGAACACGAAAGCAAAATCTAAGGCATTTTGGAAAAATGAGTATGCCCCACAGCGTCCGATAACTACCACCTTCCAGTGGGTCAAGCCAACAGGGCCCAAGTCTATAATGGCACTTAACGATAGCACTGACCTTGTCTCACTTTTCGTTGAAGTCTGTTCCGAATGGTTTCGGCCACAGACTGGCTGCACTGAGGTCGTTTGGTATGTGCAACTGTAATTAAAGCCACCTGAGGCGCCCTGACACCAGGCTGAAGCTGGGTTGGAAATGCTTCGTCTTTGCAGATATCACTGGCCACTGATTCTCGAGTGCCTGAACCGGCAGATGTCGTGGCAAAATTTGGTGTGATAATATGGACCTTACCGCAGTCAGCACACCCTAAAGCCCTAATAAGGAAACGCCCCACCCAGAGCTTCTGGATTCTCGTTCCAGTCCACCGTTCCTTCACCTCAGCCCGCCGCCGCGCTCCCTCACCCTCCGTTCCCAGCTTGACGAGCGTTTGGGCCCTAGTTAAGCCTTGCTGTAGGCTTACTGTATAAACGCATCGAGAGTTCGAGACAGTCCGTCTCGGTGAGCTTATTTGGCGAACTACTGCCTGGGGGAGGGTTTCTGGCGGATCGCTGTCCCAATAGGTTAAGATGCGACCGACTGTCTCTGAATGTTTGAGCGGTCTCCTCCCGCTGTGAGCTAGTTTCAGTTGATATCTGTCTCAGAAATACTTTTTAAAGGAAGGTTAAACGGAAATCGAACGTAAAATGAACAGACGAAATGATAACGAGTTACCTCATTGCAAAGAATAGCGCTCGCCTACTTCAAAAGGTTTGGCACCGTTCTTCAACATCTGATATGCGATCGGGTTATGGCACAATTTTTCCCATTGGAGCTTTTTTTTCTAATACAGCAATACGAAAAGCGTTACATCGTCCACTGGCGGATCCAGGGAGCGGGCATTTAAAGCAAATATTTACTCCCCCTCCCCCTGGCCCCTGCATCGCCCGAAATAGACAAAACGTACCTTATGTTTCCTAATAATAACACTTGTATTAGGATTTTTTTTGCTTTATGCTGTTCAGCAGTAAGTCCGTAACGAATCGAAATCCGAGGAGTTTTTGGATTTTGGACACTTTTTTGGGGGGGGGTATGTCCCCTACAGCGTCAAAAACGGCATTTCTGGATCCGCCTATGACATCATTTCGACTGGGATCTTGCCCCCCCCACGCCAAAATCGAATCCGCCGCCACTGTTCATTGCTCAACATTTTTGTCAACTGTGTTCAGCTTTCACAGGCCTAATTTGTCCGGTTAGGTACAATAAAAGAAGCCAACCTGCCAACGCGTCGACAGCATGTATTTTTTTTGTGAAGCGAATTCTGAAAATGTGTCGTCCTTTTTTGACGTTACTTTCGTTATGTATTGTGTGATGAACTACGATATCCAACTCTGAGAGCATTCATGATGCCAACCTTTGTTCTGATTGTCTCATCGTCCATGTTCCGTCTCACTGTGAAGCTCCCCACCTGACTTCTCCCCCCCCCCCCCATCCCCCGCTCTGACCGCCAGGGGACCCGTGTCTGAGTTTTGACGTGGTCCGCGACCGTCTGGGCGATAACCGCACAGAGTACCCGCTGACCATGTACATGGTGGCCGGCACGCAGGCCGACAAGGCGCACAAAAACTCCGTCATCGTCATGAAGGTCATTTGAGCGGTCAGACGTCGATTTTTTATGTCAATGAGCCAAGAACTTTGGACAGAAATTGTTTTTTTATTCACTTAGCCTGCTTCATGTAGCTTCAGTTGAAAGAAAATACGATGAAAAACTAAGTGTTTTTGTTACTCTACATGATGCTCGATATCCAATTCTCACAAGCCATGAGGACCACCTCTCTCAGACTGCTGCCTGTCGCCCCCGCCACCTATCGGCCGATTCCCGCACTTCAACCTCGCGCCCGTCCGGCAGATGTCCAATATCCAGCGGAACAAGAAGTCCAAGGAGAAGGATTCGGATGACGAGGAGAGTGACGAGAGCGACGAGGAGGAGGAGGATCTGCCGGATCTGGAGACGGCCACCATGAAACACCACGGCTGCGTCAACCGGATACGGGTGAGTGACATGCGCCGCTGCGGTATGAACGGCCTCAAATTTGGCGTTATGTTACGGGAGCATTCATTCAAATGCATTGATGTGGGAGCCTTGAGGCGATCGCTCGTGCATTGCGGTGGTACCTAGACATGAGCCGTCTTCAGTTCAGAGTGAATCCACGCCGCGCATTGAGTCATTCTCTTCTGAGGTTATCCATTATGTTTGATGCTCTCTCTCGTTGTTTCATAGCAAGATGTATATTTCAGTTTATATCTGTGCTGCCAGTGCCCTTCCACTTCTGTCAATATAGCGTCACACATGCATCCAGATTTGTGCAATTATTTCCCTTCCTCCCCCCACAATAACTCCCCCGTCCCTCTCCACAGGCCACCACCATCCAGGACACTCCGCTCGCGGCTACCTGGTCAGAGACTGGCAGCGTGCACGTCTGGAGCCTGGCGCGACCGCTGGCCGCCGTCGACGACCCCATGGTGGCCTCGGCCTACGCCCGGGACAGCGAGGACAAGAAGGCCAAGCCGCTGTTCACCTTCAAGGGACACCAGCAGGAGGGCTTCGCCATGGACTGGTCGCCACTCAAAGCCGGTGAGTGGAGCTGGAGGCCGGCGTCTAGCCAGTGATGTTAGAGCACCTCACTTTCCCCTACTACCTCCCGGCCTCCTATAGCAGTGTTTTCATCGCAATCTTAATTAGGAGGGTTTCACCCAACCTGTAAGAAGTTTTTCACAGTCAAGCCCTGGAATTTTACAGATGTCTGTTTTTCCGTTGATGATTTTCCACCGTTCAAGACATGGAAACAAAATGTTATTTTTCAGCTGAATGCATGTACTTGTTTTTGTCGGGCGACATAATGCTACCAATATGTTCGTCATTGTTCGCTGTTCACCCAGTATGTGGTATACATCCGTCCGACCCTTATGTCACCGCTCCCCCCCCCCCACCCCCACCCCCCCCCCCCCACCCCACTCCCCCTCCTCTGAACGCCCCGTTGCGGCTCGTCAGGCGTGCTGGCCACGGGCGACTGCGGCCGCCACATCCACGTGTGGCAGCCGGCCGAGGGCGGCACGTGGCACGTGGACCAGCGACCCTACTCGGCGCACAAGGGCTCCGTGGAGGACATCCAGTGGTCGCCCTCCGAGCCCACCGTCTTCGCGTCGTGCTCCGTCGATAAAAGGTCCGTGCAGACGGGAGGAGAGACGGGTTGGAGAAGAGGTGGAAATAGTCGAAAAACAGTTGATAAGCTGAGGTGTGTAGAAGGTGGGAGTATTATACGCAGATCAGAGAATACTGACATTGAAGTAGAACTGAGGACTTAGAGTCTAGGGGCTATAGCATTGCGGGGATAAGGTTATAGCAGTGCTAACATTACACCTCTTGTCTCAGCAGCTGCATTGATATTGTTACTTTCCTGCTCTTTTTACTGATTTTACATCTTTTCTTGACCTGAGCCGCGTCGATTTGACCCACCCCTGTCCGCAGTATTCGTATCTGGGACAGCCGCGCGGCGCCGGCCAAGGCGTGCATGCTGCAGGTGACGGACGCGCACGACAGCGACGTGAACGTGATCAGTTGGAACCGGACCGACCCGTTCATCGTCAGCGGCGGCGACGACGGCAAACTCTGTGTCTGGGACCTCCGGTCGCTGCAGGTGGGTGACGCGTGATATAATTACTTTTCCAGGTTCGCTCGAGATAACAACGTTGGCGTGATTTGAATCGAGAACCTAGGAAGTGCACTAAACGTTGAAGAATGCGTGTCAATAACCCGTACTAAATACAATGACTTGGTAGCAATAAAGAACAAAACACGTGACTTTTGGTTGAATAGTTGAATACCAGATGCCTGTTTAATCTACTAAACTCTAAAACCCGACCACTGTTTGACTCTTCCCTTCCTGTGGTCGAGTAAGCCGGTGGCGCTGTTCAAACCCTCCCTGACCAATGCCTCCCTACGTATCTGACCAATGTCTCTCCCTCTAACCAAAACTGCTCTCCTCAGTACGGCAGGTCGGTGGCGCTATTTAAACACTCATTGACCAATGTCTCCCCCGCAGTCTGGTAAGCCGGTGGCGCTGTTCAAGCACCACTCGGCTCCAGTGACCACGGTCGAGTGGCACCCGTCGGACAGCACAGTGTTTGCGTCCGGCGGCGCGGACGATCAGGTGGTCCAGTGGGACCTGGCCGTGGAGCGGGACGATGAGGCGGCCGCAGAGGGGGCCGCAGAGGGGGCAGAGGAGGATCAAAAACTGAACGTGAGTGGGAGCGGGAGGGATTCAGGGAAAGACATGGAAGCAGAGGGGACCGACGCTGAAGACGCCAAACTGACTGAGTCACATAGGGAGTCTGATAGGTGAGGAATGGCGCAAGAGGGAGTGATTTCAAGTTTTTTTCCCTGCTTCTGGCTAAAAGCTATAACATCGATAGAGTTTTTCTTGCATTACTTAGCTTCGAAGGGATCGAAGCTAAGTATCGACTGAGATTGTTGATGTGCATTTTAAAAAAGTCATCGCCGCAGTCCGGGCGCCCTGAACCCCAAATCATCACCATTATGCTTCTAAAACTGATTATGTATGCTTTTTTGCCCTTTTATTGTAAGATGTTCCTATTGTGTAGTGTGTACATTTATCGCGTACTGTAATCGTACGCGTGTGGTCCGATCGTATCTCTTCACCTCTCCGTCCCCCTCTGTGCCATCAGGAGCTGCCGCCACAGCTGCTGTTCATACACCAGGGTCAGGAGGACGTCAAGGAACTGCACTGGCACCCGCAGGCGACCGGCTGTCTGCTCTCCACAGCCCACAGCGGCTTCAACGTGTTCAGGACCATCAGCGTATGAACGTGCTGTCTGCTGTCCATGGCTCACAATGGGTTCAACATGTTCAGCACCATCGGCGTCTGAGACTCTGGATGTGCGCGCTGTCGGAGACTCAGACAGACACCGGAGTGTCGTTTTCCAACGGCAGCGCGATGCCTCGGTAGGGCCCGTTGCTTTGCCTCTGCTCAGATGGACGACGAATGACGTGGTGTCTTGTTGACGGCGTGAAAGAGCTGGTGGATATTTTTGGATGTTAGAGAGGTTACTGAGGCACTAAGACGCGTTACTGAGTTCTGTGGCAGTGGACGTTAGTTGTTTGTGTCGCATCTGATTTCATCGGATGCATTGCAGTAACGTGTGAGATCGCTCCACTGTGTTTATGATGTTGATGTGTCGATGTATTTCTGCAAAGGCGTCAAAACTAAAAGTCGCGAATTGTTGCTGTATGCGTGGGTTTCGATTTAGGCATCGAGTGGGGAGGGTGCGTCGTGTGTGGGTTTTGAGTTGGTAGGTGTGAGAAATGAGCATTGGCTGGAATTTGATGATCGCTGCCAGCTCTGTGTTGTACCGTGGGTTGTATGACGGAGGGATCTGCAGTGTAACCCTGTGGGGTTTATCTCGTGCTTTTGTGAGCGTTTCGGTTGACTGCCATTGACAGGTGTATGATACGACACACTTATGACTGTAACGAATGCTGCCTTTTTAAACGAGTCCAACTGAGGAAATAAAATGAAATGAGTGCTAAGATTTTGTTTTTCGACATAAGGGAGGCAAATTTGTAAGTGTGGAGCGACAGAAAAGCACAAACATGCATGGCATCCTGCGGTCCCATAGAAACGGGCTTTGGGAAATATCGAAAACGGCCGGGGTGTGATGTGTTTCAGCTTGCCTTCGTACACGAAATGTGGAGCAGTCAACGCGTTAGGGAATCGCTCATGATATTGCCAAGCTTACGTAATGTCTCTACTTTCTAGCCCGAGTATGCACCAGCATCGGCGAGATGTCGCTCGCCCAGTCGATGATTCGGTGCGACTCGCCCCGTCGGACAGCGATATTTACCCGCCCCGTCGGCATCTATTCGCGTCGGGACCGACGCAGCAACTCGGGACCGGGAAGCGACCGACGGCGCCTATTTATAGGAGGGTCGCAGATGCAGCCGTCCTCCCGGCCGGGCTGCCTGTCGGGCCCCTCGGGCGGTCACGTGTACCCAACGGTGGCAGTGGGGGCGGCAGACCCGCGGAGGGAAGATGCTCCAGGCGTGAGGGTTTCCGTGAGCACTGTCGTGAGGTGAGTGTCGCAATCTGAAGAGACCGGGTCAGGAAGTTGACGAGATGTAGCTAAAACGAGTGGTGGCCTGAAGGGAACGCAGACCTCCAAAGCAGCTGATCGTTTGGCAGGTAAATATGTCCGGGTCAGGGCGCAAACCTCCCGGGTTGGCCGTGTTGTTTGTTGCTGTTGCATGCCCTGTGACAACACATGCCATGAGCGATAAATTATTATTATCTGAGCGAGTACACCAGTGGAACGAACTATAATATCGCTTAGATTACCGCCCTTGCTGTACCATGGTCCGAAGTATTGCATAACACGGCGCTACGGGACTGATTTGGCGGAGCTCCAAGGTAACGTCGCATTGGCTCCAGCATTGAGGCCCTCTGTTTCGAAAGGCGTAAATATAGCGAAGTGTTAACAATAACAGAGGTGCTGACTGCTGCGAGGCCTGATTTACCATTCGAGAATGTCGATTTCTAGTGGAACGTGACCCTTCATGGTCGTTTTGCACTCCGTTTCAGCTCTGGGAGCCGTTGGAAGACATCGGCAGCGATACAAGTCTCCACCTAGGACATCTCATCTCACATGCTAAGGAAGGAATACTCATCCAAACGATCTGCCGGCAGAAGAAATCCATCTGCCATAGCGCGAAGGCAATTCAGAACCGGTTCCAAAGGCGGTCAGCAACGGTCGGGCTTCAGCGAGAATCTCGGGAATTTAGTCGTTCAGTGTTGTCGCATCACCGTACTGACGCGAATAGAACGGCGTAAAATCTCCTGGCATCTCCATTCGTTTTAGATCCAGCATAGCCGGTGGTATACAAGGCTGAGGAGAGAAGCATTTCGACGTCACCAGTGCCAGCCGCCAACGTCAACTCTAGCTGCGACCGGCAAGTGCTGGCCTTGAGCAGTGCGACCAAACTACTTCCGACGGGCTCTCAACATTGTCTCCCTCGGCCCCCTCCCATCCCCCGTTCCCTCCTCTCCCCCCCCCCCCCCCCCTCCCCTCCCGCCGCCATGTCTGCGGCCCAGCCGCTGCCGCCGGCCGCCCCGCCTCGCCCGGGTCCCTGTGACCTGCGATTGGCCATCTGTAGTCAGGACGTGCGCGCCGTGCAGGCTCTGCTGGCGGCCGGCGCCGACCCGTCGCTGGCCCACCGACACCGCACGCCACTCTCCTGGGCGCTGCAGGCCGGCCGGGCGGAGATCGTGGCCGCCCTGCTCTCCGCCGGCGCAGACGCCAACGGGCGCAGCAGTGACGCCCTCGAGCGGGTCGAGCCGCCGCTCATTACCGCCATCCGTCTGGGCCAGGAGGCGAGCTTCGCGGCGCTGCTGACCGCCGGTGCCGAGCTGGACGGCGAGGATTTCTACGGCCACACGCCGCTGTGGACGGCCGTCTGGCACCGGCAGCTCAGCATGGCCTTCCAGCTGGTGGCGGCCGGCGCGCCGGTGGCGGCCGACTCGTGGCAGCAGTGCCCGCTGTACCTCTCTGCGCGGCAGCCGTGCGCCGGCTGGCGGCGGCTCGCCCTGCTGGTCACCCTGCTCGGCGCCTCCGTCAGTCTGCGGGACGGCGAGCGGCGCTCGGCGCTCTGGTGGGCGTTTCACTGGGGCGACCAGCGGCTGGCGCGGGCGCTCCTAGCGCGCGGCGCCCGCCTGCCGGAGGGCTGTCCGCCCCTGGAGGAGGTTCCTGCGGAGTTCCTCAGGCAGATCAGCGGGCCACGCTCGCCCCCACCGCTGCTGGAGCTCTGCCGGGCCCGGGTGCGCGCCCTGGTGGGAGTCACCGGGCGCCGGCTGCCCTGCCGGCTGTCTCGCCTGCCGCTGCCCGATGTGCTGATTGCCTATCTGCAGATGAAGGAGTTTAGTGAGGAGGCCACAGCGGCGGAGCGGTGGGAGGGCTGAGGGGAGGAGAGAGCGGTGGGAGGAAAGGGGAAAGAGCCGTGGGAGCGACGGCACCGGGAGGGAAATGGCAGGGACTTTGTGACGCACTAATACTGTCGACGCATTGCAGAACTAACGACCAACGGGAAAAGGCAGTAAAAAGGCAGAGGAAGGCGGTAGCAATGACTTGCAGTAACTCAGTGGCATCATTTCCTCAGAGGGCTCGAGACGTTCTATCAAATGATATTGTATTTGCGTGATATTTGTTTTGTGTACGTGACTCAGCAAGTTATATGACGTGCTACAGAGGATGTGAAACGCCCTAACCAGAGAGGTGCTGCACATTAAACGCGCTCAGGCATTATAACACGCGTAAGCTGCAATGACGGATTGTCATAGACTATAATCCGTTGAATCAGTGACGATTCAGGATAAGATCGTAGTTATTTTGATACAAGTTTGTATCATCCGTTGAATACATCATTATATTTGTAATGTGTTTTTGAAATCCATGTCGAGTGGTTCGTCTCCACGGACTTTTTTATAACCTCTGGCGACTTGGATTATGGAATCTTGATTGTTTCACAAAATGTCATCGGAACTTCAGTGAGCTCGGTGAGAAGCTTTCGATGATAAAAAATGTGCCAAAATTTGATTTGCCGAGGTGAACTCAATACACATGAAACGGCGCTTTTTAATGTACCTAAGCCGAGGTGATTTGTACGGTTTTATGTTCGTACGACATGCATAATAAAATGCGAGGTACTTTTCTCGAATGTCCCCGGACTTCAGACAGAAAAGCAAATACACCTACAGACACTTGCTTTCACCGCCACTCGTCTGGGAAATTTTAGCTGAAATCACTGTACCGGCCTTTTCGACTTTTCGCTTGGGAAAATTTTCGCGCAACGTTCAAAATCTCACTGAGCAATAAATCTTATTAAGAAAAACGCATGGAAAAGTTACTAATGAATGGATTCACCTAAGCCCTCCTGTTTTATAGCGGTAAACAAATTACCAGAGAAGTGCAACGAATCCACCTTTACCTGTCGCGTCGGATAGGATGTCATTTAGTCAGGATTCATTAAATTCACCGCCTCAGTCTGCTAGCGCCACTTCAAACGAACGTCAGGATCAAAATTTATCCGGGTCGCCATCCCAATCACCCCTGGAAGAATCGGCTGAAGCTTCCACCCCAGGAAACCCTGCGACGTCCAGCAATGCTTCCCTCAACGCCAGCAGCAGGCAGAGCATCGCGGCTCGATCGTCACAAACTCTACAGAAAAGATCATCGCGAATATCACAGAAAAGCAGCACTGGAGTCGGACTGGCAAAGTCCTCATCAAGAGGTCCCATGTCATCGTCAAGCTTAGCCAAAACTTCGTCCAGAGGGCCCACGTCCACATCAAGTGTTGCAAGAAGTTCTCCAAGGGGATCGACATCCAGCCTGGCCAGAACTCCCTCGGGTCCCACATCGACATCGAGTATGGCCAGGACGCAGTCTCGGGGCTCCAGTTCGGGTCTCGCCAGGGGCTCCTCCAAGGGCCCGATGACGGTGACGAGTTCGTCCGCAGCGCGAACCGCAGCGGGCTCTCAGCACGCCGGCGAGTTGGACGACTTCGGCGCCGCCTCCGCCACAAACACCGCCTCAGGTAACGAAGCTTCCAGCGCTGATGCCACCGATGACGGAGGCTTTGGTGGGGCGGACAATACCGACCCTGCTGACACCTCTGACGCCGGGAGGTCACCTGGCGAGCTGACCCCGGTCCCAAGCGACGGAGAGGGCATCACCGCCTCCGCCACCGCCTCAGGTCAGCTGACTCCAGTCGCCAGCCAATCAGGACCCGGGGCTGCGAGTGTCAGCCAATCAGCGCTCGAGTCTGACGCCCTGCCATCGCCTCGAGCCTCAGGTCAGCTCTCTCAAACGGGATCCGTACTCGGTGCGTCCCCATCACAAAAGATATCTCAGACAGGATCAAAGACAAGCGCTCCGCTGTCACGGACGTCGAGAACGGGCTCGATTGCCAACGTCACCCCTTCCCAGACGTCCAGAGCTGGATCGAGAGTAGACGCCTCGCCGTCTCAGGCATCGAGGACAGGATCTAAAGTCGGTGTGTCAACTTCTCAGACATCAAAGACCGGATCAAGGGTGGGCGTATCTTCATCACAGCGGCTCGCCCAGACCGGCTCGCGCGTGGCAGCTTCTTCGTCTTCAGAGGCCGAGCCTCTGGACAACACTGGCTCCGTCGCCGGCATGACGTCACAATCCCGTGTGACGTCACGCGCCTCAATGACGTCACGTTCCAGGGCATCAAGGAGCGACCTCCCCGGCTCGCGAGCTTCTATAGCAGCCAGTGGCACGGCAGTAGCTGAGTCAACTCCCGGTCTCACAGCGTCTGTTGCAGGCTTAGACTCGGGCGCAGGGATGTCGGAGAGCGACCGCGCAGAGACGGAGGCCAGCGCAGTGAGCTCGCCACATCCTTCACAGACTGGCGTCACGATGTCTTCAGCTTCAGCAGAGCGAACCACGTCAGCGGAGGGAGCGGCGGCCTACGACAGCGGACTGGAACCGGCCAGCGACGAACAGGCGGCGTCGGAAAGTCAAAGTGGAGAGGTGGCACCGCGTGCCAGCGGGGTGACTAGTGGTGTAGCAAGTGGTGTAGCTAGTGGTGTAACCAGTGGTGTTACCAGTGGTGTAGCTAGTGGTGTAGCTAGCGGTGTAGCAAGCGGTGTAGCAAGTGGTGTAACTAGCGGTGTAACAAGTGGTGTAACTAGTGATGCAGCATCACCCTCCGGCAGCGGGCGAGCATCCCCCGCCCGCAGTGGTCAGCTATCCACTACTCCCAGCGGCCCAGCCTCTCTTTCCGGCAGTGTGGCAGCCCTGAGCGACGCCTCAGCGTGCCCGCCTGAGGAGCCGACTCTCAACGGCGAGACGGAGGCGTCCGCTCGCGCCAGCCGAGAGTCGGCAGTGAGCGCCAGTAGCGGGGACTTCCTCGGCGACTCGTCTGCCGTGCTGAGCGGGGCAGAGTCGACCCACGAGCGGCCGGCGGCGCCCGACAGCGGCCTGTGGCTGCAGAGCGAGACAGACGGAACGGGAGGTCAGGAGACCGAGGTGGAACGGGAGGAGACCGAGGTGGAACGGGAGGAGACCGAGGTGGAGCGGGAGGAGACGGAGCGAGAGGAGACCGAGGTGGAACGGGAGGAGACGGAGCGGGAGGAGGAAGAACCGCAGTCGGCGGTGGAGGAAAACCAACATGAGGAAGACGAGAGGGAAGTGGAGGAGGAGGAACCAGCACAACAATGGAGAAGAGAGGAAGAGGTGGAAATGAGGCATGACGATGACGACAAGCAATATGATGAAGAGGAAGACGAACGGCAATGGCAGGAGGAAGAGAAGGTGACATCCCGCCAGAGCGTCACCATCCGGCGCTCCAGCGGCGGGGGTCGCCGCCGTTCCTCCGCGTCCTCCTCCTCGCGGCGCCTGTCCTCGTCCTCGTCCACAGGCCGGCGCCCGTCCTCCTTAGCGGCCGCGCACTCCTCGGCCAGTGTCTGGGACGAGGCCGAGAAGCTGTGGTCCTCGCCGCCCTCCAGCGGCCGAGTGCCGCCGCCTTGCGCCAAACCGCCCAAAATCACCACCGTCGTGCGCCCCGGCTGCTCGACCTACCACGCCGCGTGTCGGCAGGAGACCTGGGATCAGTTCGGGAAGCGTGGCGGCAAACGCCACTGCTGCGTGGACCCGCCGCTACAGCTGCGGGGGAAGCAGATCCCCATAGAGCACGCCAAGAAGGGCTGCATCTGCGCGGCCATCGAGATGTACGCCACCCGTCCGCCGGTGATCAAGCCACTGATCGGTCCCACCGCGCAGAAATACCCGCAGAGGAAACCCAAGGTGCAGAAGCCGGTAAGCGGCGGCGGCTGCGCTCCGCCGGCCACCCGAAACCGCAGGAAGCAGCCGCCGAAGAAGACAAAGAAGCTGAAGAAGCGGGAGCAGAAGTTGGAGGAGGAGCGGCAGCGACTGATCCAGGAGAGCGAGCGGCTGGAGGAGGAGCGTCTGACGCTGGAGGAGGAGCGGGAGTGTCTGGAGCAGGAGCGGCGGCGGGTGGAGGCGCTGGCAAAGGAGAGCCACTCGGGCACGATGGCCGTCTCGGAGCTTTCCGAGAGTGAGTTCCGCCGGCGCGAGGACGCTCGGCAGGCGGACGCCGAGCACAGCCGCATGGCCAAGCAGAGTCAGAAGATCACCGAGTCGTGGCAGCAGCTGCAGGAGCGCATCTCTCGCCAGGAGATGGAGGACCGACGGGTGGCCAGTCAGATGGAAACCCTCCAGAAGGAGCGGCGGGAGTCACTGAGACGGGAGGAGGAGGAGCGGGAGCGACTAGAGAGGATCGAGTCGCAGATCGCCGAGGAAAAGAGAGCTGTCGAGGAGGACAGGAAGAGACTCGAGGAGGAGATGAAGAGTAGAGAGAGTTTACGAGCTATGGAACAAGAGGAGGAACAAACCGCCGGGGAGAGCGAAGGTCAGAGCGAGCCTGGCGAGGAGCACGACGACTTCTTCGCGGGAGAAACCGAGGATGAGTTGGTGGTAACCGATGGTGAAAACCACGAGCGAGGAGAGTCGACCGCCGCAGAGAGCGCTGACGAGAACCAGGAGGGTACAGAGAACGAAGAGCCGTCAGCAACCATCGACGAAGAGGATGAATCATTACCAGCAACTGAGGCTGAGGATAAATCATTAGCAGCAACGGAAGGAGAGGGAGAATCCCTGCTCACGACAGAAGGGGAGGAGCAAACGGAAGAAGAGGGACAGACGGAGGAAGAACAGCCTACTGACGGGGACGAGCCTTCTGAGTCTGCACCCGCAGCGGACAGCGCCGAGCCAGACGAATTCGAGCCAACTCCTGCGGCAACTGACGCCGAGGAGGACGCCATTCCTCCATCAGAGGCCGAGGCTGACGCCGACGGACCGACTGAGACCGAGGACGAGACGCTGCCGCCCACAGAGACCGAAGACGAGCCTCAGCCATCTGATGCAGAGGCAACGGCCGGCAGTCGCACAACGCTGACCGGTGACGAAGAACAGCCACCAGTAGATGAACCAGAGCCAGCAGAACCGACAGATGAGCCCACAGAGGAGCCCGCAGAGGCCAGCGGCCAGGGTACGCCTCGTGCCGGCTCGGCGGGCAGCGCGGATGGTGAGGGCAGCACCTCTCCGCCGGCTGAGGCCACAGATGTTGAACCCGAAGAGACTCCAGCGGCCACAGACGGGGAGGAGACGACAGACGCCGGTGCTGGAGAGGACGCCGCCCCGTCTGATACCGCTGCCGACGCAGAGGAAGCAAACGCTGCAGCGGAAAGCTCACACGCACCAGAGGAGGGCGGCGCGTTGGCCTCTGCACCCGAATCCACCCACCAACCCACGGAGTCCACAGAGGGTCCCGGAGCAGCCAGCGAGTCCCAGATGAGCCCACACGGATCTCAGGTCGAGACCACGGCGTCTATTGATAAGGACGAACTGGATGTGGGCTGGACGGCGCCCACGGCGGGCGCCAGTTACGCGCGGGGAAGTGATGCCCAGCTCTCCATAGTGGCCGAGTCCTCACTGGAAGATACCGGGGTAGGCATTGGAGGAGCAGACGCGTCCGTGGATAAACTGGAAACGGTTCACGAAGGAGAGAAAACGGGAGAAGAAGACAACACGGAAGGAGAGAGAACTGAAGACGAGAGAACAGAGGAGGTGGAAAAGACAGACGGAGAGGACGGAGGAGGAGGAGGAACAGAGACAGAGGAAGAGGCTGGAAACACATCGGAGGTGGAACAACAAGAGGCTCCTGGTGGGGAGACATCAGAGCTGGACGGAGACGCAACGGTAGGCGAGACGACAGCGGAGACAGTCGCGCCTGAAGCTGAAATAGGTGAACAGGAGACAACGGAGGAGACACAAGACACACAAGAGACAACGGAAGAGTTACAAGAGACAGCAGAGGAGGCGCAGGAGACGATAGAGGAGACACAAGTGACAACAGAGACAACGGAAGAGGCACAGGAGACAGCAGATCACGACGGAGAGGCGGAGGCGGTGGCTGGAGGCGCCGACGGAGGCGAATCGGAGACGGTGCTGGCAGTTCATGAGCCCGCGGACGAGACTGGGGGAGACGCACCAGAAACCGAGGGAGACGCCCCTGGCACTGAAGGAGACGTCACTGAGACAGAGGGGGACGCGCCGGAGACCGAGGGAGACGCTCCGGAGACCGAGGGGGAGGTCTCCGCCCCCACTGGGGAAGATCCTGGAACCGAGGACGACTTCTTCTAAGCAGCACGATTTTAACGGTTCAACACTGCCATATTGGTTAATTTGTAAATCGGCGCGATCGGGAAAATACTGTAAGAGAATGCTTTCAATATACACTGGATACAAAAACAATATATTGTTTACAGCTGTAGACACAGATGCACAAAGTCACGAGTGCTTGCGGATAGAATTACTATCGATGCTTTCTGGCAGGAATGCGCCGTCCATACATGGAAGAAGTGTCCTTGTCGTTTAGGCCAATAGCACATTGAACTATGTCGAGTAAAACCACTACTAACTATGCATGACAAAACAGCGAGCAAACACTGCAGTGGACACATAACTAGAGATCAGTCACCATACACACACTCCTCCAAAAGCAGCCTCGGATCCTCCATCTAGCCGGCTAGCTGAAGACGTCTGGACAGTTACCCATTGAAGCTCAGCTATGTATCCAGTTGGTGGGAAGGAAATGGAAGAGACTGTGACACATTGCGGTACTGAACGAGCCATGATCACAGCGTACCCACTACGCTGCGAATTCCAATTAACTACATGACGAATACACCACTACAACAAAACAGTTTATGATAGAAATCACTACCTTTGATAAAAGTACACATGGAGGAAAGTGAGTTTGGTTCCCACAAAATGGACCGAATACGCATCATAGGTGTGTTGCAGAAAAAGTGGTCCTCATCTACCCGGGAAAAGGCGTTGGAAAAGGAGTTGGCCAAAGGCCAGTTGGGAAGGAAAACACAGTAAGCACATTAACCAGTAACTTAAACGTCTTTTCCTCGTGACATGTTGGTGATACTCTGAATCACGCAGGATGAGACACAAGGCAAGATAAATAACAGTCCGATACTAAAACGTTATCCATAATTGCCAATGAATATTGGAAATATCCGCATTCACTCATAACATCAGTATTCAAGATCACATACATCGTGCACGATAATGTGTCACATATTCGTACGATACTCTCACAAACGAACAACACACGTAGTATCGTGGACAGCACTCCCCGAGTTCCCTGACAGAAACTCCTCGAGTCAATGACTAGCTCGGGTGTAGTCGGCACTCGGCACTACCAGCGGCAGTTTAATATTATAGATCTTTTGCTACCCCACAGAGAAAAGAGGTAGCGCCAGACACCCAATATGGCCTGCTGTCCACGGACGTCGCGCCATGTGGTAGGAAAAAAGCTAACAAACTTTAAGTGCAGTTATTAAGGTGGTGAAACTATTAACTAAGAAATATAGTAGCTCTTCGTTGGACGGTTTATCGTGAATACCCCAGGTCCCCATAACTGCTGTATCTCTCTATGTACGACATTCGAATTAATCAAATTACTGTGTAGTACGTAGGTAGTAGGTAGACATCGGTGTCGTTCTGTATAAACTTGGTAGGGCCCGAGCACTCCCAATAATTTAGAATTTTAGCATTAACGATTACATGGCGCTGCATGGTAAGAATGGCTTTGGTATCCTAAAATTAGCCATTAGAGCCCTACCAATGAATTTCGGAAAGTGACGACCGTGGGTTTAGTTGGTAGGAGGTAGAGTTGAAAATGTTGCCGGATTCAAAATAAAATATTCGCAACATTGAAAAGATGTACCTACGCGTAACACCATCGCTTCCCAAATTCGATAACAATCGCGTTCATCAGCAGTAAAACCCTCAGCCAAAGAACCTTAAGTTCCTGTTCCCACTTCGTCTCCCCGTTCCCGACCTTCGATAAAGTATCAGCTCTCACCGGGACTCGAACCGTCGTCCCCGGCGTGTCCGTACCACTCTCACATGTAGAGTTTGAGCTGTGCCTGCATGTCGTCGAGCGAGGGCGAGCCGAACTTGTCGCTGTTCTTCTGCATCAGCTCCATGATGGCAGTCATCTGGTCACGCTCCACCCTGTGGAATACCGGACCGGGTGTCAGGTGCGTGTCAGGTGGGTGTCAGAAGTAGTGCTCCATGATGGCAGTCATCTGGTCCCGCTCCACCCTGTGACACACAACACGGGTGTCAGGAGGGTGTCAGGTGTGCCAGGTGGGTGTCAGAAGTGTAACATGTGGGTGTCAAAGATAGGTGTAAGAAGTGTCACTCAGAAGTGTTGGAACAGTGCTCCATAATGACAGTCATCTGGTCCAGGCTGTTCCACTCTGTGGCGAACGCACCGGGTGTGTCCACGTCAGGTAGGTGTCAGATGGGTACCAGAAGTGTCAGGTGTGTCAGACGGATTCCAAGAGGGTGTCGACTGTATCAAGTGTTGACCGTTCCGTCATTTCCATCCTCAGGACAGTTAAACCCTTCTCCTCCACACCTCAAACCCCTGCTCCGTGCTGAACGGGCAACTTTATCCCATGCAGGAAAGCCTGTAACAGCACGCCCGTAGCCGGGTGCGGTGAGTGCTTGAGGGGGGGGGGGGGGAGGTGCTCGGCCTGTCCATTCGGACGGGCTCAGCCGCGGCGACTCACCAGGGCGCTCGCCCAGACCAATGTCTCCCCCTAATTCCTATAATCGTTCCGGCTCAGTCTGAAATGTTTTCAGACCGAAGGAAGGTGTCTAACCCCCCAAAATCAAGTGTCAGATTTGACGGATAAAATGTCAGGTGCTGAGAAGAGTATCGAGTTCGTGTTGGTTGAGTTGGATACGTTCACGATGATGACACGATGGCACGTTCACGATGACATGCACTGTCAGGTCTCCGCCATATTGTGACATGAGCTATCGATACGATAATGGGTACCTATGCGGTAATGGATATGTCATTGCCCTGACACGCTAATGGGTATGTCAGGACAAAAAGACTGTCGAGTCGCATTAACAGTACATTAGGATGTCCCAAAGCTGGATTCCAACATCGCATCCCTCCCCCTACCCCTCTCCCCTCAGTCCCTCTGTCCAGACCAGCCCCTCCCCCTCTCCCTCTCTCTCCCTCCCGTTACTCACTGTCGCTCTCTGCGCCGCTGCTCCTCAGTCATATCGCTCTGCAGTTTCTGCCGGATGTGTCTGAGCTCGGCCTGCTTCATCCTGGCCGGCAGGTGGTGGGCCATCTCCACCAGGTCGGGAACCCCTCCTCCGCCCTCCTCTGAGGAACCCAACTCCTCCTCCTCCTCAGGAGGGGGAGGAGGGACCGCGGCGGCGTCAGCGCTGGCCGAGTCGGCGTCATCAGAGGCGTCATCGGCGTCATCGGCGGCGGCGGGGCTGCAGCAACTGGTCTTTGTCGGAGAGCGAGTCTGTGTGAGGAGCAGAGGGGAAGGTGGGGAGAGTCAGGACGTGAGAGCAAAATGTTGCAGGCAATAGCGCGACAAATAGAACGGTTGGAGTAAAGCCTAAAGGTGTAACGAGTTTTAAATTTAATATCATTTAATATTCATAAACATATATTGAAATTACACAATCACTTAAACGTGAAAAGTATCATCACAAAAAATGTATAAATGGCCTTTGGGGGGCAAAACATCGAGTAACAACTTAATATTGTGCACGCATCCCATAGGAAGAATAAGTAAATCATAAAAAACATGGAGGCACATGGAAAATAGCAATATCCTCAGAATCGTTCACTTTCAGCATTTCCGTTCCCACTCCCACCCACCCTGTGTTCTGGGACAGCTGAGCCCATACCCAGACCACCCAGCCATCCCTCCCTCCATACAGCATCATCCCCCTCCCTCCATATGACACACTCGATTCCGTGCGGCAGAGTCCCTTTCAGCCTTATTTTCTGTCGTCACGCTACCCTAACACACGCACTGGGACCGACTGTCTCATTGATCTGACCGAGCCCGGAACGACACGGACTCCTATTGACATCAACCATAGACCATCGCTCATCGCTCATCGCTCATCGCCCATTGACCGTCGCCCGTCGAAGATCGACCGTTTATTGAGCGGTACTATCTCTCACTCACGAAACTGTTCGAGAGCCAGACTAAGTTTGGCCATAAAGAGATCATGTCTAGGCAAGCATAAGGTGGTTTGCCCGCTCCAAGCGAAAGTTTTCTCATTATGCATGCTATGTATGTTGTTTTGGACTCATCAGGTGCGTTGTCCGCTGTGGGATATCGCTGCAGTTGTCTTTCTCGGAATTGGATATATGAACATTTCTGATGATGAGTCCATAAGTTACTTTGCAAGACGCAGCATGAAAACAGACAGGACAATGCGTTTTGAGTTGACACCCCACCTAAAATGCGGAATAACGCAAACAAATGATTTCGAGCATGAAAAGAGACACCGTATAACAAACACACGTTAAACAAACATATATTACGATAATTCATGTGACAAAATCTAGAACCAATGTGAATATTTGCGAAAAAGCGGTATCGGGCCAATAGCGTGGACCACACCAAACAACCATTACGGATCTCTTGACGCCAGACCCAGGGCGGCCGCTACCGCCGCGTCCCGCCCATGGATGAAGAATACCTAACCCATGTATGTCCCGCCGGTGTTCCCAACTCCGCCACTTACCGCCGGTGAGGAGCGGTCCTCCGACGGACCACCGGTCCTCTGGTCCGGACCACGCGCTGGTCCGGCGCCGCGGACCATGTACACCCAGCTGAGCAGGACGGCGGCCACCGAGACCAGGCAGGCGGCCAGCAGGTACCCGCTGGAGAAATAGACAGTCGAAGACGGGTGAACACAGTGGGCTAGCCTATACGTTTAGCTCACTGGGCTGTGTATGAGGCCACTCATTATTTTGTAAGTCAATTATCCTTATTCGATTCGCCTTCACGCAGAATAATGACCGGTCATTAAGTAATAAGTTATGGAAATACATTTATTCTAAAATGATAATGCAGGCACGCATTTCAAAATTAAACGTGTGCACTGTGCAAGGCTTACGACAAACATACCCGCAAGCAGCGAGACTGAAACAGACATATCACAGCGACACTCCCGCCAACACCAGCGCGATCCACGGCGTACCTCCGGCGCCCACTCACCTGGTGTTTCCCCAGAGAAGTGCGAAGAACTGTCCGAGGTGGAACGGATCGCGGGCTGCCGCCTCCGCTAGCGTCCAGGCGCTACTGAACTCTCCGGCGCCGCCTCCGGCCGCGCCCGTCATGACTGACTCCCTGGAGGAGAGAGATACAGGGGTGACAGGTCGGCCTGACAGCGTTGAGAGAGGGATAATTGGAGGGTAGTGGGTTCCATTTTCTACTGCTTCTTTGTACCAAAGCCATTTTGTTTGCTTGCTCCAATGAAATTGACAAAATTGTATCAGTACAATCCCGATACTCCTCAGCAGAGTCCGATTCAGAATGACAAAGGTGTCATTCAACGGGTTCAATACACCAGAAGTATCGCACCTTCCGTTGATTCTTCAGTCTGACACACGGCCGCCCAGTATCGGTCCGTCTGCCGGTCTTCTGTCCCGGCAGCGCACCTCAGACGCTCAGTTCACTGACCGTCCACGGGTACAGTCCCGCCTCCCAGGGGTCCACTTATACGCCGACTGACCGACCGACTACACTGCCCGTCAGCTCCTACGCCGACCGACTGAGTGACGAGCCGCCCTCTGTCGTGATTAGCCACTGTCTGACTACAGACGCAGACAACCGACCGACGCTAATGACCAGCCTGCAGCCGTACTGACTATACTGCCGCAACTGGTCGGCTGACTTTACCGCTGTTTTTTATTGACTCAGACTCGACAAAGCTCCCACCACTGACCGACCAGCCCGACTCCGCCGCGAGTGACCACCGTCCTGGAGGGCTTCTCTACCGCGACTGAGCAGTACACACCTCACGACTCACCGACAACAGACTCAAGGTCGGAAACCGCTCATTGCCCGCTCACCATTCGGTCACCGTTCGCTCATAATAGCTCACCGCCCGCCGTCGCATTAACTCAAATCCAGTCCGGTTTGTGTCGGGCTGGCGGTCGGTGCTGGCGTTTTGTGTTTCCTGTGGACAGTTTTCCTCTACGATTACACCGGCGCCTCTTCGCTTTTCGACAGTGCGTCGTCCGGTGTGGCTCGAAAGCTCGGGCCTCGTGTGGTGTAAAGGGTTCCCCAGAGTTTTTGAATTTCAAAGAGTCAAATATTCGAATTTAACATCCCGGTTCTATCGAGCTTCTTAGAAAACAATTAAGTGGTGATAATATTAAATTAAAGTCTCGTTCGAATTTTCCGTGGCTGTAACCGCAGAACGAAGACAATCCGACGATCCCGCAGACGCAGGCACGCGCTAAGGTCAGTATGTCGCGAGCAACTAAAGCTCAGGCTACACTAGCGACGTTTTTTCGGTTTCTGCGGGATTTCGGTTTCCGCGTTTTTTCGGTTTCTGCGTTTTTTCGGTTTCTGCGTTTTTTCGTTCCAATCGGAGCGGCCTCTGCGAATGCGTGCTATGCAGCAGCCGCATTTGTGTACGTCGTATTGTCTGATCTGTTGAAGTTGAGCCGCAATAAATGGATCGTCAAACATTATTAAGAGTTTTATTTTTGCGCCGTGAACGCGAGAGACAGCGACGAAGCCTGTGGGTTCGCCCGGTGCTGTTGCGCCGAGAAGAGTGCGGCGAGTTCCACACACTAGTACAGGAACTGCGCCAGAATGATCCTGAGGGCCATCGACGCTACTTCAGGATGAGCGTCAATGAATTTGACGAGGTGCTCGGCAAGATCGAGCCCGTCATCACGAAGGAGATCACGCACCTGAGGAAGCCGATCTCGGCAGCAGAGCGCCTGGCGGCAACGCTGCGGTAAGACCTGAAGCCTCTTCATACTTTCAATGCGCGTATAATTCTCAATGAAACCAGGCACGTACCCAGGATTTCGCCCAGGAGGGGGCCACCTGCTTTCGAAGGGGCCCCCCACAGTGTATAGGGCCCCCCAGGTTCCCCGGGGGCCCCCGGGAGTCATGAAGAACCTTTCGATGGTGGGGGGGGGGGGGCATAGTGGGTCCGGTCTCTCCTGCAGACGTAGGTGAGAAAACGCCACGTGTGTGGGAAAACGCAATTCAGTTCTTTACAACCTAATGTAGCATTTGGTTGTGATTCCTCGCGTTCAACTTCATCAAAGTCAATTAAAACGCCGAAACACATAAGCTTGCATAACCAGAAAAGGTGTCTCAATTTCCAATCGACTAATTACGAATATGACATAGGCGCAATGACGTAACAATTAGTCACTTAAAAGTTCCAACGTGCTGCTTGTTTCGACCCAGATTGGAAAGGACTGACATTTTTTAATTACTACATATGTGTACACCTTTTGCAGTTACCTGGCGTCAGGTGGGACTATGAAGTCTGTGGCAGAATCTTACCGCATAGGCTTCGCCACGATCCGCCTGATCGTCCCTGAGACATGCCGCGCCATCTGGGAGGAGCTCGGACCAGGGCTGATGGGGCTACCGTCGCCCGAGCAGTGGCGCCAGCACGCCCTGGATTACGAGGAGGAGTGGCAGTTTCCCAACTGCTGTGGGGCGGTTGATGGAAAGCATATCATGGTCGACAAGCCTGCCAACAGTGGCTCCATGAACTTTAACTATAAAGGGTTCTTCAGCATCGTGCTGATGGCTGTGGTGGACGCGAAGTGTCGCTTTCGCTACATCAGCGTGGGCAGCCACGGTCAGGAGAGTGACGGGGGAGTGTGGGGAGGAAGCGACCTGGGTCGGCTGCTGGAGGACCAAGACAACGGCGGGCCGCCTGTTCTGCCTGGCCCAGAGCCGCTCCCTGGCTCCGCAGTGACCGTGCCTCACGTGTTCGTGGCAGATGAGGCTTTTCCGCTGCGGCAACATATGATGAGGCCATTTCCTGGGTCGCGCCTGACGAACGACCAACGACGTGTCTTTAACTACAGACTCAGCCGCGCCCGTCGGACCTCCGAGAACGCGTTCGGGATCCTCGCACAACGGTGGCGGGTGTTCCGGGGTCCGATCGGGTGTGACGTGGAGGCCGTTAAACTCATCGTCCTGGCAACCTGCGTCCTTCATAACTTCCTGAGAGAGAAGGACATCGAGACCAGACGTGGAGGGCCAGCGGCCTACGGCTACGTCACGCCTGAAGAGCGACGAGACATCCCCGGTCTCCGTGACCTACATGACGCAGGCGCGTCTCACAACCACCCTCAGCAGGCGGCCCAAGTACGAGAGAAGTACGTCGAGTACTTCAGCGGCGTCGGCAGTGTCCCCTGGCAGCTGAACAGCATTCGCCGCTAGTGAAGAACTGTGGGTGTATCATGTGTGCGTGTACGCCGTGTGTGTGTAACCACTGCCGCTGTGACTACCATGGCGAGAGCGCATAAGAAGCGGTATGATGTTGGATGTGCCGTTCTTGTAAAAGTGATGATTTGAATTTTGAACTATTCAGTGCCTGGTCTAAACGGATTGATTATTTCACGCCGTTTACTTGACGATTCAAGCATCGATTCAATGTGTCGTGAAGTTTGAAATATAAGCTGACGATGGTTACGATTGAATGTGTATATCGTAAAGATGATGTCACTGTTACCGGCAATTGCTCTCAAAAACAATCAACAAGCACGGCAAAGCCATGTATTGAATGAATATCAGCAACAAACTACTGTTGGTTGTTGCTAACCAAAACGAACAACTTATATCACAGGGACAGACGACTTAACGAAAGCTGTCTGTCCTTGTGGGCTGTGGCTATCAACGCAACGACGAAACAAACGTTGTCAACTCCAAATTGAACAATAACAGCCATAGGTAAATATCGCAGAAAAGGCAGTCTGTCCTTCATCCCTGCGGATATAAACGCCATGACAATACATAACAAACATCGTCAGCTACAAAATAAATATCCATAGAGATACATACGGCAAAACAGGTTGTCTCTACACGTAGGCATCAACGTCAAGGCACCAGTAAGCTTAACAAAAAAAAAAAAAAAAAATCAACCACAGCCACACATACAAACACGTCGCAGTCTCAGTGACTTATGGGTATCATAAGTGTCCTTCAGTCCTCGTATTCATCTAGGATCTGCTGGAACGCACGTTTGATCAGTTTTTTGGTGGCCTCACTCCTGTGCTGCAGCTCAGCATACACATTCATACAGAATGTGTAGTCCCTGTCAGATTGTTGTCTCCTGCTCCTATCTAGCTCCTCCAAGATAGCATAGTCTATGTCTGTTGTTTTGCGCTTGCTTCGTGTGCCCGATGTGGTGCGCGGTGTACCTTGTGTATCCGATGTACCTTGTGTGTCCTGGCCACGCGGTGTGTGTGTGTCGTCAGCGGACGGTGTATCTTGTGTGCCAGGTGTGTGTTGTGTGCTCGGAGCGCGTGTTGTGTGTTGAGTCTGGTGGGCGCGCTGCGTGTTCTGTGTCGGTGCGTTTTGTGCGCCCAGAGCGTGCGTTGTGTCGTGCACGAGCCGTGTGCCTTGTGTGCCCGGTGTGTGTTGTGTGCCCAGAGCGCGCGTTGTGTGCTGAGTGTGGTGAGCGCGCGATGTGTTTTGTGCCGGTGCGTTTCGTGTGCTCAGAGCGCGCGGTGTGTTTTCAGTGAAGTCAGCGCGCGATGTGTTTTGTGTTGTATCATGTGAGTGCGGTGTGTCGTCTGTGTTCTCCTCAGTCACTTCAATTTCATATTGGGTATCTTCAAGATACAGGATGTGAGGGTGAGTGTTGGTCTCAGCCCCAGGATCACCTCCAGGATCATCTCCGCCTCCATGTGAATCCAGCCGGAAGGTCATGGATGAGGTTGTACTGAAAAGGAAAAAATATGGAAATAAGGAAAGGTTTGGGACGTTGAATGTGGAATGGAGAAAACCGCGCCGGACCGGAGGGGGTGGGGTTCTGAACATCACCCAGTCTCGGCTCCTGGACCAACGTAGCGACAAACGGCGGGGCCATTTTTCAGATATCTGCGAAAAACCACTCGGGGGTGTCCACTGTCCATACCCCCCACCCCCACCCTCTCCCCAGCCTGGAGCGGGTTAAATCAATATGGGGCAATTCGTTAACTCTGATGATTAAGTTTGGATAGAAACACACTAACGTTTCGGCAGATAAGGGAAAGGAACTGATGTGAAATATGCATTGGGTACAAAATGAGAGAACATGGCTTCAGTACATATTTCAGGCAGGCGAGCTGATGAAGTCATGGAGGGAATCATGGTTGCATTTCAGAACAAGGAACATAAGTAATCGAGTGATAGGAAATATAAAATAAACACTATGGGAGGTCATGGTAACAAAAGGTACATCCAAGTTACTATGCATGGAACTATTACCTTGAATATTTCAGCAGGACAATGACAAACTGTCAATTCTGACCTGTGTGACAATATAGAATGATGGACAAAGCCAAAGGATGGCTGGATGGAGGACAAAGTAGGTATGGATATTGCACATCTGTTTAATTAATACTCACGGCCCACGCTGGGTGCTGGGGTCCAGAAATCTGAGCATATTCCCATAGGGTCCTAGGTGCTGATGGCCACCTGCAGGTGCTGCTGATCCACTGGGCAGAGTCTTCCTTTTTCTGGCCAGATAGTAGTCCCGCAAAGACTTCCACCTCTCTTTGGCAGCTTGCACTGATGATGGAAGGAGAGTATTGTTACCATTTCATTTCATCCAACAGAACAAAATGTCACCAATAGAACTAAATTGGTGTGCACTGTGCAGAATATAAAAACGGCTTAATTTTGGCGCAAACAGGCATCAAACTGTCGGCTAAAACAACAGAGAAATTTCGGCGCAAAACCAACTGCGCAGAATTTCAGTTTTCAGCGGATGAGGGTCTAACAGGCGTCAGGCATAGTGCATTGATGCTTTCCAGTCTGGATCGATATCAATGTATAATATATTGCAAAATAAAACACACTGATTGTGCCAAACCAATCAATAAAGGCATCTCTTTGTATCTTGATCTTCTAAATTCAATCTAAATACCCTTTATTCTTCGTGACTATGATGTTTAGACCATTTAAGTTCAATAGTGTACTTGAAAAAGCCCATTTCAAGACATGTAACCACCAATTATTGCAAGCTCGAGTGATATCAACTGAAAACCTCAGCTGCGTAGGTAGCCGGGCAGCAGTCAGCACTCACCATCACATCTGCACTCAGCTGCCACTCTTTGCCAATCAAGGTCTTTTACAGTCTTTTTCTTGGCATAGTCCTTCGACTTTTTGTCCCACAAACCTGGGTACTTCCTGACTGCTTCAATTATTGATTCGTTGAAGTCCATTTCTGCAACAAAGAAATGCCAGTGATCTGGAGGTTGTCAAACATTCAGTACCTAATAACAACAATTATTTTAGTGATTTTCTCCTTCTGCACCATTTATTAACTTTAATTCTTAAAATGGAAAAAACACATCCTTCCAAGGTTGACGAATAAGACCACGCATTTATAATTGTTACTATTTACACAAAACATTTATATCTTAACACCCAGCCACATGTTGTCAGGCATAGGCGGCGGAACGGGGAGGGCACCATGCCCCCCTTTGATTCTGGCATTTTAACATTAGCCCTATGGGCATTGCATGGAAAGAATGGGACCAACAGTCAGCAGTGCCCCCCCCCCCCCCCCTAAGGGTGGTCCGCCGCTACTGTTGTCAGGCTAGGTTATGTTACGTTGGTAAAATTAGGTCAGGTTAGCTTAGGTTTTGTTATTTCTGCTCATGATGTAGCTAATTTTTTAGCTTTACATGATCATGTGAAAAATGTTCTAGAATGATAGTTGGTTTGTGACAATATGGTGTTGTCTTCATTCAGTATGGAGCTCAAGGTGCAATTTCGGGAGACTTCACAAAGGGCGATTTCATTCTTTTCATGTGCTTAGTTAATGCGTGCAAAAATAATACAAATCAAAGCTTGAGCTTCATATTTCTCCTTGAATTTTCCACACCATCAGTGCAACTGAAATGCTGGAGCCACCAAACTACCCAACTAATTTATTTATAACAATTCAATTCATGTGAAACACATTACAGTGTGGCCAAATCCATTTTGCGTTTGGGGGAGGATGTAGAAAAAAAGCCGCCAGAGGATGTAACTATTTTTTTTTTTTGAAAAATGGTCTACTGATTTTTTTAAGTTCTAATTTTCATAGAAAAGGTGGGAAATGGCCTTACTAACATTCAGTACTGATGTATCTTTGAAGAAAGCACTTCAGTGATACATATGTAGAAATAGCAATCCTTTTTAAGACAATCGTTTAATAGGAACAACTTCAACGGCCACTGGTCATTTGCCAACCACCACCTTCCCGATGCTGATTCTCCTTACTCTATTCCAGGCATATTCCTCATCCATTCCTGAAAGAAGATCGCGAGCCTTCCAATTTCCAAGCACTCCTGTCATCATCGTGAACCTACGAATCCATCAAGATCCCTACTGCCAGATGACCTCGGACACCGACGTCTGCTCCCCGAAGATACAGCTGCGCATACTGCATACCTATTCACGTTTTATAAAATGTAAATGCATAGTGCTGTCATGTGTTTAATAGGTTACTCTCGAATCAATCGAATTAATCGACTATACGACCATTTCTGAATCAGTTATTGTATCAACATTGCATCAGTATAAGAATCAGAATTGCATCGATTATGAGAACTAAGAAAAGTTATCACTAATATAAAATGTTGACCGATATGGCCAGTGGCCAGTACAACTCCCGATGTCATCCTCGACATTAATGTCCTATGTGCATATCCCAGAATCCAACCGCAACTGTGATCTTGGGTTCAATGTGTGCGATGAATTTACTCATTACTGTGTGTAGTAACGGCAACTGAGGGGAAAATAAAATGCAATAAGGTACCGAAACGTCCATATCGCCGATCTTTTTTGGGCTGGGTAACACTGAACTAGAAGAGTTGGTCGAACGGATGAGATGAGCACATTTTGTCAACGTTATATCGCTGGCCAGATCGCAAATCCATATCCAGACGAGACAACATATGTCGACGAGCTGCACCAACTAAGGTGATGAGTCCGCACCAGCCCGACGGACTCTAACAGAGCTAACAGAGCTGGAAAAACACACCTACATCTAGCAAGACCTAGAGCTATTACTGAATAGGTCATAAAATATTTACCAGCCTATCACACTTTTTTAGGGGTAAACACCATAGCCGGTCATTTCGACGCGTTTTTTCCAAACCCTGATCTTCTTCCCGTGAATTGCCCGGAAGCACGAAAAATCCCATTTAAAAAGTCCAATCAATTATTCGATCCTGATCAAGTATCAAGCATGTGAGCTTGTTCTCACATTGCTTGATCTGCTGAGACAGACAAACTTCAGAAAATCGAGTCACTGTATTTTCTCAAGCTTTTTCAACCTGTCGGAAATTTACGGGAGAACAGATATGGAGTTTGAAGGAAAAAAACACGGCGATTTATTCCCTGCTCAACCTGTTGTGGGTCTCATAGTACACCCTATCATTTCCTTTTCCTAGCACAACAGGGTAGGTATGTGCTCAGTCTCACACCGAAGTTCACGATACCATGTTGGTTGGGCACAAAAAAAAAATCGTACCACACGACAGCGGATCAGCTGTGCTGTACAACACACCAGCGTCTAGCTGAGTGCATTCACGCCGACATCTCATCGAGATTGTCATGCTTTGCAGGTAAGGAGTCTATGGTAGGTTCACAAATCAGTCACACGAGTCACGAATGGTGGTATGACTGACTGGGGCCAATTCACCAATCAGTTCGATTACGAGTCTGAACGCATAGTGTACGGTGCGTCTTGGTTGTTTCGTTTTGGACGTCTGCCAGTAGGTGGCTCTGTAAACACCACAACCTACTCAATAGATGTCGCCATAATGTACTATGCACTTGTTGTAAAGTTGAAAAGATTTCATAATGTATATTGCTCAGTATTTTCCTCATAAATCAAAACACCTCTCACCTAGGTACCACTGCAATTATAAGAAGTGTTTTGCAATGAATAAGTGCCTAGTTATGTTGAATTAGAAATGTAGATCGCTTTAATTTTACACACAGCTCCAAATCCCTGAAATGATTAGGTACTTCCCATCTGAATCAGATCAGGCTTCAGAATGAAGCAGTTCAATACATCATCATAGTTCAAATGTTGTTTGCAAATGCCAGAATGCATTTTCTTCATAAAGATTTTTCACACACTAAAGCAATGATTGATGTAATGAAATCTGCATACCCATCACAATTCACATCTGCCTTTACATTAACATTTCATCAAATGTCCAATATTAACAGATCACCCCTCAATATAAGAAATCTTTAGTAAATGTGAATATGAAGTCCAGTGAATATTTTGAACATAACCTAACCTGATCTAACCTTACCTAGCTACCTACCAACCTAAAACTTTCAACCTGTCTGTCCCAACTCAAAACCTATTACCTACAACCTACAACCTTAAGCCCACAACCTATCTACACATAAACCAAATTTTATCATACCAGATACCTATATATATCAATAATCAATCTGTAAGAATCTGGCCAGATGCCTACATTTCTTTCAGTCGGAATGCACAGAGTAGATGGGTGGTAACTAGTAAAGAAAAATCTTTGAAACTAGAGGGTTTTTACTAGCAATGACAATGTCATTGCTGAGGTGCTAATCCAAAATATTAATAATTAACTTAACGGAACCAGCCAACATCACTGGAAATTTCTTCTGAGTTCTGATTGTTGGTTGGTTGTTGTTTTTAGGTAATATGTATTTTTGAAGTATATAAATGTATCAAATCAGATAAAATAACAGATGCACACAAATGAAATTTTAACTGATGCCTTATATATTTGTGAATGAGCTCAACATCCAGGTTCGGTTGCGGATTCCTGATGATGGCAAGAGCTAAAGGCTCGAAATGCTGAGAAACGTTCTTACCTGAGGCTGTGTTCCTGTTCCGTGCTTCTCCAAAGCAATCTCAGTCTACGCTCTCCACCTACAAATAACAAACGTGCATGCATAGACCAACATCATCCCAACTTTAATTGAGATCTTTCCAGGATCAAGGTCTTAGGTCCCTGTACCTTATTGACTAATAGCTTGCAAGTATTGCTATCAGTTCTATTACGCTTCTATCAAATACTGAAATAAGGCAACAAGGCCACAACACAACACTGCTTGTCTATTCAATTTAATTTCTCGAATCGTTTGTATGGAGCAAATGTTTCGGTTTTCCTCGTCTACAAAATATTGTACAAGATTATCAATCTCGACGCACCTGTCGAACTTCGCGGCCTCCGTATTACGTCACACGATTTCAGAGATTTTCGGCAGAAAAACTTCCGACATCCCTAAAACAGCGGCTCACGAAAGCCAGCCAAACGTGAAAATTAAGACAATACAGCCGGTAAAATGATGATAATATTGTAGGGAAATCAATGGAGCATGATATATGTGAATACCAAATCACAAAAATGGTTTTTAACAGTTTGGCGAAGAGTTGAAGTTAGGGGTTGTTAGGGGTAGAATTTCGCCAAAACAGGCGAAGGATGTCATTATATTTGAACATGTCAAAATAGAGTATTATGGGCTTAATATCAGTTTTGATGCATAGGTGGGCATAATTCATCAATTTTCTTTCACTTTGTATAACATTTAGCTCGTAAAATGAGCCTGGGAATTAACAATTTCATTTCTTCAGAAGCCATTTTTTCCGCAAAATCAGCGGATTTTTCGCATGAAAATGACGGAAGTTTACTGGGCTCAAAAACAAGCATTTCGCAAATTTTCCAAGAAAATGACCGCGTATGCAATGGATTATTTCATTTTCTTTCGTATTATCTCATTTTCTCGTCTTGGTTTGGTCGATTAGCGGTGCTGTCCTCATTATAAGTTAGGGGTTGTTAGGGGGAAAATAACGACTTCCTTCGGGATTTTGACTTCCCGATAACGACTTCCTTTTTGGCCACCGGTGACGTCACAGGCTGAACAAAGCACGCCAGGGCGGTGGTGCATGATGTATGAAGAGTCAACAGGGGATTATTCATGTGTCTTTGATGGCCTTGAATCTCGAACGACTGCTTGTGTTGTGGACGCTGTGGATGCATTGGTGTTGTGTCCGAGGGGTTTGTGCTTATCCTGATTTTCAGTGGTTGTGTTTGAGCTTAGTTTTGCTTTTATTCTTTGCGATCAATTGATAACTATTGTACATTAATCCGAGTCTGGTCCAAGGCTATATGCTGTATCTGCGCTGGGTGAGCATCGATTGAAATTGAAATTGAAATAGCCTAGTTGTTTGGGTAGTCGTAAAGCAGGCGTCACACTTCTTTTTTCCAACCAAGGAGAGGCACTGTAGGTTAGGTTGTAGGTTTTAGGTGGTAGGTTTTAGGTTTTAGGTTGTAGGTTTTAGGTTGTAGGTTGTAGGTAAGGTTAGGTCAGGTTTGGTTAGGTTTGGTTTGGTTTGGTTCGATAAGAAAACATCTTTGGTGGGTATAGCGCCTCTCCTTGGTTGGAAAAAGAAGTGTGACGCCTGCTTTACGACTACCGTTGTTTGTACAATTCAATTTGTGATTTCCTTACCAAACCTGTGCATGTTGTTTGGTAGGTACAAACTCAGCTCCAAAAGTCAAGACACTGCTCGGGGTTACATGAGCAGAGTTAATACGAATTACAAACGGACTACAATGGTGAGCGAATAGGAAAATCCGTTCCTGATACGCATTTACTTGCTCATGTAACCCCGGTAACTGGAATATAATGCAGTTTTTATTTTGTCACAATCACATCATCCATGTAGCATCAGCATGCTGATTTCAACTGCTAATGCCATGCTGTCTCTGTCTTGCATTTGTCTTCTTCCATACGTCTTGCAGTTGCTGCATACATACCTCGACCTATATTTTATATCAATATTGCCAGAACATAACAATATGAATATTGCTTAACATTGTATATGCCTATATTCAAATTGGCGCTCATTGAGACAGAGGTATTTTATGACCTAGCAAGAAGTTGCCAAACACATTGATGCTTGCAGAACAGTATGATATATTTAAGTGAAAAAGTCGTGAGGATGTCTTTTTCCCAATTTTTAGGATGTCATTATCCTTTTCATTAGGGGAGGATTTACCCACAACATTGCCAATTTGGCCACACTGACACATTAGTAGGGTGAGGTTACAGATTGATTTTCATTTGATTATAACAACATTCAAATTACCTCCACTCATTTCTCCATCTTCATCTCTCATTGCACGTTCCATACTGATGCGTAGGTAGGTGAATATCCAGAACAACTTAACACAGAAAATACGACTATAACCTACACAAATCGGATGAAAACTGACACCTACTCAACCTTCTGTCACTTCAAAAAAGCAGAAGTAAACAAAACAAAAGAATGCCGCTGTGCGCCATAAAATGTCGCGTGGAACGATATCCCGCAGAAATCGAAAAAAAGTTCACGGCTCTGAACTTTTTTTCGGTTCCGACTCGTCGGTTTTTGCGGGTTTTCGTTCCACGGGACGCCAGACTGGCAGTGTAGCTTGCGCAATGCTTTCGCTATGAGGCGAACTTTACGACGCGAACCGAAATCCCGCAGAAACCGAAAAAACGTCGAAATTCATGCTAGTGTAGCTTAGGCTTAATGAGCCAGTGCTGCCAGATGGGGAAGGCTGTAATCCTCTATATCAGTTACAAAAATCCTCCAGATTCCTCCAAATCCTATTGGTAGATATAGAAAGGTGGTCTTGGACGCTGCGGGGGGCTATACCCCCAAAAAAGTTTCACCAAATACTAAAAACCCATCGGATTTCGAATCTTTTCGCACTGCTGTGCAGTTTAAAAGATACTTTTTCTTATAAAAGTTGAGTTTTCGTTTTATCTTAAAAAAACGAAAATTTTCGTCGATTTCAGGCGCTGCAGGGGGACCGGGGGCATTTGCCCCAAATGTCCCCCTTAGATCCGCCAGTAGTTTGGTACCCTCGTAAATATAGCTACAGACTGAGACATTCTGCAGTCTCACGGTGATAAAGGACGTGATATATCCTAACGGGTAGGGTGACGCTGGGCAGGAAAATGCCTTTTTAGTCTTGAATGTGTTATATTTTTCCATGAAATTGAATATAATAATCGGGCGACAAATCCTCCAGATTTTCCTCCAGAATCAAAAATCCTCCAAAAGCGAAATTTGTCCGCAAATAGAGTTCAAAATCCTCCAGATTTGCGGAAATCCTCCAAATCTGGCAGCACTGTAATGAGCAGGTGATGTGATGCGATCGCTGATGCCAGCAGGTCAGCCGCTTAGGTCAGTCAGAATGTCAGAAAAGGACTTGGGTTGATCCGATAGGCACCTCCTGTGTTAGCGTTGAGTGAATTATGTTTAGGATATGTGGCTTAGGTTCCTAGTCAAAGAAAGGCTGAATCTACGATAAAATAAACTGCAGATAATGTTGTAACTGAATAATGTTATAAATGCCTCACTTTCGGCATGAACTTCCAAATGCCACCGGGGCGCAGGTAAGGGTCGGATGACAAGCCTAATGTGTTACTCGACTCGATACTTCCCAAGCCCCGCTTGGTACGGTCCTGCTAGCCATGCAGGCTAAAAAAAAAACATAAGCATGTTGACGTAATAAGAAGCCGTCTCATGTATGACGATCTAGCGAAACCCAGTGACGGCCTTCCAAAAATAGGCGTATTGATCACCTGATCTTCCTAAAGGCGGATTCTAATTAGGCACGTAGCCAGCTTCTCCTAATTGGAGCTCTATTTCCGTTGGGTCGATGACCGTTCCGTTCATCCCTGTTCATTAGTGATCCATGTTTGGATTCTTCATTAGCTAATCATAACGGGTAAGGGGCCGATGAGGCTCAAAAACAACCTTCGTCCTTCGGACTGGCCTTTGGGGAAAATAATCACTTTCATACCACCACCCGGAATACTCGGTTTAGGACCAGGTACCATATACCTAAATCATTAATTTTGCATTCCGAGTACAAATTCTGGCCCCCAATTCACTAATGGTCAGGTGAAGCCGAAGGGTTTGGCCACTCATTGAGTTAGAGCTTCACGAAAATACACGAGTGCATTGTTCTCCGAGAAAAAGCCAAAGGAGCCCAAGTATAAGTGCTCAGGTTGACTGATAACCTCACAATTCGATTCAACGACTCTAATTAGGGTTTTTGCTCTTTGTCGAGCTGGTCGAGGTGCACTCCGACCTGGCCGATCGCTGCGGGTCGGTCCGTCGCGGCGCATGCGCGTTGACCTTGGCGCCAGTCACGTGACCGTCAGTGACCTCGGCCCGGAGGTGCCTGGCGGAGATCAGTAGGCGATCGGGGCCCCGTTTCACGGCACGCCACTGCGGCCTGATAGCCGCCTGTTACCAGCCGCTATCAGGCATTGGCTCAGGCTTTCATAGTGATGCTGGCATAGTGCAAAATTGCAAAATTTCGCTTATGTTTTTGTGTAGACTGAGCATCAATGCTCTGTAGTGTCTGGAAGCGACGTGCCGTGAAACGGGATCCTGGAAGCATCGGGTAGCGGGGCCGGCTGGGTAGCTGGAAGCATCGTGTTCACAGCCTTTGTTCATATCACTGTTGCCATGCACAGTTAGGTGATCTGCCATGCTGAGGTGACATACTTTCCAGTAAACCAGCTGCTTCATGCAGATATGATGTCAGTCAGGGAGTTCCTGGCATGGAATGAGGCTTACAGAGCCACTGCTGAAGCTAGAAAACAAGTTGGAAAACTTTTGCAAAGACTCATTCAGTGTCAAAGCTACTTATAGACAATTTCAGCTCGCTCTCAGACTCTGAGGGCTGTTCAAGGGCACTGCATGCTGCTGAGTGCAGTGTGTGCGGTGTGTGCAGCAGGCGTGGGGGTAGGGGATGGGTAGTCTGTATGGCGTCGCATGGCTGTGTGCTGAAGCAGTGGCCAGTCCTGACCAACCACAGCAGTCTCTGTGTGTGGTGACAGAAGGATGGTCCTACTGCACACAGGACCCGTGAACAGCCCTCTGATATATCAACCAATTCAAGGCACAACTGGAAAACACTGCAAAATCATGCACATTAATCAACTTTGAGTTCAGCACATACAAAATCTCATAAAATTGATGGAGTGGGATGCTCAGGCCAAGAGCCAAGAGGCCTGTTAAATCCTGATCACATTGAACATGAGGGACGCCAGTGAAAACAGGGCACTGCAGGGCATATTGAGTCACATGACTATTAACAAGTTCTCCCCCTCTTAATGCCTTCTACATGCTGAATGTCATGTGGTTTACGTGCAAGTGAATCTCAAGAGCCTTAATCAAATCGCCCAAGGCGCCCTGTTTTCACAGTCCAGTCGGGGAAACTATGGTAAAATCTGCTATTTTTAGCAGTCTGCTATTTTTAGCAGGAATCTGCTAAAAATGGGTACGCATGTGACATCGTACCCAAATATAGCAGATTTGGGTACGGCCCCCGACAAAAGCAGATCTGCACCCTAATTGAAGCAAATGCGCATCAAATGCCTGGCAGATTCATGATTAGAATAGTGCTGAGAATGTCCTCTGATATTTTTTGTTCAGATCCGACTATTTTCAACTAATGAATTTGAAAATAGTCGGATCTGAACAAAAATAGCAGAGAACACTCTCAGCACTATTCTCATCATGAATCTGCCAGGCATTTGATGCGCATTTGCTTCAATTAGGGTGCAGATCTGCTTTTGTATGGGGCCGTACCCAAATCTGCTATATTTGGGTACGATGACGTCACATGCGTACCCATTTTTAGCAGATTTCTGCTAAAAATAGCAGACTGCTAAAAATAGCAGATTTTACCATAGTTTCCCCGACTGAGTCGTCCAACATGAGACGTCAGCTGAGAAAGTTGTTGGAAGTGAATCAGACTGAGTGCCCTGTGAATCAGAATCCTTGAGCTAACTGAAATTCAAGAAAAAAGTCAGGTTGAGCTGGCCTAGTGCTTGCAATTAATTACTGAATTCCTTCAAGATTCAACATAACAGTCAGCACTCAACGTGTTATGACTTGGACTGAGGTTTTTGGTGTTCTTGGATAGACAAGGATATCGACATCTTATCGGCCTTTCAGGTCTTTTCACAAGGCCGTACATAGGTTAGCTTTATGTTTTATGGCCTTGCTTAGATTTGGTTAGGTTAGGATTTTCGAACTTACCCTGGCGTTGAAAAAATCGAAAAAATGAGATTATCAAATGCGCGTCCACGGACTTGTCTGTGGGCTTTATTTTGTAACAGCTGCGCCATTTTAGCACGCTTTATGCTATGAAGGTCACGTGCTTTCTAGTATTTAAATTGAAATATTCTTAACTCAAGCTCTGAAAATTAGTAATTGTATTTTGAAACATTTTGATACCAATTTAATGAATGTTTCAAATTCTTTGAGACAAAAAAAAGAAATAAAAAGCAATATAACAAATTTGTGACCACCAAAGTCACGTGATAATAAAGTACTCCTAATTCAACGGGAAATAAATGCCTGTGTGCATGACCCCGCTTTGTTTTGCAGAAGAAAGAAGCTTTGCCACTTTACTACCGGTGCTAGCTGCGGTTGGGTTATATGCTGTGATATGTTGATTCGTCACGTTTATTTGATAAGACAAGCTTTCGCGCATTGATAGCTTATCTGTAAAATTCCCTTGGTGGCTTGTTCACCTGCAGTCTGCCTGTTGATGCGCAGCATGCTTCATTCCGGAGTTGGGTCCAAGTCTTCCTCGCAGCTGAGCTAAAATGGGTTAGTATTTATTGGGGATTTGGAAACATGCATTTGAAATGTGAAAAGCAGACATGTGTAGGGCCCCATCCTGATCCAGGTGCTCTGTGGCTGCTCTAGCTCCCGCAGCCAGGTGGTAGTCCTAAAGCAGGCATCGCACTTGTTTTTTTCAACCAAGGAGAGGCGCTATGCCCAGAGATGCTTTCTATTCAAACCAAGCCTAACCTACAACCTAAAACCTACCACCTAAAATGCTTAAATTTTAATTATTTTATTACTTTATTGCAAAACAGAATCATGATAGGTACCAACCTAAACAAAGAGTGGTGAAATCTGCAATGTTTTGTCTCACACACACAGTTTATGTTGAAGTTTCCCTGTGGGTGCTTTCGAGCAGCAACAGGAGCCGCAGGAAGTGTGATGCCATACCCAGAATGCTGCCCTCACCTGATTGGCCACCAGCTAAGCTCAGCCTTTTTATGGCGGGAGCCGCAGAAGCCACAGACACTTGAACAGCACCCAGGATTCTGACAAAATGGATCTGGGATCCAATCCCATGGATCTTGATCTTGGATCTGAAGGCATTGAAGGCCTAATGTACAGCGCTGTAGATGCAGAAACAAAGATATAGCTGTTATTTGTTTAGAGATCTGTTGAGTTCTCAGCTCTGAGTCTAATTTTCTCTACAGATTGAGATCTGGTGAGATCATGGATGGCTATTTCAATTTTTTGACAAGTCCCCATATGATTTGAAGTGTGATTTATTTTGGCTCTGTTTAATTAATCTGTCTGTTTCATTTAAGTAATATGTTTAACTAATTTATATTGGGTTTTATGATATTAACTACACAATGCAATTTCCAGCTGTGACGCTTTTTTGCATGGGCCCTGTTTCATGGCATGCTGCTAGAGTGCTAGTCAGTGTACCATTTTTCAGACTTTTTGGTGGCAACTCACACCTGATGGGGAAAATATTTTCATCCCTAAAATATGAATGACTGACTTTACTTCATCTATGAAAAAGGTTTCATGTATTCGAACAGCCAGTTTACATGTCACTTGACAGTTGATGGACCCACATCCTTTTGTTTCACACCCTGTCAAGATCCTGACATGAAATCCTGGTTTATCAGTTGACATAAAAATTAGCATTACCTACACCATTTTTCAAAAATAGTTCAGTTATTTACTTTCTTTTTTCTCATCCTAGGATTTTTTTTTCATCAGCACACCCAACCAAAATCCAATTTTAGGACACTGGTGCTAGTGGCCACTACTAGCACAATTAGTGGCGCACCGAATGCTGCATTCAGTTTCCATGGAGTTATCAGCAGACTGAGACGCTCCAATATTGAGTGCCATCATCAGTTTAGTAGTAGGTAAAGTTGATGTTTCAATGTCTCCAATAGCATTGCAGCGACAGCTGATGTACCGATCACCGCTTTGTCTGTTGAGTACCAGCGGTGTGGTTTGGTAGCTAGTATATCCGAACCCCCCTCCATCAGACTACCGGGCGCGGGAGTACACGAACGGCGCGTTTGCGGCGGAAGAGGAGGCGATGGCGCGCGGCCCGCGCTCCCGGGACCGCTCCTCGGAGCCCACCTCGTGGGTGCCGGTGGGCCTGTTCCCACCGGCGGCGGTCGGCCCGGCGACAGATGGAGAGATGGTCGAGCTGCAGGAGCGCACTAGCTCCAACGGGTGAGCGGCGGGGAGGTCGACAGCGCCGGGGGCTGGAACGCTGCCGCCGGGCGCACGCCGCACGGTGTATGATTAGATGTCGTGGGTAAATGGACGATCGAGAAGTGTGGAAGGATTTTTTCTCACACAGCTTGAGAGAGCTCAGGCTGTTTTGTTCGTGATGTCGGACAGTTCGGAGGATCGGTAACGATTGTTGAGAATTTGACACGGAAACTCAATAAACAGCTACAAATATCAATATTGATGCTATAAGTGAGTTTCTCTATCTCTGCTCACAAGAAGATAGGCAATGGTACACAAATGTGCATTGGTTTCATTGTTTGTCAGCTGTTACCACAGCTGCTTTCCATCCGCCCACCGCAGGGAGGAGGAGTTTTACCAACACGGCCGGCAGTACTCGAGCTTCACCCAGACTCTGCTGCGAGAACTGCCCTCCCGAGCCCCCACAGGTGAGCACAGAGCTCCAAATGAAGAGATGACCTCCCGAGCTGCCGCCGTTGGTATGTGACAAGCAACACAGTGAACTTGAGAACATTAAGCGCAAATGAGGAGCCTGAGTGAGCATTGAACAATGATAACGTCTGATGTGTTGTGTTGTGAGTCACAAAACGTAAAAATCACAGTTGAATGTCTGATAACTCCAAATGCCGACAATAGTGTTTAACTGTTTAACATTAAGACCAACACTTCCCACAAGACCTCATTTGTCCGCGCTCTTCCGCTGTCCCCTATGTGACTCCGCCCCGCTCTCTGCCGTCTCAGGCGGCCGGACGCTGCGCCGCCGTCGCGGCAGCGGCTCTGACGTGGCGTACAACACGCTGAGGTCGGTCCACTCGTACGGAGGCACCATCCGCGGCGCCATCGACATCGCCAGGTGAGGCAGACCGAGTCTGTGATCCGACGTCACGGGAGGTCGCGGGATCTTTGAGGGTGTGATGTTACGTAGTATACAGCGTTATGTGATAGGGCGTTGTGTTACGTTGAATTAATGTTGACGTCGTTAGCTATTTATTGTCATTCTACGGTGTTCTTCGTTGATTCGAAGTGTGTTGTAATTACTCTGCCGTCCCGTGCCTAGTTGCAATGAATATGTGGCTGACTGTCCCAGTCATTTGGGTTCGATGGCTTCCTTTGTCACTGTTCTCAGGTTTGATGACTTCTGTGTACCCTGAAGCTGAACCCGTCTTGTCCTCAGGCTAGGTAACTGTCTGACTCTCTCCTTCCTCAGGTTTGGTGACGATTGTGTACCTTGAAACTGAACCCTGCCCTGTACTGAGGTTAGGTAACTGTCTGACTCTCTCCCTCCCCAGGTTCGGTGACGATGTGGACGCCGTGGTGGACGAGATCCAGCGCGGAGAGGGAGACATGGTCGACGCCAACCTGGCCAGACAGGTCGAACTGTGAGTACCGACGCGGAGTCACGGCACACACACGGCTACCGGGGGCCGGGGATAGGCGCCCGAGGGGAGCCAGCAAATGGGAATGGAATCGGACTACCAGCGCTGGATTGGCACTTTGCAGACGGATGCTGGGTTGTGAAACCTTGGAGGTCGGGTTGTGAAACCAAAAGCCTATCATAACGTCGAAGAAACTATGAGTGAGTTGATAGGGTAAGACATGTTAGTTTTCTCTTTTGAAGGAATTACTTGACGTGACAAAATAAAAAAAGAAGGTGGGGGGTGAGAAGTTAAAGTACGATGAGAATCAATCTGGCCGACGGCGACGTTATGTACTTTCGTTACGACCCCGCCTGCTCCCGGGTCTGTAGGAATACGCTGAGGTAACTCGAGCGGCCGCTGTCCTACAATCGACCACCCCTCCCCTCCCTCCCAATCAGGAACACCCTTAGGGAGCTGGAGCGGCCGCTCTCCTGAAATTAAGACCACTCCTCTTTTGTCTTCAGGAACACTCTGCGGGAACTGGAGCGGCCGCTGTCGTACAAACGTCAGGTGAAGCAGCGACTGGAGCAGCGGGACCGGCAGCAGAGCAGGCGCATCGGCTTCTGGACGCAGCTCAGCAGCAACTTCCACTACTCACTGGTCCAGGTGAGGGTACTTCCACTACTCGCTGGTCCAGGTGAGGCAACTTCCACTACTCGCTGGTCCAGGTGAGGCAACTTCCACTACTCGCTGGTCCAGGTACGGCAACTTCCACTACTCGCTGGTCCAGGTGAGGACGCTGATCTTACAGGGAATTCTCGATCTTAGGACGCACAACTGGTAAGCATTAAGCCTTTTAGGGCACCTCGATTCCAAAGCTATACGTGAACAGTTACAATTAGATTCTTACAATTATGAGTCACTTAGAGCTGTCATAATCTGTGTAGTATTGCGCATTGTTCTCTCATAGATGAAAAAATTGTTTTGCGCTCAAAAAAATATATTTGTTTGTTTTCAGTGTCATTCCAGGCCTGTCATTTGCCCATTTTATTAATTCTGCCGCATTTTGCCCATGTCTATTATCTATACCACAGTCCGCCCTGCGCTGAATATTAGGACGTATCTGACCTTTCCCCGTTTTCCGTCCGCCCAGGTGGGTCGCGCCTTCTCGGACGCGTTCGAGTTTGTGAAGCTGTGGAAGGGCCACCTGCAGCGGCTGCGCGGCCAGCTGGGCAGCGGCGTGGCCACCTACTTCGAGTTTCTGGAGTCGCTGTTCTACCTCAATCTCTTCACCATGCTGGCCGTGTGAGTGGAATTAGGACGGATGGGAAGCGGGGACTGGGGAGGGGGAGCTGGCGAGGAACCAATGAGGGATACAAACACGAATGCCTCCTTTTTAATTATAATGTAACTGGGGCTACAGCTTCCTATTTCACCACGTCGCTTCGACGTGTGCGAGTTTTTTTCGCTTTCTGCATTTGTTCGCCTGTGTAGCTCTTTTGATGTGGATAATTTAGCAAGCTAATGATATCAACAATGCCGATGACAAACGACTGCCGAATGACATGTATCTACATGTGAAAAGTACATTAATTGTTTACCTTTCTGTAACGGCCTCGAGGTTGCATTAATTCTAACCTGACGTGCCGCCCGGACGGCAGGATGGGGCTCCTGACGACCCGCCTCTCCTACAGGGTGGGGTTCCTGATGACACCCCAGCTGCTGCTGCGGACCCACGAGCCTCGCGAGGCCTTCGCCAGCGCTGTGGGCGTCTTCGTCAACCAGACGCCTCCTGGCATGACGGCGTACAGCGGCAACCAGCCGTTCCACTTCGGCAACCTCTTCACCGGACAGGTGGGTCAAGGAAAGGTCTTCAGAGAGCAGGACGTTGGTTACCTAGTTTCTACATATTCACGAGACATGTGGGTGAGGGATCCCTTATCTCGGGACAGGTGAGTTGGCGAACCTTTTCATAGAATATGGATCGGAGTCGACGATTGGATTGAAGTTGGGACGAGTTCAGGTGATGATCCAGATATTGAATGCGGAGAATCAGGTGAGGCACATATGAGATCGATCAAATTATTTGGCGCCATCATCATATGGCCGGCCTAACTGAAACCGAGGGGCTGCCTGGGTACGCCAATGACCGAGGTTCAGGAGCTCGTAGGGATTTAATGTTGGCTGGTCGCGACATTCGTTTCAGGTTAGAGGTGACGTCGACATGGTAGCGTCACCCACGTCCGATGTTAGGGAGGGCGCTTTAGGTGTAGTGTCTTTTGGTTATGTGATGTGTATTATTGGATGAGTTTGGGTGTCTAATTTCATTGCACATAGACTGATGTTTCGTTTTTAGTGTTCAGTAACAAGATTGAGACATTATAATTGTGCAAGCATTTTTGTTTTGTACAATGTACATAGACGTGTTCGTTCGCATAAACCTACTTTGCCTTTGTTTAGTGCTCCTCCTTTGTTTTTTTTTTCGTTTATTTTGTCTGATGCCTTTTGTTTTCTTTAAATCATAGTGTGACATTATGTTTGCATCTTGCCTTTTCAAACACATCTCAGCCGCTGCTAGGCATTTTTAACCCGCTGGTTTTGGTTACCATGCTCTTTTCGTTTTTCACCACGCTGGCCTTTTGCCCCACGTTTTCTACCACGCTCGTGCCCTGTTCCCTAGGGCTGGCTGAACACGACTGAACTCTACTACGGTTTCTACTACCGGGCCGACGTAGCCCTGTTCGGGGGCCTGGTCTACAGCATGCCCCGCGCCTATTTCTTCACTGTCACAATCTGTCTGGCCCTGCAGCTTGCCTTTCTGGCCGTGGTGTAAGTGCCTTATATTTTTTTCAACAGTGGGATCATCAATCATGAGATGATTGGCGGATAGTTTGACGTAGCTAAATGTGATGCCTGATTTTGATATTGTTACGTGAATACTTATGAAGCTGGCCATTTATGATGCTGTCTTAGGTGGTGATATTATACCTTGAGTTTCTTTGGGAGACTTCATCAGGTATGTTACAATCGTCAATGTCGTGTGTTAGCTTAACGGGAGCTCAGAGGAAATGCTATGACAGACTAGTCCTTTTTCCTATTTGTCCTATTCATGCCTTATACTAACACATTTCAGCGCATCTATTTTTCCGTTTAATTCCTTATTCCTTCCTGTTTTTGATTCTCCCTTTATTTTTCCCATTTTATTGACCGCTTTCTCTCCCTCCATATCCATTCACAGATCCTGTGCTCCTCTGCGACAAAACCTCCCGGCCGCTGCCATCATCTCCGTACCTCCGGCTTCATCCTCGATATCCGCCCGGCGCCGGTGGCGTCATTACCCTGATAGCGGGGTTTTTACTCACTGTGCTGCGCCTGATAGGGAGGACGCGGACAGGTGGTCTCTGTACTGCGCTATCGGGTGGGTTTGAGGCCGGCCGCCGCCGCTGTTGGTAGATAAGGACGTGGTACGGACTACGGAGTGTTTTATGGGACCCGTATCAGCACTTGTACCGGTGCACGATTAGGTAATCATGTGATACGTGGAGTGTAGCCACTCTACATAGATTCATCGAAAATGATTTATAAAGAGGGTTTTACTAATTCACGTAATTTAGATGCGTTGAATGACTTTTGTTTGCATAGTTCTACCGGGCTTCTCAAAAAAGTTGGACGATCTTATAACTAACGTATTGAAGCGTGTATCTGTGTAACAAAACATAATTGGGTATCACCTAAAAGCCTCATCAAAGACATTTCATTTGAGGGGATTTCGATCCTCGGCAGTCGCCTTTCTGAGCCGCGCTGAGGTCATGTTCGAGATGATTCCCTTTTTGCTCGATGCACAGTTTAGCCCGGCGCAGCGCGACCTCTGCTGCAGCACGACCCACGGAAAGCTGCAGACGGCACACCGCTGACTCTACTGCATCCTTATGATCTTCGGAACTTTTTGGGTGGTTTCGGTACACCTAGAACTTGAGGTGGTCCTATAGGAAAAAGTCCGGTGGGGTGACGTTCGGAGAATTCGCCGACCACGGGCGTGTCTCGAACCTCGAGATCACGCGCTGCCCGAAGCGCTCCCACAGCCCCTCCCGGTTTTCTTTAGCGGTATTGGCGTGGCACCGTCTTGCTGGAACCATTGGATCTTAAACGTTTCCGGATCTCTGCTCATCTTGATATTGCAGAACCCTCCAAAACGTCGCCAGAGCTACCCGATATCGCTGACCATTGACAGACTGAGTAGTGCATCTCTCACACGAGTAGTGTTCGCCGTGAGCCTTTGATTGGGTTTATGGCCGCCGCTGTGTTCCTTGAATTGCGTGTGAACCTATTGTTAACACTTCCTCGAGCCAGAAACTTGTCCATAATGTGGAAAACTGTGTTTCAAGATGTTGCTCTCTTTGCCCTAAAGTGCTTGCGGATCTTTCGTCGTGTTGAGCCGACCGACTTAGTATGGGAAAGCATAATTTGACGAGTTTTGCTTTTACTTCCTAAGACCACGGCTTCATTTTTTAAGCTGGCTCAAACCATAGTGCTGTTCGGGCAGCGCATCCTATTGCAAAATTTTGCACCACGCATGCGCAGTTGGGGTCTCTCGGGCGCCAAGGTCCGCCCATCGGCGTATGACGTCACACGTGTGACGTAGGCTCGCGCAAAATCTTTCAGTTTTGCGCAAGAAGAAAATAGTAGCTGCAGGAGGCGAAAGTGGCGCGGATTAAAGTTTACCCTCATATATTTCTTATTGTAAGTGGTTAGTATGGTGTTATTTTGGTATCATTATCTTTCTTTTCAGTGGCACATTGCTATTAACCACATTTGAACGCATTTTACTCAGTAATTGAACGAAACACACCAGTCCATCTGCGCCACGGTTCGCCGCGTCTCGCGTGGCCCTCGGCTTTGCGGGCCGGCGGAGAGGGGGTGGAGCATGGGCGGAGCCAGGCGGCTGACATCATCGCATGTGTGACTTCACACTCAGCAAAATATTTTGCGCGGACCCGAACAGGGCTCATGGTGTCATATAAATCTACAAAAAATTCTCCGTTTTTCCACGTGCATTGATTTTGCTTTAATGTTGTTAGGGGTCCTCTATTCGCAAAAGAAATCTGTCTAACTTTTTTGAGAAGCCCGGTATATACCTTTATTTTGATCCGATGCTGATGCAACCCTTTTATTTTCTCATTGGGCACTATCCTCACTTCACTGATGCGAGCTGAGTGGATACCTCTAACAACAAGTATCTACACGGGCCTCATATGAAACATACGCACCTCAGAGATCCTATTTGGCATTGTTTTTCTGCGCAGCATAAGAAAATTAAACATTAATGAGAAATTATATCAGGCTTTCTTTTTGCGCACTGTTTGGCAAGATGAAATTATGCTTCCATCCAGTGTAAACCAAGCGCACTACCAATATCTATCTGTCAAACGACGATGCTAGCAAATGAGGGTTGATTTTTTTATCTCAAACAAATGGTTACCACCCCCCCCCCCTTCTTCCAATTCGTTTTGCAGCACGGCCCGCCTGTACCGGTCCAACTTCATCGATGCCTCCAGCGTATCGCGTAATGTCTTCTTCAACAAGGTGCTGTGCAGCTGGGACTTCAGCATTGCCTCGGAGAAGATGGCCGGCCTGCGGCACAACGCCATCTACAATGAACTGAGGGTGAGTTAGCGGTACAGTGTGACCTCTCTGTAACACTAGGAGATGACGTTGGACTCGTCTTTGACCCCAAATGCATGATAATTAATGGTGTGTGACCTTTCTGGGCCCTAGGAGATGACGTGTCCCCTGCTGCTGACCCTGTCTGATCCCACAGATGACTTGGTGCTACCCCTGTGACCTTTCTCTGACCCCTGTGCCCCCTGCAGGAGATGCCGTGTGACCTTGTGCTCACCCCTGGTGACCTCTGTGTGACCCCTTTGACCTCTTTGACCTCTGTGTTACCGTGCAGGAAATGAACTGTGACCTGTTAATGATCCCCTGTGACCTCTCCTTGACCCCGCAGAAGATGGCGTGTGACCTGTCTGACCCTCCATGACCTCTGACCCTCCGTGACCTCTGACCCTCCGTGACCTCTGACCCTCCGTGACCTCTGACCCTCCGTGACCTGTCTGACCCTCCGTGATCTTCGTTGCCCCGCAGATGACTTGTGACGTCCTGTACTGACCTCCGTGACCTCTATCTAACCCCGCAGGAGACGACGTGTGACCTTTTCCTGACCTCCGTGACCTCTGTCTAACCCCTCAGGAGATGACGTGTGACCTGGTGCGCAAGCAGCGCTCGCTGGTGCCGGAGGACGGCCAGCCGCCGGGCCCCGGTAAGATGGTCTGGGCCATCCGCTGTCTGGTGAACTCTGTGATTGCCGGCACGCTGGTCGGCGTCGGCTTCCTCACGAGGTACCTGCTGCAGCAACAGCAGGTCAGCAGCTGGGACGGGGTGGCTTTTATACCGTGGCGGTGTTTGGATCTTCGCCCTCAGAGCTGCTTCTTGACCAGTGTTAGAATATGAATTGACGTATGCTAGAGCTGTGTCTCACGACCTTATGATGTGGTGTGGATACGAGTTTGAAAGATTCAGCCACGTATAAGATAAAAAACTGAACGTTTTCCATTGATTGCTGCGGTTTATTCTTCCTGTCCTTGTTTACGCTGCCGTATGCTATTAAATCTATCACCACTATATGTCTCATACCGTCAATTACTACCGCACCCTTCGCCTTCCCTCAGAACGTGTCGCCCGGTTTCCTGCGGGTGGCGGCGTTTGCCGTGGTAGTCACCGTACTCGTGTACCTGCTTCCGTTCGCGTTCAGCGCTCTGGCGCAGCTGGAGCTCTACGGGCAGCTACGATACCAGGTCTACGTCACTCTGGCTAGGTAAGGGAGACTGAGCGGGAGATGGGAGGGACGGGGGAGGGAAGGAGGGAGAAGGAGGCTTTTACAGGCGGAGCTCTACGGACAGCTGCGATACCAGGTCTACGTCACACTAGCGAAGTGAGGGGACTGGGGAAGGGAGGAGATGAATGAGAAAGGGGATGAGAACTGAGAATATGGAGGAACCAGGAAACTGTTGCGAGGGACTGGGTGTGATGTTGGCTTATATTAGGCGGATAAAGATGATAGCGGGTTGCTAATGGGGGAGAGCATATTTTTGTTTTAAATCGAATCCACTGGGCGCCTCATAGCTAAATGTGTGTGTGTCATTTGGGTGTGATGTTATTTGACCCCCCTTCGTTCTCAACTGCAATTTTTTGGAACCGTGTAGTATTTCAAATTTTTATGTCGTTTGCAGGACCATCGTGCTGGAGGCTGTCATCCTGGGCGTCACCATCAGTTTTTGGCTGGATAAACAGACGGGAAAACAGGTGGGTACTCACGTCATATTCTACACCTCCAATGGGATATTGTATCACATTATTCACAACCCTATTGGCTTTATTGATCGTACGTTGTAATGTTGACAGTGAATGTGATGCGGTGGGCGGCCTACATACTGGTGCAGTTTCAAGGCTAACCGAACCATGTCAACGCTTTGGAATTCATCTAACCAATCGTGTACATAAGTGTGCAGTGTCCTACCGTGATGCCTCTCCCTTTTCCCCTTCTTGACCCCGGTCTCACCAGCTACACTTGCTGTTTAAGTGCTATGAGAGTGCCTTGTGCAGCGTACCTTTGTAACACCCTTTTCCCCTGACCGTTTCATCACACGTTACCACTGTGTTCCAGTGTTGGGAGAGCGAGCTGGGCCAGGTGATTGTGCAGCGCACCATCCTAATACCCTTTCCCCTAACCCAGCTCACCCACTACCACTGTGTTCCAGTGTTGGGAGAGCGAGCTGGGCCAGGTGATTGTGCAGCGCACCATCCTAATACCCTTTCCCCTAACCCAGCTCACCCACTACCACTGTGTTTCAGTGTTGGGAGAGCGAGCTGGGCCAGGTGATTGTGCAGCGCACCATCCTAATACCCTTTCCCCGATCCCAGCTCACCCACTACCACTGTGTTCCAGTGTTGGGAGAGTGAGCTGGGTCAGGTGATTTACCAGCGTACCTTTGTAACACCCTTTTCCCCTGACCCCGCTCACGTCACGTTACCGCTGTGTTTCAGTGTTGGGAGAGCGAGCTGGGTCAGGTGATCTACCAGCTAGTCATCATGGAGTTCATCTTCACACTCGTACTCTCACTCCTGGGAGAGTTTGTCAGGAACCAGCTGTTCAGGTGGGTGCACACTACACGGTAGCGTATGTAACACTGTTGGGAGAGTTTGTCAGGAACCAGCTGTTCAGGTGGGTGCACACTACACGGTAGCGTATGTAACACTACCCCACTGTTTGGAGAGTTTGTCAGGAACCAGCTGTTCAGGTGGGTGCACACTACACGGTAGCGTATGGAGCAGTACCCCACTCCTGGGAGAGTTTGTCAGGAACCAGCTGTTCAGGTGGGTGCACACTACACGGTAGCGTATGTAACACTACCCCACTGTTTGGAGAGTTTGTCAGGAACCAGCTGTTCAGGTGGGTGCACACTACACGGTAGCGTATGTAACACTACCCCACTGTTTGGAGAGTTTGTCAGGAACCAGCTGTTCAGGTGGGTGCACACTACACGGTAGCGTATGGAGCAGTACCCCACTCCTGGGAGAGTTTGTCAGGAACCAGCTGTTCAGGTGGGTGCACACTACACGGTAGCGTAGGTGTAATACTACCCCACTGCTGGGAGAGTTTGTCAGGAACCAGCTGTTTAGGTGGGTGCACACTACACGGTAGCGTATGTAACACTGTTGGGAGAGTTTGTCAGGAACCAGCTGTTCAGGTGGGTGCACACTACACGGTAGCGTATGTAACACTGTTGGGAGAGTTTGTCAGGAACCAGCTGTTCAGGTGGGTGCACACTACACGGTAGCGTATGTAACACTACCCCACTGTTTGGAGAGTTTGTCAGGAACCAGCTGTTCAGGTGGGTGCACACTACACGGTAGCGTATGGAGCAGTACCCCACTCCTGGGAGAGTTTGTCAGGAACCAGCTGTTCAGGTGGGTGCACACTACACGGTAGCGTATGTAACACTACCCCACTGTTTGGAGAGTTTGTCAGGAACCAGCTGTTCAGGTGGGTGCACACTACACGGTAGCGTATGTAACACTACCCCACTGTTTGGAGAGTTTGTCAGGAACCAGCTGTTCAGGTGGGTGCACACTACACGGTAGCGTATGGAGCAGTACCCCACTCCTGGGAGAGTTTGTCAGGAACCAGCTGTTCAGGTGGGTGCACACTACACGGTAGCGTAGGTGTAATACTACCCCACTGCTGGGAGAGTTTGTCAGGAACCAGCTGTTTAGGTGGGTGCACACTACACGGTAGCATAGGTGTAACACTACCCCACTGTTGGGAGAGTCTGTAAGGAACCAGCTGTTCAGGTGGGTGCACTCTGCACACTACACGGTAGCGTATGTAACACTACCCCACTGTTGGGAGAGTTTGTCAGGAACCAGCTGTTCAGGTGGGTGCACTCTGCACGGTAGCGTATGTAACACACTGTTGACACTGTTAGAAGAGTTTGTAAGGAACCAGCTGTTCAGGTGGTTACTCGCTACACACAGCACACGGCACAGGTCAGGTTGGAGTGGAAGCGTGGGAGTTTGAAAATGGGTACCTACCTATGCCAGATAGGAAATGTGATCGCACCACGTATTTATAGTAATCAGACTGCCTTCGAGAAGGACAACATTGTTGAAGCAACAACATATTCTTCCATAGTAGTGAACATGATTATGGTGCCTAGATTAGCATGACCTCTCCATGACTGCGCCTCAAGACTTTAACACATTGATAACTAGTCAACAAATATAACGAATTAGTTTCCATACCTATCAGGCTAATAGCCCAGCCCTGACCCCACCGCCGCCTTCTTCTAACGCTTTACGTCCCACAGGGCGGGTCTGACGCGTATCGGCCGTCCCAAATTCGAGTTGGCCAGCAACACCATGTTTCTGGTGTACTCGCAAACGCTCGTCTGGCTGGGCCTCTACTTCAGCCCCCTCATCACCGTCATCGGCACCGTCAAACTCTTCTGCTCGTTCTACGTCAAAAAGGTGGGCGCGCAGGGTCAAAGACATCGGCAGTCTAGCAGGAATGGTAATGTTTTACTAGGGTGGTTTAGCCTTTTATGAACTGGTGTTTTCGTTGTAATGTTGTTAAAGATTTCCTTCTTTCTTTGATTGATTACGACTCATTTACTCTAATTGTTAATTTCATCTGTCATTTGTGCTTACGGGAATTGCAGGGTATAAACGCGTTCTACGTTGTTATTATATTTTGTACTCTTTGCATTTTAAAGTCCGTTTTGGACTTGCTTGGCCGTTTATGTTGGAGTATTCGTTCCATGAACTTTGATATTTGAAATAATCATTTTAACCAACCACCCCACGTCATTGACGCAGTCCAGGCCATCCGGTCCCCAGTTCAGGTCAGCTGCCCGCTCCAGCTGCGAGCCGGCGGCCATTTATAACACATACCACCCGCTGCGGTCCCCAGTTCAGCTGTCTCTCCAGCTGCGAGCCGGCGGCCATTTATAACACATACCACCCGCACTGGTTTCCAGTTCAGCTGTCTGTCCAGCTGCGAGCCGGCGGCCATTTATAACACATACCACCCGCACTGGTTTCCAGTTCAGCTGTCTGTCCAGCTGCGAGCCGGCGGCCATTTATAACACATACCACCCGCTGCGGTCCCCAGTTCAGCTGTCTGTCCAGCTGCGAGCCGGCGGCCATTTATAACACATGCCACCCGCTGCGGTCCCCAGTTCAGCTGTCTGTCCAGCTGCGAGCCGGCGGCCATTTATAACACATGCCACCCGCTGCGGTCCCCAGTTCAGCTGTCTGTCCAGCTGCGAGCCGGCGGCCATTTATAACACATGCCACCCGCTGTGGTTTCCAGTTCAGCTGTCTGTCCAGCTGCGAGCCGGCGGCCATTTATAACACATACCACCCGCTGTGGTTTCCAGTTCAGCTGCCCGCTCCAGCTGCGAGCCGGCGGCCATTTATAACACATGCCACCCGCTGCGGTCCCCAGTTCAGCTGTCTGTCCAGCTGCGAGCCGGCGGCCATTTATAACACATGCCACCCGCTGTGGTTTCCAGTTCAGCTGTCTGTCCAGCTGCGAGCCGGCGGCCATTTATAACACATATCACCCGCTGTGGTTTCCAGTTCAGCTGTCTGTCCAGCTGCGAGCCGGCGGCCATTTATAACACATACCACCCGCACTGGTTTCCAGTTCAGCTGTCTCTCCAGCTGCGAGCCGGCGGCCATTTATAACACATACCACCCGCACTGGTTTCCAGTTCAGCTGTCTGTCCAGCTGCGAGCCGGCGGCCATTTATAACACATACCACCCGCACTGGTTTCCAGTTCAGCTGTCTCTCCAGCTGCGAGCCGGCGGCCATTTATAACACATACCACCCGCACTGGTTTCCAGTTCAGCTGTCTGTCCAGCTGCGAGCCGGCGGCCATTTATAACACATACCACCCGCACTGGTTTCCAGTTCAGCTGTCTGTCCAGCTGCGAGCCGGCGGCCATTTATAACACATGCCACCCGCTGTGGTTTCCAGTTCAGCTGTCTGTCCAGCTGCGAGCCGGCGGCCATTTATAACACATACCACCCGCTGTGGTTTCCAGTTCAGCTGTCTGTCCAGCTGCGAGCCGGCGGCCAACTCGTGGCGCGCGGCACAGACGCGCACCGTGTTCCAACTGGTGGCCTTCGTTTCCATGATGGCGGCCATGGCGGCCGTCGGAGTGGTCGTCTTCAAGTAAGGACCGGTGTTGCTTGTTGGGAGCGGGTGTTGATGTGTTGTGTGGGGTGTCATCACGCTGGGTCTGGTGCTGCCATGCTGGGTAGGGAGTGAGGGTCTTGCGCATGGATCCGTTTCATTGCTGATCCTTGGAAGTTCACTAGACTGGGGCTAGTATGTTGATAGTTATTACTTCGGTATTTGAATTTTTATTCGACAAAGCGTGTTTATCTGTAAAGAGTATCGCTAAGTTTCGAAACAATAACGTCGAAGCAGATAACTGATATGCGCCTCGCACAGGCATGCTACCTATTTGCGCATTTAGTCCTGCTCATTGTAAGCGAAAGACTGGCGACAACTTTTCAACGTTAGCAGCTGACATTATCCCTATCAGCTCCGCTCTCCCGCGTCCCTTCCCACAGGTCTCGTAATTAGCTGGTAACTCTCGGACCGTCAGCTCCGGTTTCACTATCGTCTCCGCTCTCCCGTCCCCCACAGATTGCGCACCTTCTCAGACCACTAACGGCGCCGCTCTCCCCGTCTTTCCCACACAGAGTGCGCAGCTCGTCGTCATGCGGCCCGTTCCAGGATCTGTCGCAGCCGTGGCAGGTGGTGACGGACATCGTGGACCAGTGGAACGACCAGCTGGTCTACTACCTCTCCTACATCACCTCGCCGGGGTTCGCCGTCTACGTCATACTCATACTCTGGTGCGTGGCGACGATGTCGATTTACAGCGAGTTGTTGACTACAGTGTCTTTGTAGTGGCATAACGTAAGATGGAACAAGGCGAAAGAATTGTCTCTACCTGCACAGAGCTTCAAGTTTTTTTTTTATAAATTTAGTCCGAACCTTTTGATAGGAAGGATTCACAAGGACAGAGCCACCGCTAAGCGAAGCTTGTTGCGGTGACCCTGCCCTCTACCCTCCGATCGCGCAATTCCGGTTCTATGGCAGAATTTAGAGTCCAAAGTTTAACGTGCGCACATAGCCGCGCACGGCCGGTTCCCTCACTGACTTCGCCTGGCTACGGCCTGCCACCAACCGCAACCATACCTGTCAGGAGGCCCATAAATGTCTAGCGCCCGTCGCGCTTCGAACCCGGACTGTTGTAACCGGGAACGCGTGCTCTCACCACGCGGAGTCCAACGCTCTTACCAGCTGAGCTACGGGACGGACAAGCGGCAGGACAAGTTTAATATCAATTTGAAGATTTACCGTAGCAAATGCTAATATGACCTCGTCAAAGTATCTCCTGCCTTCCTCTTACCCACATCCCCTTCATCACCCTTGTCTTGACTTCAGTTTCGAACCCCGTTGTCTCTGACTATTGATCCGTAACCTGTGATCCCTCATCCTGCCCTGATACCCCCTGACCTCTGCCCCCTGTCAATGGTCCTTTCACTTGACCCTTGACTGACTTCTAACCCCTTTACCCTCCGGTCGTTTCAGTATCCTGGTGTACTTTGGCCGGAACCGGGCGCGCATTCAGCAGCGTCGGGTGACCGCACTGCGGGGCCAGCTGCTGCTCGAGGCGCAGGATAAACGGCTGCTGCTCAGGATGATCGACGAACAGTCGCGGAAACTGAGGGACTCGGGAGGTAAGAGAGAGGATGAGAGGGTGAGAGAGGAGAGAGAGAGTGAGGGAGAGAGTGTGGGAAGGAAGGGATGTCTAATGTCTATACTGGGGAGGGGTCCTGCGGGGTGGGGGAGGGAAGGTGCTATGTGGGAATGAAAGGAGTGCCTAGCCCGTAGGATGTCACTCAAGCTTATGTGAGGGTTGGACGAATGGTGTGCCATAGGGGTGGGGGAGTTGAATTGCGAAGAGGTTTGAGATGAAAGAAAGCTGCACACGTGCCATGCCATACCATGGTTAATATCGAACAAAATATGGTCGACCTATGCATTGATTGAAGAGTCGCATTCAATTTCTCTTCTTTATTGTATGGGTATTGTTCAATGTGCATGCACTCTCCATCACGTCGTGATGTTTCTGACGTCGTCACGTTTCTGTGTGTGTTTTCAGATGACTCCCACGCGGCTCAGTCCAGCTCTGATCAGTACGCCCGCTGAGCACTGGACTTTGGACATCGTCTCAACAACGACCACTGAGGAGCACTGAATGGGAGGAGTTAACAGTTACGACTGAGGAGCGAGAGGATCGTAAACGGACGACTGAGGATTGAAGAGTGGCGACTGAAAGGGCTTAGTCGGGACTGGCTCGGTCCTATAAAGCAGCAGTGCAGTTCTTTCATTTAACGTTAGATGGCTATTGACCACTCTTCATGACACTGAGGCACCACCCGTCGAACTGTCTCGGTCTATGTCAGAGTAGCTGCGAGACAGTCTCAGTCAATATCGGGAAAGCAGTGAGACAGTCCTAGTCGATGAATGAGAAGCTATGCGGCCTTGTCAGTCAAATTTGTCGAGTTTTGACATGTAGGCATCGCCTTGGTGGAACCCTATTACGGAAGTGTCTTGCTGGAGTCTATGGGATCACGTAAGTTGACCGAACGCTTCGTAGCGTTTACGAGAGAATCGCACAACGGCTAGCAAGTTTATATGAGGATCATCGATATTTTCTACATCGCAATATTCAGCCGGCAGGTTGATATGTTGATTCAAACATGATGAAGAAGAAGATATTTTATAGAGATTTTCTGGGTGGATTCCGCTAAGAACGACGTGTCTGCGCGAGCAACAGAGTCTTCCGTATCGGCAACTTAGTTGAATTATGTATTGCATTGTTACTGGTCACTTTACAAAGTGAGTCGCGTATTCTGGTACTGATTCTGAGCTTAGGAATTCGGCTTTGAGGCAGAGAACTTATGAAATCGAAATGGACAGGGAATATGTGACTTGTGATTATTTTGCTGGTGAATAGTGGTGCCATTCATGTCGGTGATTTATTAGGAAAACGTTAATCAAACGAACCAAAGAGGCTTTTGATTCGAGCTTTTCATAGCATTTGTTCAGGGTAACCGTTGCAACGCTGCATTGAATGGGGCTTCAGTTGAATGGTGTTGTGTGAATACCAAGATTGATATATTTCAGACGTCGATATTGAATGGATCGTCATTTGTAGTTTCTTTCAATCTGTGTGTCTGGTGATGGCACTTCATTATGTTCTGTCCTAAACGCTCATACATAGTTGTCAATCGCTTTAGATATTATCTTCGAACTTCTAGATATTGTGTTTGTGCATGATCAAGGAGCATCGTGTTTGCTTTACGTAACATTGAAACTTCTTTAATTCGGAAACACGTATGGCATGTATAGCAAGTTTTGTCGTGATCTATCTGAATTTAGGATACACCTGCAGCTATGAGTGCCGCACTATGTACTTTGTTCCCTGCTTTGCCGTTGTTCGTGCCTGTATTCGTATGTGAAGGCACGTAGAGAATGCACAGGAGAAGTTTGTCGTTCCCTTTATTGTACAGGGTAGCTGAGTAAATTTTAACGACATATTTGAAGCTGTCGTTGATTGTTGCACCCTGAGATTTACGATAGTATTATAGAAAAGCGCCGAGCGTTTTGTGGTAGATTGTTTTTCAGCGCATTTTAAACCACCGCGATGTGTATGATGATATGCTGTATGCGTTTGTGGTATTGTTGAAGGTAGTGGGCATACTTAGTGAAAATCGATACACTTCCATGATGCGCCTTCCAATATTTGCTCTATTGCAATTTGCAAAGCCTTGCAATGCTTCCAATGTCTATCGCGGTTGTCAGCGCCGTTTTGAGCCACTTATTGCTGTTTCTCAAATTGATGTTACGATGTCCCGGTTGTTGAATGCGATATCAGCAAATGTTTTGATGAAACATTGGTAAATAAAGGAGTCGGCTCTCCGATCATGTGTTGTCAATGAATGTTGTTCGTGAATTTAGAATGATACAATTTATTTTGACAAGGGATTTTGTCCTCAAATTCCATTTACTGTCGTTAGTTAAATAAGTTCTTGAAGAATTTATTTAACTTCTAGGCTTGAAAATGTGTGAATATTGGAACGGTGGGGTCTAAGGTTGCAGAGCATGAAACATCGTCAAACTGTCAATGGCAAAGTTTTCCAGGAGGCTGCACCGATGCCTCGGCTTTTTCGAGCGAGGCAGGCCCGAACCATGGATGAAGTATACCTAATCCATGCCCGAACCAAGGCTCTAGGGCCCGAACGAAGGCTTGAGACAGGCAACATTTTCCGTGCTTTCGCCGTTCAGCACGTCATGGTGAGCGTATAACTTCAACGATTTGACCTTGGGAGCGGATAAGATACTGATGGGACTGCTTCAATTATTGTCATAAAATAAAGGCTTGTAGTACTAATAAATTATTATTTGAGACGTTTTGCTTTATCATTCAAAACAACACGTTACCTGTTCCAACACGTTACCCAGCCCACACGTTACAGGCTTGGAGAGAGGCCAAGTACTCTGGACTTAGTATTTACCAATGAGGAGGGTATGGTTCGCAACCTTGAGTACGGCCCTGCCCTGGGTAGAAGTGATCATGTGATCCTTACCTTCACATTGATGTGCTACGCACCTGCGCCATCCTCGCTGCCACGCATGTATTCTCGCACCAACTATCGTTCATTGACTAATGTGCTTGAATCGTGCAACTGGGCGGTGATGAGGAACATGAGTACTCAAGAAGCTCACACCTTCTTTAGCTCGTCAATCTGTGCAGTCATTGAGTCATGCTCCAGCATCAGAAAGAAGGCCTCTGACCATAACATATACCTATATGAACCGCCAAGCCCTCCAACTAAGGAAAAGGAAAAGGCTATTTATTGTGGAGCACTTACTGCCGAAGCCACGATGAACTTGATCACGTCAGGTACGTCAGGTGTCGAAACGACCTGAGGAACGTGACCAGAGCCCTCCGGAGACAACATGAGCAAAAGCTGGTACTGTCAATCAAAGATAACCCGAAGTGCTTCTGGCGGTATGCAAATTCACGCCTCAAGACCAAAAATGGCATCGGCGACCTAGAAGATGAGAATGGAGAAACGGTGTCTTCTGATAAGGCAAAAGCTAACGCCATGAACAGATACTTCAGTAGCGTCTTCGTCGAAGAAGCGTCAGGCACCATCCCTGTCCTGGAGCGCCCCCATCACGGACCGCTTCTGGAGGACGTCGAAATCTCCCCGCTACGGGTACACACTAAGCTGGCAGCGCTGCGGGCACACAGCTCGCCAGGACCCGATGGCCTTCACCCTCGCGTACTAAAGGAGAATGCAGCCGTCCTCTCCCACCCACTGAGCTGGATCTTCAGGAAATCGCTGGACTCCGGGGATGTCCCCCCAGAGTGGAAGATCGGCAACGTGACTCCGATATTCAAGAAAGGAGATCGCCGCCTACCATCCAGCTACAGACCGGTGAGCCTGACATCCGTCTGTTGTAAGGTCCTCGAATCTGTCATCAGGGATGAGCTCCTGCACCATATGTCAGCAAACGGCCTGCTTCACAGAGCTCAGCATGGTTTCCTGGCAAAGCGTTCGTGTAGCTCCCAATTGCTTGAGGTACTGGAAGACTGGACCGCTGCCTTGGAAGACCGAACCCCGGTGGATGTGGTCTACCTAGATTTCGCCAAAGCATTTGACTCGGTGCCGCACAAACGTCTTCTCGAGAAGCTGAGGTCGTATGGTGTCGGAGGTAAACTTCTCACCTGGATACAGACCTTCCTAGTTGGCCGTCGTCAACGGGTGCTGATTCAGGGCTGCAACTCGGAGTGGGCACCTGTCTCCAGCGGTATCCCCCAAGGTTCAGTATTGGGGCCGACGCTGTTCACAATATACGTCAACGACATGCCATTAGAGGTCTCAAGCAATATGAAGATGTTCGCGGATGACACGAAGCTATACAAGCCACTGACAAATCCATCCGATCGTGGTGCTGGCCTGCAGGGTGATCTGGACGCTCTGGCACGATGGTCCTCAAGGTGGCTGCTGCCGTTCAACGCAGGAAAGTGTAAGGTGATGCACATGGGCTCAAGAAACCCTGCACACGAATATAGGCTGAACGGGACGCCCATCGCTGTGGTAGACGAAGAAAGGGATCTGGGGATCATAATCGACTCTGAGCTGAAGTTTCATACGCAAACGGCCGCGGCCGTTTCAAAAGCCTCACAGCTGCTCGCGGTCATCAAGCGATCCTTCGCTCACATCGATGAGACGACCCTACCCTTGCTCTACAAGGCTCTCGTCCGCCCCTTTCTGGAGTTTGGGAACGCCGTCTGGGGACCGTTCAGCAAAGGAGACCAGAAACGCTTAGAAAAGGTCCAGAGACGCGCCACGCGTATGGTGGAATCCATCAAGCACCTTCCCTACCCCGAGCGTCTGGAGCGTCTCCGACTGCCGTCGTTGTTCTACCGCCGCCGCAGGGGAGACATGCTGACGGTCTACCAGCTGTTCCACGGTGGAATCGATGTGCCGGCAACGACCTTCTTCACCAAGAACGAGACCGAGCTGACGAGAGGACACGGGTGGAAGCTGCTCAAACCCCGAGCTGTGACTCTCGCCCGACGAAGCAGCTTTAGCGTCCGCATCATCAACGACTGGAACGCTCTACCTGCTGAGGTCGTATCAGCCGAAACACTCTCGACATTCAAGGCACGACTCGACCATCACTGGACCCACCTAATGTATGTCATGCCACAACCTTACGAGTCCTGAATGTCTCTGCAAGTAACTCGGTGAGAACGGGACCTATAGGCCAAGTGGCCTTTTCTATCCCGATGACCTTCAAGGTAAGGTAAGGTAAGGTAAAACACGCCTCGAGTGGACTATTAATTTCGTTGCAGTGTTTTGTTGGAAACTCTTCCGCTTCTCTGCAAACACTGCGCGGGTGCGTCGTTCCTGGCACCCGTGTTGTGATTCGTGTGCTGCAAGAGTGGGCAATTCAATTTAATTTTATTTAACAATAAAAGCAACATTCGTTTGGAAATAATGTAATTTTTTATAAACTTAGACCTTGAGTTCACATTCTTTAGCCGCCGTAGCAATGCATATTCCTCAGAGCTTTGGTCAGAATGCATGTCGCTGCAGCGTGTGTGGGTCTGGGGCTCAAGCTGTGAATCTAATACAAATAAGTCAACTGCTCAAGGTAAGTGAAGTATTTATTGGTGAAACCACGGTTATTGTTATCAGTGATTTGTGACAGTATAGGATTAAGCAATAGTTGAGTTGGGACCATGGCAACATGACAACAATACTAATACGTGGTGAGCTCAATGGATCACTTCAGTTGCCATAGTTTAAGGATACACTAGGTGTGCCATGCTAGCTTAAACATGTTGGAGGGTTTTTCATGTAGTCCCTCTGAATTACTGCCCATCACCAAAGGAGTCAAATTCATACGTATAAGTTACGACCAATGTCACACAACACGTGACACATCCTTTAGGCGTTACAGATTATATGGATCACCGATTTTCAAATGCTTCTTAGTTCATTCTTTGCATTGTTGGTCACCCTTTTTCACATTTTGCAGGGGTGTCTGTACATTATTAAAAAAGGCAAAAATAGATTGATGGTTTAACTGCATTCTACATAGGCCATCTCGATTCTATCCTGTCCTGTGTCTTTAAAAAAGACATGATAAAATTTTATAGGGTGAAGTGTAAGTTGTACTTCAATTGAAATAGTTGCAGGCCTGTAGTAGGTGTTATGTGATGCAAGAATTATTCTTTCAGAAATCCAAGCTTTCACTTGAATTACTGTGCCATTGAATTATTAGGTATTTAATTGATTGCAGAAGCAGCAGTATCGATTGTAGGCATCAAATCACTTACGATGCTTTTTAATTACTGGCTCTTTACCAGGTCTGTCATGTCTGGTGCCTACATTTCATCTTTTTCTCCAAAAGTCCTTTGATCCATGTATTTAGGCTTTATTTATCATTGTGGAAGTGGCTCTGGAGAGCTTCAAGCCACTATCTATGCATGTTTGACAGAAATGACTGCCACACATTGATATGAGTGTATTCAATGAAACCACAGGAGAGCGCACACTGGTACAAATCGAAGGTAGAGTGGGCCTTGGAAGGCCCCATCCGCCTGGAGAGTATCTGCAACAGCTGTGATCGTCTTGTGAAGACTGCAGACCATCTCAATTACCGGGGTTACATGAGCAAGTAAATGCGTATCAGGAACGGATTTTCCTATTCGCTCACCATTGTAGTCCGTTTGTAATGCGTATTAACTCTGCTCATGTAACCCCGAGCAATGTAAGTGGGGTTAACTGTTGTCTTTCTTGCTGTCTCAACTTTCAAGCACCAAGTGTTTCAAGTATATTGTGCTTTTGCTTTATCTTTACCTGAGCTGTGCCTTGATTGCCATCATTTATCCATGACAAATGTATCACCATTATCAATGTTTCTTGAAATATCCACAGAATGAACTGGTTTCCACTTTGGCCACCCTGCAGCAGAAGCACAGCTCTCTGCAGCAGGCAGCAAAAGATAGCGACTCCAAAGAAGTGACAGGAACTGTGATCAGTCAAAAGCAGACTGTGGACATTGTGCAACAGGAGCAGGTAATATACTATACGTGATGGAATAAATATTTAACCGTGTACTCCAGTCCAAGCTGTTCTATAATAATTGGATAATATATTTCTTCAAGGAAGTTTTGTGCAATTTGTAAGCAATAAGCACCTCAGTTGTCTGCCAAGTGCCGGTCAGAGTGAACTTTGTACAAAGAGCTTCTGTTTTAAAGGATTATCTTATACTCATTGTCTTCGCCCAAGCATCACTTGACCAACCTTCTCCTCCCGGCAGGCATCCGTCCGGCGTGTTGGAGCAGATGACGTCCTCATCACCATCTGGGCCGACCACCGCCTCTCCTCCCGGTCCGAGCCCCAGGCGGAACAGAACTCCGCAGTGGTGGCGGAATCTGTCTCAACGGTAAAGCGCGCTGATAATGAATCTCAGACGCTGGGAAAGGAGGCTGAGGAAGATGGAACCGCCATTGAGGGACGTTCGACTACGAAACGGACACGAAAGGTAACTGGTCACAGTCAGCTGCTTTGAAATGACTTGAATAAATCCGTCTCTCGTGTCCACTTTCAGCACCTGAATATGAAGAGTGGTAATCTTAGATTAATTCATTTCATTTGCCCTTGAGCATGGTTTTAATACCCTGCTTCAATCCATTTCAGACGACGGCGCGCCTCTCTTGTGATGTGTGTCATCGGTCATTTGGCACCGAGTCAACATTGGCCCGACACAAGAGGCGAGCGCACAGGAACAACGGAGATGATCACGACAGCCTCGCGAAAGACAGTGCTCGCAATACAGGCTCTTCACTACAGCAGAAGGGTAATTCAGCTGCTGCCAAGCGAGGGGACAAGGATGTGGGAACAGTTATTAGTAGGAGGAAGAAGAGTGCACCTCGCAAGTGTTCGACAGAGGATGATTATGATGAACATCGGACCCTGACCGCTTGCGATAACGTCAGGTCCCCTCTAGCTTCATCTTCTCATGCGGTGAGAAGTCGTCTGCAGCCGCGTGATTTGGGACTCGTGGCACGCAATCCTTCCGTTGCAACGTCAAGTGTGGTTGCTTCTGATGCTGCTGGAAGTGGTTATGATGAGTCACGCTCCAAGGCAAACGAAAACTCGACAAGAACGGCGATGAAGGCCGGGAATACTGAAGTCGGGTTCACGGATTCAGGGCCAGAACAGGATCCAGTCAGCAAGGATCAATCATGGTTTCAGCCGGATTCTCCTGGTTCTCGCGACCTACGGACTCTTACACCGCACCATGAAATGTCCGAAATGTCGCAGTTCCCTACACCTTTGCTTACGGAATCGACAGACACAGCCGATGAACCCGTGTTAAGTCGGCTCCACCCGGAAACTGCATCGGAACTCCTTGGCGACAAGGACAGTTCCTTGGAGCATACCATTTTCCCTTCTCTCGCCACGTCGACCACTGCTTTTGGCGCTGAGGCAGCGGAGTCATCTGCCACTTCAGGCGTGAATGAGCCCATTGACATGGGAACAGACAGCCAGGAGCTTACCATTGCTTTTGATACTGGCGTGGAGCCACCGCCCTCTGGGACAGATACTCAGCAGTCCCAGCAGAAATCCTGTCCCACTTCTGACACCAAAATAAAGCGAAAGGCCGACTCTGGAGCGACCATCAGTTTTCGTCATAGCGTCACAGGAGGTGAACCGCCGAAACTGCGAAGGAGAATGGCCAAAGACACAGAGACCGAGTCTGAGAATAGCGAGAAGAAGGTGTCGTCGCCCTCTAAACGGAAAAAGAAGTCAACTAGCCGTCGCCGGTCGCGACAGACGCTGTACGAGAGGCACGGAGAAAAGTGGCGGTGCCTGGAGTGCTCCGCTGTCTTCAACACCAGAGTGAGTTCACTACCGAGGTGGTTGGCTGATGCAACTATTTACTGTGTTGGTAGAGATTCATTGAATAGTGCGTAGTCTGCCTCTGGCCGTTTTTTCATATGTTTCAATATCTGAAACGCTGAATTTTGTGGAATTTCCTCCAAATAATATAATATACATTTTCCACAAAGGTCGCTTCGACTCGCTTACTTATGTTTTCCATATTGCTGGAAAATAATGTTGATGATAAATTGATTTCTAACGCGCTGACTATTGATGATCCTGGGTCCACGGCAGGCCTTTCCGTTCACTACCCCACCCCCTGTTACAGACCGGCGCGCACGGTCACGCGCTGACCCACACGGAGCCGGACGGCGGCCGCTGTCCGCGCTGCAGCAAGACCTACGCCAACGCGTATGCGCTGCGCCGCCACCGGGCCGGCTGCCTCTCCGGCCGGCCGCCCTCGTGTCCCGTCTGCGGGAAGGTTGTGGCCGACCCGGCCTACCTGGCGCACCACGTGCTGCTCCACTCGTCAGGCGCGCCCAAGAAGCACCAGTGCGACCGCTGCGGCCTGGCGTTTGCGGCGCCGGCGCGACTGCGGGACCACATAGCGGTGCAGCACAGCAACGCTGAGACGTCGCACAAATGTGATATCTGTCAGCGGGAGTTTAAACTGCAGCATCACCTGCGGCGGCACTATCGCTCGGTCCACACCACTGAGCCGGCGGTGACGTGCGACGTCTGTGGGAAGGGGTTCAAGCGCGCCGACCACCTGCATGCGCACATGACCGTCCACACGGGGGCACGGCCGTTCGTCTGCGTGCAGTGTGGACGGGGCTTTACGCGCGCGGACACCCTGGCGGACCACTCCAGGCTGCACACGGGCGAGAAGCCGTTCAAATGTGCCGAGTGTGGACAGGCGTTTAGGGAGCACCGCGGATACAAACGCCACCTGAAGACCAAACATAAACCGGCGGAAGGGGATGAGGTGGGACCGCTGACGATGAGCTTGTAGTGGCGCGGAGATTCGTAAGGCCGTCCAGTGTCGTATGAGAGGTACTGTGGCAATATTTATTGTGTACCTATCGATGTAAACGGTGGAGCTCGATCGCTGCTTGTGAGAGCAGTGTAAATGTATGTCGATATGTCTTTCTATCACCATTGAAGTTGATATGTCATGCTTTGTATGATTACTGTACTGTCATCTTTTCAGAATGATGCGAGCATTTAGAATAACAAATCTGGTACCGATACAGACTAATCATAATCGTTTCGTCAGGTTTACATATCTCTTCTAAGTTCTAAGCTGTATGATTACAGAGCATTTGACTGATCTCGACGATTCCAGAGCGCTGTGCTTGTGAATGGCGAGCTTGTGAAGAAAACATTCAAATATTCTTTTTAGATGTGCGTTATTGTGGTATGCTGTCATATTGCAGTGTTCTGCGTGCTTTCAAAATAACCACAAAACCAATAAATGTCTGAAGGTCGATAGCAGACCATTATGCAGTTGTTTCCATTTCGTGTTGTTCAGTGATAAAACCAAGTGACGACAGTGGCTTACCTAGCTTGTCCATGTTGCAAACATTACGTGGTTTGGAGGGATTCGTGAACATGTATTCATTCGAAGCTTTACTCGTAAGGTCAAGGTCAGCTGACGAGTCACGGCTACCTGGGTCGAGTGGGATTCGAGTCAAGTGGCCAATCTGGCATCAGCTCATCACTCAACGGGTTTCGGTTTCCATACTATACGAGCACGAAGGCACATGGCTCATTCTGCCGCCTGAGTTTGGTTGTCTTGCTTTCTTTACGCTGATGGCTCATTGGCAGTTATGTCTCGTGTTTGCCAACATGCCGAAGTCCTCATCGATTTCCATATTTGTCTCTAGCTTTGTCTGGCGGCTTTCTCACGCTTCTGAAGCTATTTTTGGCCCTTGGCTTCTAAATACCGAAGACACGATCAGCAACTTCAATAAAGCTAAATTTATGCGGTAGCAAACGTTCATTCTTGGAGATACGGTAGCGTCGCCGTCATGTCCATATCCGCCTCGGCTCCGACGCGCGTGATGTCGACGCTGGGCCGTGACGTGATGCCCGGTGACGCCGTGCTCGACTGTGACGCCAACGACGTCCAGGAAGATGAGGTGGCAGAGCTGGTGGCCCTGTACGCCGACACCTGCGCCCTGCCCTGCGAGACGATACTGTTCCTCGAGGTGAGTAACCAAGGATGCCGACTCTCTGGAGTCTCAACGTTTGTGTTGCAACTGTTCATTGAGACAGACATGTTGGCAACGTATTCTAATCACCTGTAACCTACAAGCATCGTTTTGTTTTATCGTCAACCGTTTGTTAGCAGTTTTTCATACTGACTTCTTATCCACTACCTTTCGCTATGATCAGGCTCGTGGGTTCTTTCAATCTTCTGTATCGTTTTAATCGGATCGCTTGTTGGTGCTGGTCACTAAGTTACCTGGCGTTTTCCTGTTTTCCTGTGTTCCAGGAGAGCGTGCTGCCGGTGCTGGGCGACGCATTCCGCGCCCTGGTCATCGAGATCCGTCGCCAGCGGTCTGTGGAGCGCGCCTACTCCCGTCTGAACGCGCTCGACTTCCTCACCTCGCACCTGTACTCCAACAACCCGCTGCACCCGGACAGACCGCCTCACGACGACCTGATGCACACGGAGCTGGCGGCGCGCCTGCTCAAGTGCCGTCCGCGCCGGCCGCTGCCGCTGTGTCTGCGGCTGACTGACGAGCGGGCTGCCTCCGTGGTACAGCGCTGGTACCGCGGCTACCTGGTGCGCAGGAGGACGGACGTGGCGCAGCTGAGACAGTACCAGGCGCGCCTGAGGAGACTGGCACGGCAGGAGGGGGCGCCGACGGGACCGGTCGGACCCCAGCGACGGTCAGGAAGAGCCTGCCGCTAAAGAGGAGAGGGACTGAAGGAGGGACTTCCGAGACCGCGCCTGCCGCTAGTGATGACTAACCGCGGCAGAGTGCAGTCCTTCCGAGTATGGGATATAGCGTGGTGAGCGAAATGCGGTGGCGATGAGGGACTGAACTGGAAGGATTGCCGACTGGCGCTGAACAATCTTTCTCGACTCTCGAGTATCCGTTAGGTATGGTGTCGGTTTATGAAGTTACGATTGTGGAGTTCCTTTCACTCCTAAGTGAAATGATATGATTCGCTGTCTGCAATATAGCTGTTTATTTGTCCCGTGTGTATTGGGGGATTTGGCGTTCTTTTCTGTCTACTGAGTCTGACGGGTTCACTCAGATAGAATGGATCGTTTAGCTTACTAAAGTGGTCTGAAAGGGTCAAAACTACTCTCCTTCTGTGGGTCAACTGCTACTATAAAAAGGTTCGGATGAAGGTACGGTGACATGCGTCCTTCTAACTGTACGTGTACCCACAGCTGTCAATCACCGTTAATGACCGCGCTACCCTCGTCCCTCCCAGCATCTCCCCGGGTCACCCCGGTGCAGACGCGGTGCATGTCGGCATGCACTCCTGAGTGGGCCAGTGGGCCTCTGCCTACCGCCGTCTCGTCCCGGACCGTCTCGATGGGACCGGTTCGCCCTCCCCGGGGTTCAGATGTGTCCGCCGCCCGCAGTAATTGTACCGTAACTGCGCTGTCGGATACCTCGGCAGCCTGACCTGCCCCCGAAACATGTGCAGAAGCGCTGGCGGACGGCCGGCGGCGGCGGTCATACGGTCACTCATACGGGCTTCAAATTACCGTGTTGTTAGAATCAACTGCATGGTGCATGTTTCTCGGACATGGTTAGAGTTAAATTACGGAGGGGTAAACAAAAATAGGGCCAGGAATGGACGAGTGGACGGCATGGTGTAGGTTTTTGACCTCACATGACCACACAGTCACGAGTCAGGTCTGTGAACCCGTCACCGTGTCAACTGCGAGATAACCGTGATTAGCAGCAGTCTTGTCTCGTATCCATCGCCCGTGCCAGGCGGCCAAACCAGAATGTCAGGCACCGCGGCCCATTTCCGCGTTGTTTTCTTTATTTGATGGTATTTCATTACTGTGCAGCGGTCCGGCAGAGGGTCGCGTAGAATTTGGCAGCCATTCAGCCGCGGTGGTCTGTGTTTAGCGCTCGTTCCCGAGGTCTGATGACGGGCCAGCTCCAGTTCTTGTTTCTTCATGATGTCAGGAATGGCAGTGAACCGGGCGATGCTGGACCCGTGCCATAACGCCACGTAATCTGCCTGCACCGCTCAAATTCCGGTCATTGCGACCGGTGGTTTTGTTATACGTTTTTGTCAAGAACACATTTTTACATTCCACGCCGCCTACGATGATCTACATACGCATTACCAACGGCAGGGCTGGCTGTTATTTGGGAAAGTGTGGCACTCGGGCATCGTATTGCATGCAACTTTACGTCGTTGCCTACCTTTGTCGCACTTTGCGCTCACTAGTTCTTTCAAAATCATCTTTTTCTTTTCGATGAAGATATGGCCTTATGGCGGAAGCTAATTTTATTTCTTTACATTTCCTGAACAATATATACGCATTGATTTTGCGATGTTATTGATTACCTATTTATTCCCATTAAACATTTATTTCTCATTGGAACTTTCCATTCGTTTTTCAAGAAATAGACAGTTCTCGTTTCGTCTAGTGCCGACATGGCTGGACGGTAGATATGCGTCATTTGCATATTCCGAACGTGTAGGTATCGACCCTTTCGGTATATCACGAATTACAATCATGGGGTGAAAGGGAAAGCGCTCATAAATGACAGACATCGGCTCGGCAGGCATTGTGAGCTTGTATTTGTGAAAGGGCAGGGCTTTCGGCTGCCACTGCTGGCCTGGACAGGATGTCACAGACCACTTTCGCTAACCCGGTTTGGCTAACATGACTCCCGGTCCTACAACGGCCGTCGGAGCACTGGTGAACGAAGCAAAAATTGACTGCACTACTTGTGCTCTCACGAGTGTGTGCAGTTGTGCACTGACGCAATCTGTTGAGGTCTCATGGCGAAGTAGCCTTCGTTTTTATGGCTTATTGATCGAGGCATATTTCCATTGATTTTCTTTTACCTAGACATATGGACACAATATAGTTGTGCAGTTAAAATTGACTCTAGATGCGAGCTCTCGTTTCGTCTTTTCGAGTCATCCAGCTCAGGGCCCGTGTCGCTGGCCGGTGTCGGCGACGGAAAAGTTCTTGGCTCGTTCCAGTGACGGCCGATTAACCCGCTTTCTTTCAGTCTTCCCTTGACACGCTGTTATTTATTGGACATGATAATATGTCGCCTGATTGAGCTATTCCGTCCGCAGCGGTGACCTCACTTGACCTCTGGGTCACCCACCTGACCTCTGCTTCATTCGCACCGCTCGTAGAGGTCAGACTCATATTCGCAAACCATGCCTGATCGTCCCAAATGGCGTGGAACGTTCAGTTCAAAGTCGCCGGCCTGGGTAGTGCGCCAGTTTCGCCACGCCCGCGCCGCGACTGAGGCCACCGGAACTGCGGCTTTTGGTGGCTCTCTGCCGGCTATTTCGTTCCACTTTCCTGGCGCCGCTGGTGGCTGAGAGACGCTTCTCGGTGCGGCAGCCGCCCTCTGCCAAACCGGCGGGGATTTCCCGTCAGGAGAGGTCAGGTCTGGTCACTGAGCACTTCAACTTCTGCAATGTTCTGGGGATAGCTCGACAAATGAAACACCGTTTTTGTCCTAAACTTTCAATGTTTCTCTCAGCATGTGGCACTCCGCATTCGACATGGACAGTGGGCACTTATTTCGGTACATATTTATTCAAACCCCCGGCGCTGCTATACAATTTCCTCATCTATGTAGGTACAGCTCTCGCGAGATTAAGCGGCAGGTTTTGCACTTTTACATTTCCGGTTATATCTCAGAAAGTAATCAATCTACGATGAAGCCATGTTACACGATCATGGCCGGCTTGTTACCCAACAAGTCGATCGCATCTTCAACACTTAAAAGCTGAAGACGACGAAGATATAGCCTGAAGTACAGGGTGACACAAAAAAACGGTCATCACCAAAATTCGAATAACTTCGGAAGTTTTATTCAGATCATCACCAAACTTCGGCCACTTTAGGTCACACCTATGTAGCAGACATCCACCAAGTTTCAAGTCTTCACTAAGAATGCTTTTAGTACAGTGTGTGTTTTACGGACGCTCCACAATGTGCTCCAGGTGAGCGCCCCGGCGCTGCAGGGCGTAGGCACACCTGCATCCGGCGGGCAAAGTTGCCGATAACCCGATAAGAATAACGTTTCAGGGGTAGCACACCCCTGAGCACTGTCTCCAGAGGCCATTGCACTCTGTAAAGTGCACAGCCATCGGGTTATCGACAACTTTGCCCGCCGGATGCAAGTGTGCCTACGCCCTGCAGCGCCGTGGCGCTCACCTGGAGCACATTGTGGAGCGTCAGTAAAACACACACTGTACTAAAAGTATATGTAGTGAAGACTTGAAACTTGGTGGATGTATGCTACATAGGTGTGACCTTAAGTGGCCGAAGTTTGGTGATGATCTGAATAAAACTTCCGAAGTTATTCGAAATTTGGTGATGACCGTTTTTTTTGTGTCACCCTGTACACTAAATTTTCTAGGTGCAAAACCTACCGCTAAAACTCGCGAGACCTGTATGTACGTTATCTCCGCCCCAGATTCAGCCTTAGCTTTCCCGTCCCGCCTCGCTGTCTAGTCTTCTGCTGTGAGCTGTCTGGAGGGAGGGGAGAGCCGGCGGTGACTTCAAAGCACGTCGGGCTTTCCGACAACGTAAGAAAGCCATGCGGGTGTGACTAAAAGAGGCTCCATTGACGCTGGCAGTCGACACTTGAGAAAGAAAGGCACGCTTGTGAGAATGCTTGCGCACGTGCAATGTGCATGAAGTCGTGATGGATGAATTTCCATACATGTTTCGCAACCCTCTCTCCTGGTTTCCAAGAAGTCCACTCCAGTCTCTTCACGGTAGAGTGGTCAGCTCGGTGGTATTTCCTGCCTCTTGGCTGTCTGACATACCGTGGTCTGACCTGACCTGCATCAGCTGAGCGGCCATCAGCTGACGGCCAGACGGGTCACGTGACCGGCCAGCCCGGGCCGTAACTCTGGCTTGCTGCTCGCCCGGCCGTCATTATCTTTCCCCGTCGCTCGTTTGATGGCGCATGTCAGGGCGATGGGCTCACTCAACGCCGGTCGTTTCGCGGTGCGAATCTGGGTCGGGTCGGGCTGCGACCCGAAAGACCGCGGGTGACCTCGGCTGACCTCGTAGGTGTGACCGCGCCGACCGACCCCCGCCGGCTGGGAAATGGAATCCAGCTGAGAGACAAGATTGAATGGGGTTTTTGTTTATGCTATGCACGCACGTGATGGGTGTCGCTGACCGGCAATGATGGTTAGCGCCAAACGCCCAAAGACTGCTTTTGATTCCTAATAGCTGATTTGATAGAACGGTTAGACTACCTGCCAGCGATAAAATGGAATAAGATTAACCCGCGCCCTGATGGGGTCTGCCGAGCAACGCGGTCTGATGGGGAAGGGGGCCGCCCCTAAGATCTCGAGAACCACGCAACATAGCAACAAGCGGCAAACGGCGTTGGATAGCCCCAACGGGGAACTACCTTGTGACACAATTTCATTGACCTCGGTCTAACGTCACAGGTCAGGTCGAAGGTCGAATTTTCACCGTTTAGGTACAGGCATTTCAAGAAATGCGTTGTAAAATCGAGTAAAATGCTTGTCATTGAAAATCATCGATGGGGAATTGTCCGTAAAACACATATTTTGCTAACTGAGGTCACTGATACCAGGTCAGGTCACAGAGGTCAGGTCACCGAGGGTCAAAATATGAAAATATCATGTGATGCATGTTTTATGGTCCATTTTACATGACAAATGCGATTATGTGGGTCAGGCAGCCTTTGGGGCCAGTTTAGGTTATGTTCTGGTGAAGGTCAGGTCAAGGTCAGGTCAAATAAGGTCAAATTTTAAACTTGATATTTTTGCATAAAATGGGTGTCGATTCGCTGCAGCTCGTCACGGGGAGTCTAATGGTGGTCTTTGTTTTGCGCTACGTGGTCTAGAATGGCTAAAAATTGAGTTCAAAACTTTGACGTCATCAATTTTGAACATTTTTTTCGCTATAACTTGGCCAAAAAAGGAGGCATTGATCTGAAATACGGTATGTAGATAGAAGAGCACAGAGACTATCACATATATTCTGGTTTTCGAAATTCGAAATTTTTATGGGAATTTTTTGAGTTTCTAAAAGATTATTTTTTATTTTGGGGTCGAAATCCCACAATTTTGAGAATCCGAGATAGCAGTTTTTTTTAACGCCGTCTTTTCGCTACTCGACCACATAAAGAACTTTAAAATTGCTTGTTAACTGTAGATTTGGTGAGCGTTTCAAGATGTCATGTTTTTTGCTCATTTTTGCTCGAACATGACCTCAGTTTGACCTAAATAACTCCTGACCCAAGGCGAGCTGTGACTTGAAATTTTGTGTGTAGGTGTCAAATTGATGCCCGGGAAGATGCTGAAAATTTCGTGGCGCTGCGCGCCGCCATTTTCTCGCTATTTAAGAAAAACCACGGGGGGGGGGGTCAAAATGGCCCCCATCAGGGCGCGGGTTTAAGAGGGTAAAATGTGACAAATGAATATGACAGAATGTAAAACATGGGTGTCGTTTTGACTTTTGTATATAGGCTTGGTAGGGCTCGAGCCCTACCAAAAAAATCAGAATTTTAACGTTATGACTATTGACACTGCATGGTAAGAATGACTGGTATCCTTGGATAAATAATTCGAACCCTACCAATAGGTAGGAATTTCGGAAAGTGATACCCGTGATGCCCGTGATGTTACTGCGGAATAGAATACACGATGGATAAGTTTTCGCTATGTTGCAATGGTTCCCGTTGTGCCGATAATGTGTACTGTATTGTATGAGGCATGATAGTCTACTCTGTTTATTGTCGTACTGATGCGGTGGGCCAATCACCGGCGATACAAGAGCGGACGCATGATCAAATTAAAAGTATACCTACTATGTATGCATCCCTATGGCCCATTGACCGCTCAAAGTGTATCGGTTTAAAAATTTATTTTTAAATGTTAAATGTTTGAAGTTTTTATGTTTAAAGCTCATAGCATGTTTCTAGTCTCGTCTGATAATAGTTACATCATGCCGCTTTTTCTATTGTGCCTCCTTGTGTCTTCACGTATAGGTACCGATTAAATTTGCTTTCACGTACCTTCTTACAATCGACTTTGTTGGCGCGGAGTTAAAGAAACAATTATCGAATGATTACCAAATTACTGATAACCGACAATTAGGTACCATGCATATGCGCCTTTAAATTGCGAACACAACCTGCAAGGGAAACAGCCGAACGTCGACGGTAGCATTTTGAAGAAAAACAAATTACATGATGTGTTGAGGCGATCTATCGTGATAAAAAGGCGTCAAAAAGTCATGCGTTCCTTTTTTTTTTGGGGGGGGGGTCATTTTGTCTTCCGATTTGCATTCCATCCCTAGTCAGAAAATAAATCACAACAGTCAGAAAGTGTACATAATTTATTTTGGAAAAGATGGTGTCACATCACTCACATTTAAAGAAACGTGAAGCAAATATTACACACAGCTTAGGACAAGTGGTCATGAAGTGACATGAATTCTATCCATCGGCATTCGGCACCGCAACTTTATGTTTTAGGTGAAAAAAGACGCGAGACATACCATACCACATCACGTTTAAAGTTAGTAGCTAGAGTCAAATAGGCCTTAGAACGTCTAGACCTGCTGAAATGTATTCGTAAGCGTAACTGCTTCTAGTGTACACGAGCTGAGACCAAAAATACTCCAGCGCTAACGTTTCACACTAAAGGTTGCTGCCACACCTCGTTCCAAAGCCACACTTTCTCAATCGTGACGTCTTTCTCAACCGATCACATAATAGCACTGCCATGCCAACATTGCCCCTCGTAACAAAGATCACACCATTTCGCTAGCGACACCAACGACATCCCTCCCCTGTTCGCAGCAGGAAACCCTAGCAAAATGGTACATAAGTTCACTTCACATGATTATGAATGACGAATGAGGATGGAAACTGATAGCCGATCAGCGTTAAGTCCAAGATTCCGCCAGCGACGAGGTCGCTCGATGTATGTGCACTGTGCAGCTAGATGAAGTTGATGCTCTCGTTTATATTTTCTGAAACGAGACGAAAATTACATCGTTAGTAACGAAATGAATGAAACACATGTCTAGTGTCTACACACATCTCTATAGCATTGCTTGCGTATGTACGGCTCTCGCGAGTTTAATTAAGCGGTAGGTTTTGCCATTCCCGGTTATATCTCAGAAACTAATCGATCTACGATGAAGTCATTTTTCACGATCATGGCCGGCTTGTCACCCAACAAGTCGATCGCATCTTCAACACTTAAAACCTTAAGACGACGAAAATATAGCATGAAGTACACTAAATTTTCTAGGTGCAAAACCTACCGCTAAAACCCGCGAGACCTTACCTATCGGTGAGGAAAGCCACATCGTGTGAATGAAATGTGCTCATAAGACGAAAATAACTATGAAAGCTATGTAAAATCGCACCAAACGACTCCCAATTATATTAACCCTCGCCGGCCGAGGAGGAGGGGGTGGGTGCCGCTCCCCCCATAGTTTTTTTTTTTCGCGATAACTCGGGACCCGCCGGTGCTAGAGAGCTGAAACTTGGCATACCTGACCTTTGCTTCCAGCCAGATCTTGTGACATCAACCGAATTTTCAGGTCAGGTCAGGTCACTGAACTATATGACGTAATTAAGTGAACCTCTACGCGGTCCTCAGGGGTTGCAACTTCGCATCACCCTCAGTGCCAGAGGAGTTTTCACAGGAAGATGAAACTTACAGGACGCAGTATCCTCTAGAAACCTCACAACATGTAGGTATATCTCGGATTTTTCCTAGAGGTCACATGAGGTGAGTTCGGTCACGTGACCTCACCATTGTAAGTCAATGGGGAAATATGGAAACTGTTATTTTGGCGCCGGGAATGATCTAAAACTATCTCAGACGCATGGAATCGTGCTTTCATGCACTCCTTATCAGATGCAATGCTTCACTTTTGCATAGTTGACCTTGCGTGACGTCATTTATGATGACACTAGGGTCATATGAGTTTTTCGTCAATAACTTCTGATCAAATTGAGTAGAGAGTCGGGAAAACCTGCAGTGGATTCGGAAAGACCTGCCGAATCCAATAATATGCGATATGACCTCCTTCGACCAACTTCGCGACCCGAAAGGCTCTGACCTGACCTTGACCCGGGGTTAAAACCTTAAGTTGACCTCACCCGAGCAAAAAGTATATATGTTACGGTTCATATGCTAACTTGGGCAGTATGCAAACTACCCAACAGCCCGGGCAGTATGCATACCGCCCGGGTAGTATGCATACTACCCGACCCCTTGGGCAGTATGCATACCGCCCAAAAACTTGGGCAGTTTGCATACTGCCCGCTTCTTGTCTTGAAGATGTGTATTCCATGTCCATTTTAAAAAGTATTAATGGCTCTATAAGTATTGGCCGGTCCCGTAGCTCAGTCGGTAGAGCGTTGGACTCCGCATGGTGAGAGCACGCGTTTCCGGTTATAACAGTCCGGGTTCGAAGCGCGACGGGCGATTGACGTTTAATGAGCCTCCTTACATATGACGGTTTGTGGCAGGCCGTAGCCAAGCGAAGTCAGTGAGAGGACCGGCCGTGCGCGGCTCTGTGCGCACTTTAACCTTTGGACTCCAAATTCTGCCATAGAACCAGCATTGCGCGATCGGAGGGTAGAGGGCAGGGTTACCGCAACAAGCTTCGCTTAGCGGGGGCTCTGTCCCTGTGAATCCTATTCAAAAGGTTCGGACTAAATTTAAAAAAGTAACGTAGTTTAATCGCGAAGTCTTTTTTGCCGTCAAACGTGATTTATCGATCGAAGAGTGAAATAATGTTTTGAATATAAAGATTTAAAATATTTCCCCAGAATTTCATTGAATTTCATTGCCAGCGGCCAACAAGTCACTTTCATCTGAAATGACGACATATCTATAGTGCCATCACTCGCTGGCTTTGGTTTGACACTTGGACCTGTAGAGGGTGTTGTCATAGTTACATGTTACATGAAAATGTTACATGCTAATGTTACATGAAACCATTCACATGTAAGACGTTACAAGTTGTTATGGTCGGGTTACCAGGTCAGGTCAAGTGACCTTACCCCAGAAAAAGTTGGAATGCTCGCCATAGCTACACCGACCTAACGATCGCTTTGAAACTTTAAGCGACTAATAAGAGAAACATTAGGTTCAAAAGGTATGTATTTGAATTTTGATATCATACCGATGACTTTTAGGTCAAGTCAATATTGCACAGTCTCCCTAAAAAGTTGACAGGAGAAAGTTGAAGGACGCCCCTTTTGCTGAACGTCATTCTAAACACTCCAAACATCGGGTTACATACAGGTAAACATGACGCACTGAATCGAAAAAAAAAAACACTTGTGACCCCTTTTTATGACCATGAGGTCATATCAGGTCATAAAAGGTCTCCAGCAGTTCTTTGACCATTATTTTTTTATGGAGACGTGTTGGAGCGATGGTCATGTAAACAACCTTAGATGTGTTCAGCTCGACGATAAGGAGCGGCTGATAAACAACATGACCTTTTCATGTCAGGTCATGACCTTGACCTCAGGTCAAATTTGGAACTTAGATCAACTTTGAGTACTTATTCCAGCAAGCTATAACAGAGCTATCGAATGCGTCTTTCTGCGGCGCTGTAGCTCTCCTATCTTCCGAGTTATGGGCGAATTTATAAAAAAATGAAAAAGACGAAATTTGATCTTTGATAACCTCTGTTGCCCTATTCTTTGACCTGGCCTTAAAAATGACTAGGACACTTTCGTCATGATCTTTGACGCTATTTCGAATGCCGGTCACCGCATCTTACATGCCGCTTACTTCTGTTCCGCTAAGTGGCACGGGAGTCGAGCAGGGGTGTTCAACCCGCCCCCTCCCCCCCAGCCCGGCACGACTGGCGCCGAGCACCGTCCCGGCGCGGGTTAAAGCGTCTGTCATTGACATGTATATGTGAGCTATTGCATGAACTAGTCTCACGGGCCACGGTCAGCATATTGCCCGAGTAAACATCTTGCCCGTGAGAGAAAAGGTGGGTAGTTTGCATACCACCTGGGCAGTATGCAAACTGCCCGGGCGGTATGCATACTGTCCAAGGGGTCGGGTAGTATGCATACTACCCGGGCGGTATGCATACTGCCCGGGCTGTTGGGTAGTTTGCATACTGTCCGGGTAGTTTGCATACTGCCCAAGTTAGCATATGACCCGTAACATATACCTACCATTCGACGCGCCTGAGCGAGACGAACACGATGATACTAAAATCGTGGCTCTGCGACCATTTTTTGAAGTTATTTACCAAAAACTGAACCCGTGAGTTTGGCCACTTGACCTGACCTCAGAGGTCACCGGTTTACCTGAGATATTAAAATCGGGTACCTACCAATCGCTGCGTCTCGTAACGGCTCACAGCCGCACACGCTCGTTTTTCCGCGAGGCTCTAGCTTCATTAGGGGTGAAACGACAAGGGCCGGGTCGTACCAACAGCTCCCCCTCAGCCATATGTAGAAAACCGATAGGTCCGGCGAGGGTTAACCCTCACGGGCTCGGGAGAGGGCGTTTTCGCCCCCTCCCCCTGGCGAATATTTGCTATAGCTCCCGAACGCTTAGAGATAGAAAGACGAAACTTTAAGTACTGTAGCCCCCCTCAATTTGACATCTTCTGGAGTAAAGAGTTTGAACTTAGCCCCCTTGATGACGTCACAGGGTCGATTTTTTCTAAGCCCCTGCACAGTAAACTCCATCGTCACAGATATGAACTTTAAATAGATGCGAAAAACAGAGCTTTAAAGATAAAGACAAATTACTAGCACGGTTGTGTAGCGTTTGACATTGGGAAAAATACAAAAATAATTTTAGTGACCTGAGGTCAGAAGTCAGGTCAACGACCAGTCAGTTGTCTGTATTGTTGTCAAGTCTGTATTCGCACTCAACATTAAACACATAAAGCATGAGGTAGGTACATACGTGCCAGTGGCAGGCACAGGTAACAACAGTCGGCACTAAGCCCTGAACACGTCCGCCCGGCTCCAGTGGCAGTGACCGGTGACGGATCCGCCGGAGACCGCCTGGCCCGGCTCCGGACATCTGCGCGTCTATCACATGTATCACCGGCTACAGATATACGTATACAAACGAGTACCCCACACAATTCTGCACACGGCGCCCCACCAGCCGCTCATTCATTGGTCAACTACATACTGCCTGTCGGCGCGCCAGCCGGCCGCTCGCTCCTCACTGGAGAGGTTGCCAGGGGACTGTCGGCCGCTGCAGCGCCGGTCCCTCCTGATTCGAAGGCGCCTCACGCCGTGAAGAAGCCTCCTTCCCTGTGGTATTTGCCGTAGTGCAGCAGTCCGCCCTTGGGTGCGCCACCAGCGCTGGCTATGTGCACGGGCGGCCGCATGGCCTGCAGTCCGGGAAGTGTGCTGAACGTCCGCCGGCAGAGGGTGAAGTAGTCCGGCGCCACGCCCAGCAGGTCACCGAGGCCGGAGAACTTGTGTCCCTTGAAGAAGCTGGGCACCAGACTGGTGGAGAAGCTGTCAAAGAGCGCCGAGTGGCTGAGCGGCTCGGTGACCAGCTCCTGCGCGTTGTACCGCAGCAGCGAGTAGGCCGCGAACGAGCCGAACAGGTTATCCAGGTAGTAACGCTGCAGGCGAGATGGGTATCTGAGGAAGAAGCCCGGCAGACGGCGCTGCCTGGTGAGCGTCCCCAGCACGCCCGAGAACTCGTCATCTGTTAGCGAGAACCGAAACCTGCTGAACGGCGCCGAGCCCAGGTACTGGCCGAAGCTGGAGAGCAGCGAGGCCGGCTTGGCGTGTCGCAGCAGGCGCACCTCCGGCACGGCGACCGTCAGCAGCTGCCCCACAAACGGCGGCAGCAGCCGGAGCTGCAGCGGCAGCAGCGAGCGGCGCACCAGCCGCGAGACCTGCGAGCGGCGCAGCGTCAGCCGGCCGCTGGGAATGCGCACCTGGACGCGCGGCGACAGCTCGCCGGAGGTCAGCTTGTCGACCAGCAGCTGGTCGACAACCAGGCGCAGGTAGGCCGGGTTGTAGGCGCGGTCGGCGATCAGTGATTTCCTGGTGGCGATGAAGGAGGTAAGTGACTCGCGGAACAGGGGCGCTAGCCGGCCGCCGTAGATGCTGCGCGGGATGCGCAGCTCCCGGACACCGAACGAGAAGAGGAACTGCAAGTCTGCCAGCGAGTACTGTCGGTCGAACAGCGTGATTGGTTTGAGGATCTCCTGGAGGCCGGAGACGTCACTCTCCGACAGCTGGAAGGCCGGCTTCGAGGCGCCGAATGTGAGCGCGCGCACCAGCGCCGCCGGATCGGTGAGGTCGACTCCGCTTAGCAGCGGCGCCGCGCCCCGGTAGCCGAGCACCGAGGCAAGGCCGTGGTAGGTGACAGGGCCGTAGGCGGGCCGCAGCCCGGCCAGCGTGGCCGTCACGGTGGCCGGCGAGAGCGTGCTGGAGCCCAGCCGCAGCGGCCGCGCCAGCAGCCCTTGCGCGATCAGCTGCGGGAAGAACCGATCGGAGTATGCCAGGAACGGAATCGGCTCGAACGCCCTGTTAGCGGTGTAGTAGGAACGCAGCGTGGCGATCACCGAGCTCGAGATGAGCGGCGCCTCCAGCACCGTGTAGCCGCGGCTGTAGATCACCAGCAGGTCCAGGATGTAGGCCACGCGAGCGCTGTCGGCGGTGAATGTTTTGTCGGTGACAAAGGAGGGAACGGTGGCCGCCTGGGAGGCCACCGAGACCAGTGGCTGGAGGGCCTTCAGGAGATCTTGGAGCCGCGCCTCCAGCTGGTCGGGAGCCCTCAGCAGCGCGACCGGGACGACCTGGCGCTCCACTAGCAGCTGCAGGACGGGCTGCAGCAGACCCACTGTCAGCACCGGGATGCCGCCGCTGAGCAGCGCGAACAGCCGGCGCGCTGCCGCGCTGCCGATCGACACCCGGGACACCACGATACTGGGGAACGGAGGCTCGGTGACCACCACCGGCGTCGGCTCCGGCTCCGGCACCGGCACCAGAGGCACCCGGCGCGGCCGGAGCACGAGCCGCGCGCGCCGCGCCAGGCCCGGCGGCAGCTGGACGATGCCGCGCTGCAGGGCGCCGCGCAGCGAGAGGATGCTGTTCAGCGGCAGCAGCTGGATCTGAGGGATGCGCCGGATGGCCGGCAGCGTGTTGGGGACGATGATTCGGTTCAGGAGTACGAACGGCCGGATCGGGTCGCCCAGGAACGAGGTGAACTGGGCCGGGTCGAACCGCTTCTCGTGCATCAGCAGGCTGGCCAGGAGGTCGCGGAAGAGCAGCACGCCCTGCTGGGGGCTGGTGAAGCGCACGCCGTGCAGCAGGGAGGCTAGCAGCGCCTGCGTGATGAACGGGCCGCCGCGGGCTGCCTGCAGGACTTCCGGCGTCAGCCGCGACCTCAGCCCGGAGAGGTTGAGGCTGCCCAGAACGCTGGCCAGGTCCGCCTGCTGAATGGAGCTGACGGTGTTGACCGGCAGTCCCCGGACGTACGGCAGGTAGGGCAGCGACTGCAGCAGGCCGCCCGCTTTGGCCACGCTGCCGCTGATGGCGCCGTAGCTGGAGAGCGCGCGCAGGATGTAGCGAGCGATGACGTCCGTCTGCGCCACGTCGAGGCCCGGGTAGAAGCGACGCGCCAGCACTCCCGAGTAGCCCAGCCGCGGCAGGCTGGAGAGGCTGAGGCTGCGCTGGACACGGAAGATGCTGGACAGGACGTCGTTGACGGCCTCGAAGTGGTCGTGCTCCAGCTCGAGGAAGAAGCGGTCCGCCTCCGACTCCTGCTGGCGCTCCAGCTCTCCGAGCAGTCGGATGCCGCTGCTGTGCAGAATGTAGCGGCTGTCGACGTCACCGGCAAAGTCCTGGTAGAGCAGGGCGCTGTTTTTCAGCAGCGCGGGCAGCTGGCCGCGGGCGGCGCGCAGGTACAAGCCCAGACTGGTGGAGAAGTGCTGCAGTCGCCTCTGCGGGCTCAGGCCCAGCAGGAACCGACTGCGGCCGTTGCCGCCGATGACGGAGACGAAGGTGCCGTAGAGGTTGCGCAGCAGCGGCACGGAGAGTCCGCCGTAGCCGCTGTTGACGTCCACCAGGCTCTGGCGCACCGCCGACAACACGTCGTCCCCGACCGGCTCGCTCACCAGCCGGCGGTCGATGCGTGTGAGGAAGCGCAGGAACTGCAGCTGCACGTCGCTGGGAGTCAGCCGCCTCAGTGGGCTCAGCAGGCTCTTCTTGGAGAACAGTCGAGAGCCGGCCCGGTTGTAGAGGTAGTAGGGCAGCAGGGCGGGGTAGATGGGCTGCACCAGGCGCCGGTAGGGCCCCTGCAGCAGCGTGCGCAGCTGCTCCGGCGGCAGCTGCTGACCGCCGCCCTGGCTGGCCAGCCGCTCCAGCAGCGCGCTGTCCAGCTGCGGGTAGCGCGCGCTCAGCAGCTGCTCCAGCACACGCCGCGACAGCTGCGCCTCCACGAAGCAGAGCCCCATGCGCGGGTTGGGCGAGCGCCGGATCAGGTAGCTGACGGGACGCCGCTGGCGCAGCGCCCGGGAGTAGACATAGCTGCGGGCGCTGGCGGTCAGCACCGTGGCGGCCAGCAGCGTCAGAAGCAGCAGGGCTCTCATGTCGCCGGCGGTGTGGGCGGCGCTGCGGTGCGGTGCCGTGCGGCTGGTACCCCCGTCCCGGGGATCGGCCGTCTTATAGCAGGCCGGCTGACGGCTGGGTGACGGCCGGGTGACGGCCCGACCTCGCCGTCCGTCAGGGCGTCAGGGGGAGGCGCAATCAAGCCGTCGGCCGCGCCCAAACAGGCTGTCAGGCGGCGATGAATTACCCCGCCGCGGCCCGCGGACCAACATGCGGCCGACATCGGGGCCAGCGGTAGAAGTTATTTGTGTCAGTTTAAGAAAATGTAGAAAATGTCCAATGTCCATCCAATGTTCGATATTTTCGTCGACTAGCCGTCCAAAAATCTCCAAGCTAGCCATTTGTCCAAAAATGTCCGAAAACTACCCAACAATTTATGCTCTACACTGTTATTTAAATTGCGTTTAATGCCCTATTAAAAGCCCCTAAAAATGTGAATCATGTCGAGATCTGAGCTTTCTATTCGCCCATCAATCCTATACACGATTAGGTAGGTACTTTATAAAAATGCTGAGGTGTAGCAACTGATTGTCCAATGTTGTCCAATTGTCCAACCAAAGCCGCTGCCTTCGTCCAACACCAAATTCCGGATCGGACATTGGACAAAATCGGAATTCCGAAGGTCCGAGTTCCGATTGGCACCACTAGTTGGAGTGGAGCTGCTGTATGACGGAGGCACCGGTGCCTGACAACTGACTGGGGCTCGACCCAGAGCTGGGGTCTTATAGGTACGAAAAAGTGTAAAGTTTGAGCGGATAATTTTGAGCATTACATGGACGTTGACCTTATATGTTAAGTAAGCACATCATCAGAATCCTCAGATTCTCTTTTTGCGAGCATCACCCTTGTTTGCCGGTTTTATGCATCATGCCGTTTTCTGGAACACTTTATTTGAGATCACTACACACGCGCCGATTTTTGTCTTTGACCTTGACCTCTGACCTTGAAAATTGACCTGAGGTCAATTTTGTTCTGCTTTAAATCGGCTCGCAGAGCACTTTCGTTTAGTACCGCTTTTATTTCCGTAGCTGCCTTATTTACGGAGTTAGACTGTAGACAGGGGAAGCGCCCCCTCCCCCCCGGGCTGCGGTGGTTGGGATTATCCCCCGGGCCCGGCCGGATTAACCAACGTTTCAATGACACATCAATCAACCATAACGATACTCTTGAAATGCAGGTTATTGTTACCAAAAGATAATGATATTTTGGTTGCCAATTGCGGAAAGGATATAATTCCTCCAGAATGGCACCCACTGTCGGTGATTTTCGCGCGCTCCCGGCTCACACTCTCACCAACTGTCGCTAACTCGGCTCCACTCACCGCACATGTAGCGTGGACAGCACTCCTTCTCGACATATTTGGGCGAGCAGCGCTCCTCGCTGGGTGGCGGCGGCGGACACTGCTTCTTCCAGCACAGCACCTCGCCCTTGTAGCAGAAGCAAAAGTCGCACGGATTGTTGCGCTCAATCTGCGGAAAGAAGGAACATCCAGAGGTCATTAAGGTGGTATCTCGAGGTTATCGGCCATTGGTAGATCTTACGGACATGCTATGATCACTGATCAGTGTTCAATCAATACATATTGGATTGGAATTCATCTAGCGCTGATATTGATAAATTGTCATTCGATCATTTGGTTGGCCGCCCTGTAGGTACTGACCGGTCATTAAAGAGCATTCATCTGTTATTTTGTAGCCATTAGCCCACACTCAAGGGCATCGTGCGGTCATTGTGCGGTCGTTGGTCGGTTATCTCTCGGTCACTGGCAACACGTCTTGTTACTACGGGCGCCTTTCTTCGGTCGGTGGTCAGTTATTCGGACGCATCGAATGGGTTGGTGTCACGTGGAATAAAATGGCGCCAATTACCGTAATTCACCGTCACTTTGTGAGAGTTCACAGGTGGAAACTCTCACGGTGGTCGGAATGTGAGCGACATGTGTGGAATCGTTTCGATATACGTCCGCCGTTCACCGTTCACCATACGTTCATCAGCCATGGTCTAAAAAACAAAAACAAAAAACAAATGAAAACGGTTTTAGACCCGCCTAAGGATCTGTGTTTAACTAGATGGTCACTAATCAAACATAATTGTCCTACAAAAATCCTGAAAGCATATTGTAGAGACTCGTAAAAAGAGTTTTAATATCGATGCAGATTTGCGAAAAGCACCAATAACGAAAGTCATCTTCGGTCGAGTAGCCGCGTGGCTGATTCTCCCACACAACTAACGCACGCGACACGTTCTCCGTATTCCCCAGCCGGAGTTCAGCGGCCGGGCCGATCGGGTTTTCGGCAGATTCCCACGCCGGTTCCCACGCCAGGGTGATCAGTCGCGCCGCCGGACGTCCGCTCACTCCACGAGCGCTCGCTTTAACCGCTTCCGACAACCCCAAACGGCAGTTTGGGAGTGCGTTTGGCTTGGATCCGTTCCAATTCATTCCACATTATTAGCTTGATGTGGGAATATCACGTTGTGGTCAATGTTTGTTCTTTAGTGAGCTAGACAGTTCGTCTAACCAGAACGAGTTAGATCGGACTATAGGGGATGGAATGACTGTTGTCACCGACGAAAGTGTTCGGACCAACCCGCGCTACCGCTGTGCCGCCGTGATAGCCGGCCGGCCGCCGTGACACCGCGGCGCCGCCGCCGCTCGCTGCAGCCGTCCCGCCGCCGCACCGCCGTCACCCCGTCCAGACTCAGGATGAGTTGTGAGGCATTGTGCAGGGCGGGGCCGCGAGCAGACGCGGCCGGTGGTCGGTACGCGTGCCGCCGACGCTGCCGAGCCGCAGCAGCGTCGCGGCCGCCACCGAGACCGAGATATAAATTAAAGACACGTCGTTTTAAGGCACGTAGGCCGCCAAGCTGGCGCCTTCAGCCACCTCCCCGCTGCAGTGCAAGTTCGCACTCGTTTTGCACACGTCTTAAGCATTGCGTATAAAATGTGGGTCACGTACGACCCCGGCAGAGTCTCACTTCGACCGTCGCGCTGTGCGCACGGACTGATCTGCCCCGCTCGACGCCCCGCCCGGCTGAGCGGGGACAGAGTACAGAAGCACGCGCGCAGACCGACTCTCCTGCGCGCAGCCGCGCCCGGCGGGGCAGTGTTAGTGCTTCAGATTGTACAGCGAAAGTGAATTGTGCTCCGTGTCTGCATGTTTCATCTACCGGTTTTCTTCACAACTGCTTCCGCTTCTTGCTTCGCGTATACTTCAATAAATCCTCTACGGGAAATCTTCACGTCTATCTACTACTGAAAATCGCCGATTACCAAAACCCAGGAGCTCACATAGCAGGCGGGCGGGCTACGAATGTCGCACAAACTCACCGAATAAAATACAGTCCACATCCAACCAGAAAAGAACTCCGAACGACAGTTTGTCGGCGACATTTGCTGGTCCTCCGGGCCGGATCCTGAGCTATGGCAAGTGGAGAAGCAAGCCCGTCTCTAGAGCGAATGGGTGAAAGTGACAAAGAAGAAACCGCTGACATGGAAGAAGTACCAGCTGAACCAGCCGCTGCAGGTCAAGGACAAGCTGCAGTGACTACAGCCCGAGAAGAACCACGAGAAGGCCAATGCTCCAACGGGGAGTGGCGGCACCTCAGACAGGCGAGAGGTCGTCATCGGGCGGCTCTCACAAGGATTTTCCGGCGCGCTGAAGCTCTCGTGACAGATAGAGCCTCACGCGTCCAGTTTGGAAATATCCGCAGAGAAATGGACAGCGCTTTCCAAGCGTTGATAGCCGTTCACGAATGTATCTCTGGATACACGCAGAGTGAGGAAGAAAAAGAAAATGAGGCTCAGTACTTAAACGAAGTTCGTACGGAGAAAGAGAGAATCGAGGAGAAAATCGAGACTTTCATGACAAGCACCACAGACGAACTACAGCTGACCTCTACGAGACAGACTGACTTCAGCGAGGATGGAGGAGGGCAACCTGAAGACGGCTTGAGACGCTCAGTGTCACGCATGACCCGTAGCGTCGCTCGCCGAGCAAGGTCACAGGTTAGTGGCAGCTCGGCGGCCTCTCATTCATCAGCTGAAGCCAGGATATCATCCAAACTGAAGGAGTTGCGTGTGCGCCAGCTGGAGCGAGAAAGGACACGAGAACAAGAGCTGCGCGAACAAGAACAAAAGATAAAGCAACAAGAGCAAGAACTGCAATACGAGAGAGACCTTCAGAAAGCCAGAGATGAAGCTGAAGCTGCCAGACTGGAGGCGGACCTGAGGGAAGAAATGGAAGACGAGCTCAATGCAGACAGGCGAGACGATTTTGTGGATGAAAATCTGGGAGAACCAATCACTGAGAAAAGCGTTTCTCAAAGGCCGAACTGCTCCAGATCACAACTTCGTTTCTCCGAGCCAGTCTCCATTACGCCCAGAGAACCTCTAGAACCTCTAACCGAAATCAGAGAAGAACCTCCGCAACTAGAAACTCCACGAATGGCGCCCAGTCCCGGTATGTCCACAAGCCAGACGTCATGGATAGATCAGCTGCGACCGACAGCTGTACCACGTCCGGCTCCTACGACATCCGCGTTCACTAAGAGCATCCCCCGTCTCCAGCTGCCGACCTTCTCAGGCAAGCCGTCTGAGTGGCCGCGCTGGGTCGGACTGTTCCGAGCGCTCGTGCACGACCAGCCATCGCTCAGCGACGCGGAAAGAATGGCTCATCTGCAAGCGTCAGTGATGGGACAAGCGCAAGAAGCCATCGCTGGCATGTTATTTGACGGCAACCTCTACCAACAAGCCCTCAAAACTCTACAAGATCGTTTCGGCCGAAGCACGGATGTGATTAAGGTACATCTCGAGAAAGTGTTCTCGGCTGAACCTCCTCAGAAGAACAGTGTTCGATCGTTAGAGTACTTCCATTCCGCCCTGCACTGCGCGGTCACGCTCATGCAGGCCCAAGGATATGAGGCGGACCTGTACAGCACAGAGAATCTTCGAAGAACGGTGGTCAAACTTCCAGAATATCTACGGCGTGAATGGGGTAAACATGTGCTCGAACTCCACCCAAGACATCCATCACTCATCGACCTGAACGTTTGGCTGCTGAAGCAGGTCCGAATTGCATCGCTCTGCCAAACCGCTGAAACGCCGAGTGACAGGCGGGGGAGAACCAGAGACCAGACGACCAAGCGAGCAGCGCATGCTACCGCAACTTCGTCACCAGCCTCTCCATCAACGGCACAGAAACCAGGTGGGAATGCGTCGTGTCCGAAGTGCGGTGGTGAGCACAGACTGCACCAGTGTCGTGAGTTCAAAAATCTGGACGTCGAAAGAAGAATCGACCTAATATTCGACCAGGGACTGTGCCTCTGGTGTCTGCAAAGGGGACATCTCGCCAGAGAATGTCACAACACCAAGCTCTGTGGTGTAAATAGGTGCCAGAGACGCCATAATCAGCTGATACATGGCAGCACCAAACGAACCACGCCCCTCACCGACCGCTCGGGAGCCGTAGCCAGTCGGCCTGCCAATGAAACAACTTCAGCGGCAGAAGGAGAAGAGGTACGTGTGGTGGCTGCATCTACCTCCATCGGAAAGACGGGCGGAACTCTTCTACAAATCGTTCCAGTTCGAATTCATGGAAAGAAGGCAGGAACTCACCGTGACACCTATGCTCTTCTCGATTCAGGGTCAGAATCTTCCTTCTGCAGTGAAGCTGTGCTGAACCAACTGGGAATCACAGGACAAGACGAACAGCTGTGTCTTCAGACAGTGGAAGGAACTGGAAAACCTCAAGCATCAACTAGAGTGAAGCTAGAGCTGAGCTCTGTGGCCCCTGGGGAAACTCGAAGAATCATCGTGCCTGAGGCGTGGTCTGTTCCATCTCTCGACATCTCCATGCCGAACGTCTGCAAGAAGCAGCGGGAGAAGTGGCGTCACATCAAGGACTTGGACATTCCTCAGTGCTCCCATGGACAGGTGGAACTGTTGCTCGGAGCTAACGTCAGCGAAGCAGTCATCCAGCAAGAGGTCCGGGTGGGTCAACCAGGCCAACCGATAGCTGTACGTACTGCTTTTGGTTGGACCCTGACTGGCGCTGTATCCGACCTGCACCCTGGAAAACATGGACGAACTAGAAGAGCGATGTTCATCCAGAAAGGCTCCGCTGCTGACGAGGAACTGGACAACATGCTGAAGGACTGGTGGACAACTGAATCCTTCGGAGCCAAGTATGAAAGGTCAGTGTCACAGTCGAAAGAAGACCGTCGAGCGCAAGAGCTTCTAGAGTCAACAACCACCAAGTTAACCGGCAACCGCTACGAGACTGGCCTCCTCTGGAAGACTGATGACGACACGCCGTTTCCAGACAGCAAGGTGATGGCTACAAAGAGACTACACGGCACCGAGAGGCGTCTGGTAAACGATCAAGAGAAAGCAGCAGCTTACCAGGCCACGATCGATGCATATGTAAAAAAGGGCCACGCCAGAAAGCTGTCCAGGGAGGAGGCACAGCTCCGGCTGCCCAGACGCTGGTTCCTACCACACCATGCCGTGACTAATCCCAATAAGCCAGGCCGCTTCAGGATAGTCTTCGATGCGGCAGCCAGATCGTACGGAACATCGCTGAATGACAAGCTCCTGACCGGACCAGACCTGCTGAAGAACCTCACCGGCGTCCTGCTCCGTTTCCGAGAAGAAAAAGTCGGCATGGTGGCAGACATCCAAGAAATGTACCACCAGGTCCGTGTCATCGAGAAGGACCGACCTGCGCTCAGCTTCCTGTGGCGCGACCTGGATCAAACTAGAGAACCAGACATCTACGAGATGCAGGTGACCATCTTCGGCGCCAAATCGTCTCCAGCGTCTGCCAACTACGTCCTCCAAAGAACAGTCGCGGACCATGGAAAAGACTGCGGGCTGCCAAAGAAGGCCGTGGAAACTGTGAAGAACAGTTTCTACATGGACGACTTCTTACGATCAGAAGAACATGAAGATGATGCGTTGAAGACGACGAAGCAGGTGACAGAGACACTCTCCCGAGGCGGCTTCCATCTATCCAAGTGGGTAAGCAACTCGCGGCGCGTCCTGGAGAGCATTCCCCGAGAGAAGCGCGCCCAGCCGGAACTAGACCTCACAGAAGCGGAGCTGCCCACACAAGGTGCCTTGGGAGTGGTCTGGGATGCTGAAAAGGACAGTCTGAGCTTCAGATTCCGAGACTCAAGCGTCCCGATGACAAAGCGGGGAGTCCTCCAAAGGACTGCGTCGATCTTCGATCCTCTGGGGATCGCCGCGCCCTTCGTCATCAGAGCCAAAATGTTCATGCAGCAGCTCTGGACCAAGCAACTGGACTGGGACGACGAGCTGGATCGTGAGGAGCAGAAAGAATGGGAAGAATGGCTCCAAGAACTGCCAGCACTGAGAAACATCAGTGTCCCACGCTGCCTCCGTCCAACATCAAGTGACACAATAGCGCGTGAGCTTCATGTCTTCTGCGACGCATCAGAGGGAGCGTTCGGAGCAGTCGCTTATCTCCGTACGACCTCACCAGACAGCACGCATCACTGCTCGTTCATCATGAGCAAGACACGAGTTGCACCGCTGAAGAGACTGTCGATCGTCAGACTGGAGCTGCAGGCAGCAGTGCTCGCAGTGCGCTTGGTGGACGCGCTCCAAAAGGAGATACCAGATCAAGTCAAGAAGGTCACCTACTGGAGCGACAGCCGGGTCGTCCTGCAGTACATCAGCAACGAGAGCAGACGATTCCATACATTCGTCTCAAACAGAGTGGCAGAAATCCACGACCTGTCAGACAAAGGTCAGTGGCGTCACTGCCCAGGACGACTCAACCCAGCCGATCTGTGCTCCAGGGGTGAGACAGTGAAGGAGCTCGCCGACAACCCTCTCTGGCTATCCGGCCCAGACTTCCTCCGAGGCGACGAAGAAGGGTGGCCAGAGCAGCTTCACGTTCAGAAGCTGGCTGAAGAAGACGTAGAAGTGAAAGTTGGAGCCTTCGCCACAGTCACGGTGAGGGATCCAAAGACAGCACTGCCGACACCGAGCAAATTCTCGTCTTGGACAAAATACAAGCGCACGGTGGCCTGGATCCTGCGCTTCCTCCGCAACTCGAAGCTGAAAGGCGAGCAGAAGCGACAGCAAAACCTAGGCCCACTGACCGTGTCAGAGCTCCATGACGCGGAGAAGACCATTCTCCAGATGGTGCAGGCGGAGGCCTACAGGACCGAACTGCAGCAGTTACAGGCGGGTCAGCAGCTCAACAAGAAGAGCGGCATCGCCGATCTGTCACCAATTCTGGACGCTGATGGCATCTTACGAGTCGGGGGGCGACTAGAGAATGCCCCACTGGACGAAGACGCTCGCCATCCCATTCTACTCCCAGCAGGTTCTGATGTGGCGAGGATGATCATCTACGAAACGCACCGTCAGCTCATGCACGCCGGCGCAGAACACACCCTGAACGAAGTTCGCCAGAAATTCTGGATTCCGAGGGGTCGTTCGCAGGTAAAACGAGTCCTTATCGACTGCGCCATCTGTCGCAAGAGAAGGGCGAGACCTCAGCCTCCAAGAATGGCCGATCTTCCCGCTGACCGGTTTAACACCTCCCATCCGTTCAGCTTCGTAGGGATCGACTATTTCGGGCCGCTAACAGTCAGGCGGTTCCGCAAGACGGAAAAAAGGTACGGCCTGCTGGTGACGTGTCTGGCCACGCGAGCCATTCATCTGGAAGTGTCCAACAGCCTGGATACTGACAGCTTCCTGATGGCCTTCCGACGGTTCGTGGCACGCCGAGGTCGTCCAAAGAAGGTTTTCTCCGACAACGGAACAAACCTGAAAAGCGGTGAACGTGAACTCCGAGAGGCACTAACACAGTGGAACCAGCAAAAGATCTCTGACGAGTTGAGCCAGCAGCAGATCGAATGGTGTTTCAACCCACCAGCCGCGAGCCACATGGGCGGCATATGGGAAAGAATGATCGGCGCAGTCAAGAGAGCGCTATCGGTCGTGCTCGGCGGCGAGGTGACAACAGACGAGGTGCTGTCAACTGTCTTCTGCGAAATAGAGAGCATGATCAACAGCAGACCGCTGACACACGTCACAGACGATGTGAGAGACCTGACAGCTCTCACACCGAACCATTATCTCCTGGGGAGGGGAAGCCGTTGTCTTCCCCCTGGAGTCTTCAGCAGCCAGGATCTGCACTCCAAAAGAAGATGGAGGTACGTTCAAGCACTGACGGACCATCTCTGGCGAAGATGGAAAAGGGAGTACCTCCATACCCTGATCCACAGGAGAAAATGGCAAGCTGACCAACGGAACCTAGCAGTCGGCGACGTGGTGCTGCTAGCAGAATCTGACACGCCCCGAGGTCACTGGCCGCTGGCGCGCGTGCTGCAAGTGTTCCCGGGGCCTGACGGCCGAGTCCGTGCCGTACAGCTCAAAACAGCGACAGGTGGTACGTATACCCGGCCTGCCACGAAGGTGGCGCTTCTGGAACTTGCTCCGTCGCCTCCTCAGCCATCTCATTAGCCGACCGAACGCAAGCAAGAAATGGCGCTGGCTGACGAAGGACTGACCAGTCAGAGCCCCTGAACCAGTTAAAGTAAGGAAGGCTGTTGTGCGTGTACGTGCTTACTGACGCACTCACTATTCATCCGTGTTTTGCTTTGTGAATATGAGCCTCGTAACTCGCGCATAACGGCCGTTCGTGTTTGGTAGTTTATTCGATTTAGGCGTGTAAATCGTACTTGTTTGAACGTCTTTGTCGGTGATCGTGTCATTTTGTGTTCTCCCTGTGGTCAAACACGGGGGTGGAGTGATGTCACCGACGAAAGTGTTCGGACCAACCCGCGCTACCGCTGTGCCGCCGTGATAGCCGGCCGGCCGCCGTGACACCGCGGCGCCGCCGCCGCTCGCTGCAGCCGTCCCGCCGCCGCACCGCCGTCACCCCGTCCAGACTCAGGATGAGTTGTGAGGCATTGTGCAGGGCGGGGCCGCGAGCAGACGCGGCCGGTGGTCGGTACGCGTGCCGCCGACGCTGCCGAGCCGCAGCAGCGTCGCGGCCGCCACCGAGACCGAGATATAAATTAAAGACACGTCGTTTTAAGGCACGTAGGCCGCCAAGCTGGCGCCTTCAGCCACCTCCCCGCTGCAGTGCAAGTTCGCACTCGTTTTGCACACGTCTTAAGCATTGCGTATAAAATGTGGGTCACGTACGACCCCGGCAGAGTCTCACTTCGACCGTCGCGCTGTGCGCACGGACTGATCTGCCCCGCTCGACGCCCCGCGGGACAGAGTACAGAAGCACGCGCGCAGACCGACTCTCCTGCGCGCAGCCGCGCCCGGCGGGGCAGTGTTAGTGCTTCAGATTGTACAGCGAAAGTGAATTGTGCTCCGTGTCTGCGTGTTTCATCTACCGGTTTTCTTCACAACTGCTTCCGCTTCTTGCTTCGCGTATACTTCAATAAATCCTCTACGGGAAATCTTCACGTCTATCTACTACTGAAAATCGCCGATCTTGACTTAGCCACTGCGTGAGTTTGAAATGCATGCACTCTAGTCAATACAGGACAGCATGCTAGAGCTCTCGCCTTTGTGCCACCGCCAAGCTTGTCGTGCACATGTTGCCGACTCTAATTGAGTCGAAATGAGATCAAATGACTCCATTGTAGCGGTGCCACGCCACGGTAGACATGTGCGATGACGCGCCGTTTTTCCATTGTGGTCAGTGCGACGGATGACGGCGAATTCCCACACTGATAAAATGGTTTGTGCTCGCCGAGACAGGCGGTAATTCTGACACATTGTTCCTAAACTTCCTCTTTAATTAGCCAATTTGTTTTTGACGGAATGATTCCATAGCAGCGTCAAGTCCCCTAAGGCTCATTGAACAGTTTTTTTTCTCAATGTGAATTTGAAAGGGAATGCTTATATATCGTTTAAGAATGGGCGCTGACAGCCGCGCAATAGTTGTCACCGACCCCTAGCGCAACTCTTTGGCATACCGACTAGCTGTCACACAGACGGCGGGACTAATACACAGGACATTGCATGGCTAGCTACTCGTACGTTAAAGTCGACGTTTCAACCAAAGTGTCAGCGTTTCTGTCACCGTTTCAGGAGCTTTCGGTTCTGGAGACACCGTTTCGGTTCTGGAGTGTTTCTCACCATTTCTCCCGAGTTGTAGGTGATCCTGCTGAGGAGGCAAGTGTTGGCTGGCCGGGCCGGCAGAAACTGGCGGTCCTGAACCCTCCGAGCTGATGCGACCACTGCGAACACAGAGTATAGTTATATTGAGAAGCCTGTTAAAACACATGCATCATGGAAGAACACAGGCGTCACCATGTATAAAATGTTATGTTACCGTTTCTTTATGCCAAGTTGTGTAACTTATGACTAACTTATGACTAACTTATCTAGTCATAGGACATGCCAAGGACTGTGCGCCAGTTCTTTTGTGTTTACCTAATCCTCTTGATGAACTTGCGTTTAATAAAAAGGTAAACGGACGTTCCTTCCACTAGGAGTCCTAACGATATCATTCTGAAAGACCTTCGCAAAAAAATCATAACGTTTCAGCGACGCTTTGGCACCGTACCATTCATTGTTCTTTATCCCAACTTTTGTTATGAAATCAGGCTCCATTGTTACCATTCATGGAAATAATTTATGATTCAGCGAGAGAAAATTATAAAGATGATGCGCAGGTAACAACTTCACGCTACCAAGGCCAGATCGCCCTCATTTAAGAAGGAGAGAGAGAGAGAGAGGGAGAGAGAGAGAGAGAGAGGGAGAGAGAGAGAGAGAGGGAGAGAGAGAGAGAGAGGGAGAGAGAGAGAGAGAGAGAGAGAGAGAGAGAGAGAGAGAGAGAGAGAGAGAGAGAGAGAGAGAGAGAGAGAGAGAGAGAGAGAGAGAGAGAGACCATGATAACTACCAGACCATTGCCCCGAACCGCTCTCAGCTGTCTCCTCGCCCCTCTCGCCGTGTGAAACCGTCCACATTGAGGGCAACGATGTCACTCTCCGTACCTACAGACCAGACTCTCGTAATGTGACAATAACGCCTGTCTCTCTCCGAACAAAAGTTGACCGGAGTATCGGGGCCACACCGGCGGAGATTTCACCGGCAAATGCTCAGCCAAGTGAGGCGACCGACCGGTGAAAATCCGACCATCTCTGCTCCCCGAGGCACTTTGTAGGTGTTCCCTGACGTATTCCGTGTTCCAGTTCGGCCCCAGATGCGCTACTGAGATTGTTCCGGTCCGGCGGAACAGACGCCTCGCTGGATTTCGACGGTGTATAGGAATGTGATGAGTGAATGACAAATGACTGGGCGATCATTTACAAACGGAACATGATAAATGAGCCGTTGGAGGACGGGTGATAAATGACTTTGGTTGTGTTGAGCGCTACTCGTATTCCAGTGCCGGGAATCACAGCAATGAATGGTATATTTACTTATTCATTATGCTACGTTTGCACCTTATCGGAGGGGTACGGCATGGAGATCTTCCACTTACTTGCAGACTCTGTTTTGAAGAAAATGCTAAAATCACTGCATTTTTATGTCTTTATGTAAGGCGACGGTAGCCGTTTTCACGACGGCCATCTGGTACACATTTGGTGCACATCTGGTACAGATTATGTATGTGCAGATTTGGTCAAATCAGGTTCAGTGTGTCTCTTAGCAGCTATCAGCTAGGGTTGCACTAATTGGTTACATGCCTGCTTTGTCATATTATCATAGAGCATCATCGATTAAAACACTGAAATAAATTCATAAAACGAAGATATTTGTTGTAAAAGAAATTAGGTGCAGATTTGGTCAGGTGCATTCGCCGGATAGCCCGTCGTGAAAACGGCTAGTTCCACAGGCCTGTGAATCCAGCAGCTTTGCGACGCCTTTCGCAGCAGTTATCCGCGTTTAAAGTACCTGCTGGGTTAATTATGAACGGACAAATTCCCACGCTGCCGGAAATAAAGATGGATGCCACCGGATGTGGGGTAAGACAGCCGGAAGTGGCAGAAACGGGCATAGAAACCGCATCTTTTGTCGATGCTGAGGTGGAGAAAAGGCGACAAGTGGACAGATTGGCCGAGATAAAATCAAAAGTGGGAAGTCTGTTGTGACTTGAGGGCAGAGCTTGAGTTACAGTGACGGGTAAGTGCGGGGCATAAATGCTTGTGAAGCGTATAGTTCAACACGAACGAAGGCCGATTGACACTTAAAACCATCGGTGGAAGTTATCGAAAACATCAATACTGACTTCTTCTGATGTCATCCGATGATATCGACCAATGCACCAACATATAGAGCGGCCACAACACATCCAATATCAGAATGAGAACGGACAAGCCTGGTGGCCTCTGAAAGTATCACTAGTCGACCGAGACATAACAAAAATTAGCGGAATGATTTCACACGGGATTTACTCGCAGTAGAAAACTGGCAAGTCGAGTATGTCAGTCGTCTTGCTTGTTAGCAGATCGAGATTTGTGTCTTACCGGTTGTTCACAATAATAAAAGTTTTAGCTTGCCGAGCCATTTTTGGCGGTAGTTTTGGAGAGAGTATGTTATGACATGACAGACGGACAGCGATGAAATCTTACCTATAGCTTACTATAGTACTTTTGTATCATTTTTGCGAAGTTTGTATAATTGTGAAACATTGTGAAACACAGTGATCAAGGTCGTATGTGACCGAAAGCTTTGTGTATTTAAAATAAATATCGGTTGGTAATCTTGAGTTTCTTGAGTTGTCGTTAACCCCCTCTTACTATAGTACCAGCATAACGCCTTTTGGGGCGACTAACAGAGCGAGCGAGAGGGTGGGCCTTGCACGTGCGAAATTGCGAGGGGTTACCTCCAACTGACTTGTGCACGGCACCCTACTAACTGGTCTCTAGCGATGTGCCAAATTTGGGCACAATCGGCCCAGCCGTTCTCGAGATCTGGAAGCGGCACCCTGCACGTGCGCACGTGCAAAATGGGTCCCAACTGACTTGTGCACGGCACCCTACTAACCGGTCCCTAACCGTGTACCAAATTTGAGCGCAATCGGTCCAGCCGTTCCCGAGATCTGGAAACGACCCCTGCACGTGCGCACGTGCAGCAGCACCCCAACTCTGGCACATGTATACCTATGCAGTGCCTAGTGGGTGCCTACCTACATGCCAACTTTCAGCGCAATCGGCCAAGTAGTTACCGAGATATTGCAACAATTACAAAATTGACACCTCTTCGGTTTGCACGTGGCACGTGCATAAGGGGTCACCCACATGCATCGGGAATAGTCCAATACTTGGTAGAAGGAATGAAGCTACCCTACAAAAATTACCGCGTGTAAATCGGTCAAGTGGTTGCTGAGATATAAGCCTCGCAAAAGCGTGACCACGGCCGGCCGGCCGGCCGGCCGCTCATACTCAGAAATTTCCGTTAATCTAAGGAAAGACTACGCTCGCTTCGCTCGCTCCGTAACTACACAAATTGAGCCAACGCCGTTGCATGTTTTGCTCGTATAACAAAAGTAAGGATGACTAAGTTCATCCGTGCCAGTTGATCAATGAGCATTCTCCCACCAGTGCCACCTTAGCATTGATATTGCAAAACATTTATCTTTGCCTTATATCTGAGTAAACGTATGCAAATGTGGGCGAAGTGCGCACGCAAAGTGAATGAAAGGCACTAGATTTATCATAAGCGAGTCAAAACTGGACTTCAGCACATCGCTCGGTGATCGCTTCCAAACGCTTCGTACCTAATGCATGCAGTGACCCGGAAATGATCAGCATTATCTCAGTGAAATGACACAGTTATAAGCACTGCCAGATCAGAATGCATACATGTAGACACCTAACACATTCTGGACGCGTGAGTCCCAGGACCGTTCCTTTCTCCCCTGTGTTTGCACGTGGCCTATGGACTAGGTTGGTTGTTTGAGAAGCTCGCCTGCAGTTTGAACTCGTGACTGCAGTGACCCGAAACCCCGCAACGGTGCAACGGAGCTTACTGGCTCGATGGGACGGGGAGAGAGAGGGAGGGAGAGAGAGAGAGAGAGAGAGAGAGAGAGAGAGAGAGAGAGAGAGAGAGAGAGAGAGAGAGAGAGAGAGAGAGAGAGAGAGAGAGAGAGAGAGAGAGAGATCAGGAAAAGCTGAGATTAAAAGGTAAGAAGAACTTTTGAAACGATTTAACCTGAATCGACTTTTCTCATATTTTCTCGTATAGTTTAAGCGCTCACGCTATTAAGATCACGCTATATAAGAGCTTCAATTTTAGAAATAGGTTGGTGTTAAGTTGTCAATCCCTAAGCATCATCTTCTTATGCTCTTATCATCGAGATCCCTGAACAGGAAAAGTGAAGTTAATTAATTTGAAGAATTGATGGTTGCCATTTACCTATAGTTCGTTTTTTTTCAAAAGGACGCTGGCTCCAAGTATGTTTTTCGAACAAGCACGTGTTTTAGCGAGCAAAACGAGCAAAAACTGAACCTGAGAAAATCGAACGTCGACTAATTTTAACATGTGATTTCTTCCCGATAATTTCCATATGTGCGTTTTGGAACCATATATGAGAACAGTGGTGACGTCATACTGTCGAACATGTATTGCAATGTAGCTTATAACTATCATGGACGGAACTGCTTACTCGATTATAAGCTCGGCAACAGTGAAAAACTAAGTTTCATCCAAATTCGTTGACACTTGTCCCATTGCACGGACGTTTGGGTGCCTGCTGCCACCAGTGACGTCATCATAGTATGTTCATTTTTAAGAAACAATTTCCAGCTACTTACCGTGCACAATTTGAAATCGGTTATTTTTTCGGTAAGAAATTCTTCGCCAGACACTGAAGCTGCCTAAACTCACGTGAGAGCTTCGATATTGAACTTTGAGCCAGCGTCCTTTTGAAAAAAAAAAAACGAACTATAGTACATGTCGTGATGGCCGATGAGCAATAATAATGAACAGAACGAGTAGCACCTTTTGAATAGGTGCATCGTTTGCTATTCCGGTACGGATGAAGTTCGGTCTGACGAGATAAAATCTGAGGTGGACTGGTCTAACATGACACCGTCACCAACTTGTTCGGCTATTGTGGTGACATCATGGATGAAAGCTAATGAGACTCGGCAGCAGCCTGAAGGGACTCAATATTGACCTGATCTGACCTGAGCAGACCTGACCAATCACTGGCTTGAGCTGACCTGACTCAACACTAACCCGATATTGACCTGACCTGACCTGACCCGACCCAACACTGATCTGACCTATCGCTGACCTGATGTGACAGTCGACTGACCCAGTGTGGCCAATCGCTGACGTAAACATTGAACAGACATATTGTCTTGACCTCAAAGTTGACATTATCTGACCTGAACTGGCAGTTGGCAATGATCTGTCCTGCCCGCAAATGACCCAACCTGACACTGACTGACCTGCGAGAACGACCATGAGCGCCACCGACACCAATCCAAGCCTCGCCGACGCCATTCTGCTGCCTTCTCTTCCCCGTTCTTCCAACTGAAGCTTCAGTGATCTGTGGCGGTGTCCTGTTCGGGAGTCCTTGGTGCTGGCAGTCGAAGTAAAGTTGGACAGCCGACTGGGCGAGTCGACGGCGTCGGGCGGTCTGGCGGGGCTGGAACGTCGACCGTCGGGCTGCTCCACCGTCCAGAGTCGGCCGTCGACTGACGGGCGAACGTCGGCGACCGCCCGGCCGTCGGCACACAGTCTGTATGTGTGTCTGTGTGACCGGCCGCTGCCGGCGGGCGGGGCTTTCACCACGCAGAGGCTCGACTCTCCGGCGACTGCGCCAACCAGCTGACCGGTCCGTGCGAAATTCAGCCGCCTGGAGTCCAAATCCAGCCGTCTGGACTTGGAGTCAAAATCCAGCCGTCTGGAGTCCAAATACAGACGTCTGGAGTCCATTGGAGGCTGAATTTCTTTAGATCAGGGCTCCGATTACATATTCATCAGCAGAGTGGCGCAGTGGAAGCGTGCTGGGCCCATAACCCAGAGGTCCGTGGATCGAAACCACGCTCTGCTACGTTTTGATTGAATTACCCCTTTTAAATCGATAAGATACAATACAATGCAATACAAATTTATTATGTCCCTCCATTACATGGGTTTTGTGGTGACCACGTCGTATACATGCGAAAACACATCTGGCTAAAACACTGCAGTAAAACTGGATAGAAGTGAAACCACAGAGTAAAATACACATCTAGACATCTTCCGTTACACTAACCAGTCGACCACACCTACTGTTGACGCGCTCCTGAGGACTCGTTCCAGTGCTGGCTGGCGCGAAACAAAAATGCTGGGCATCATGACTTGGCATGAAGATAGCGTAAAAGGTAAAACCGTAAACCATCCATGCATCTGCAACGGTCAGATATCATTTTGTCGTGGGAAACAATTTATATCAGCCGGAGGGCCATCCCATACATGCAGGGGAGGGGACACCCATACACGGAGGGGGCAGTTGGAGAAGACGCATCATCGTCCCACAGTACTGTATTCATCGCGGCTAATAGGTAGGTATAGTCGACTACAGAATGATGTTCCACAAGTGGAAGTGGTTCCACAAGTTTCTCAGAAGCTGTCAGTTGACCGGAGCGCTAAGTTGTGCCGTTTGAGTTTTATTCACGATATTCACGATCAGTTTGAGTTTTATTCACGTTTTATTATAATTATTGTGCCGTTTATCACGCAATTAAGCATGTCGATTGACTTGTGAGCATTGGGAGTGGGACAAAGCTATAATTTGTGAACTCAGCCCGTGTGATGCGGCACAGCCTACCACTGCAGGCAAATAATTGCCTGTGAAAAATGGGTCATCATTCTGCAGTCGACTATACCAATCGTTCCATCCAAACTGGTCAAAACGTCCTCCCTAGCAGAGCGTGGTTTCGATCCACGGACCTCTGGGTTATGGGCCCAGCACGCTTCCACTGCGCCACTCTGCTGACATAATAGAAAAGGAAATGCTCCTCGTGCAAAAATAGAGCGTTCAACAGACATTTTACCTGGTGTTATTGTTTTATGTGCTGTTCGCTGGAAAATTTTTACGAAAACCCGAACATAAAAGTCATCTTCCCTCCTTTTAACTCTGACCTGGAGGCTGGAAAACTACCTACATTGTGAGCAGTTTGATCGATGATGGATGAATCAATGACCTTATTCATAGGTATTAGAGATGTCAATCGGATACCAACTTTTTGGTATACCGATACCAAACCGATACCAAATTGGGATTGGTATTTCAATCCTAATGTTTTCGGTATTTTGTTGGTAGGTACCTATTGTGAATCCTCACTAATGTATAAGAGGCTGCGAATTCGGTAAAACGTTGGTATTTCCTGTATATTCCCAAGCTGGTTCGGTTTCGGTATTTTCCAATGGTTTTGGTTGGTAGTTGGTTTGGTATCGGTATTCCGATTTTCTGTAATTGACATCACTAATAGGTATAGGTATGCCCGATGCCGCGTAGTGATCGACAAGCTTTCAATAAATAAAAAAATAGACGAAAATTTTGTTACACCAGATCACAAGTGCCCCTGAAAACGGGGCCAGCGTGTGCAATCATTAGCCCCGTTTACATAGGAATTGTTGCAAGATAATAGCTCCGCTCGTTATGTCGCACAAGATGCCAGTGGTGCTTTACAATTTACAAAATTATCCCCTCTAAATATGCAAAGATCACTGCATCGAAATTATCGTAAAATAAATTGGCTAGAGCCTCGTCAAAAATGTCATGTAAACGCGACTATTAATTAGCAATGCCCCACACAGGGGCGGTCGCAGACTTGGCGTTTGGGGGGGGGCAACTTAGCGAAGGGGCCCCTGCACTGACCCGGGGGGCCCGGTGCTAGCTTAAAGGGGCCCACAGGCGTAGGATGCAAAAATCCAGCCATGGCCGGGGAAGCGGGGGGGGGGGGGGGTAAGGAGCGGCACCCGAGCGGAGGCTCATTGCCAAGCTTTGAGGGTGTACCATGTCGAAAAGGTAAGTTCATTTTGTTTTGAAGCATTGGTAATGTCTATAATTCACGCAACTGTGAATTGACTACCGCAAAAAGTAAAACCGGCTAACTTAGCCATTTTCGAAGATATCGTGCTAAAACTTTTAACAGTGGGTCATCGGTATGTGTTCAGTCACATGTGTTCCGTTTCTTATTTTTTACTTGAGCACAAATGTAAGTTTGGAAGACCATCACAGTAGCAAATGCATCGAAAGATGGATAGTAGTGGGCAAAATATCCTGAATTTGTCGTGCTGCAGCGAAAGTAGTGTGGATGAGAAAAGGTTTTTTTCCAGGTTATTGTGGGTGCAGAATACATTGTCTGCACCCACTGGAGAATTATTGTTGGTGCAACTGAACCCACTGCACCCATGGTTCCTACACTGATAGGCCCATCGATAGCGCTTCGGCGATACCTATCGCCTAGAGGCTGCAATGGGGCCCTTAGAGTACGGTGTCAGACCCCCAGAGGCCGGCGTTGGACCCAAGGGTCAGCGAAGGGCCTCAAAGGCCCCAGGTAGGGCCCCAGAGGCTGATGTGGGCCTTCAGAGGCAAGTGCGTGACGCCCAAAGGTAAGTCTTGGGCCCCCATAGAACATAATAGGGCCATCAGTGGCCGGTGTAGAGACCTCATAGGCCAGTTGGGGGCATATAGAGGCTAGTTTGGGGCACCTCAGAGGCTAGTGTGGGGCCTCAGCTGTCGGTGTGAGGCCCTTACAGACCGGTATGGGTCCTCAGGAGCCAGCATCGATCCTTTAAAAGCCAGTACTGGGCCCTCAGAGGCACATAAGGGTCAGTTTAGGTCCCAGAGACAGAAATGGGACCATCAGAGGCCGGTGTGGAACCTTTAGAGGCCCGTTTGGACCCTTAGAGGCCAGTTTAGGGCCCTCAGAGACCAGTACAGGGCCTGCAAAGGGCAGTTTGAGACCATCAGAGACCGACTTGGGCACTCAGATGCTAATGTGGGTCCTTACAGGCCAGCATGTGGCCCTCAGAGTTTAGCGTGGGGCCCTAAAAGACCGGCATGGGTCGGCGTTGGACCACAGAGGCCAGCCTCAAAGGCCAAAGATGGGCCCTCAAAGGTGATGCGGGCCCTAAGAGGCCGGCATCGGGTGTTCAGAATCCAGTGCGGGGCCCTCAGAGGCCAATGTGCGCCCTTACAGCCCAGCATGGGGCTCTCAGAGGTCAGAATGGGACCCTGAAAGACTGGCATGGGCCGGTGTTTAACCCCAGAGGCCAGCAGAGGGCCCTCAAAGGCCAAGATGGGCCCTCAGAGGCCGATGCGGGCCCTTAGAGGCCGGCATCGGGTCTTCAAAATCTAGTGCGGGGCCCATAGAGGCTAATAACTATGTGTCCTTACAAGCCAGCAAAGGGCCCTCAGAGGTCAGTGTGGGGCCCTGAAAGACCGGCATGGGCTGGCGTTGGACCCCAGAGGCCAGCGGAGGGCCCTTAAAGGCGATGCGGGCCCTTGGAGGCTGGCATTGTGTCTTCAGAATCCAGTGCGGGGGCCTCAGAGGCTAATGTGGGTCCTTACAGGCTAGCATGGGGCCCTTAGAGGTCAGTGTGGGCCCTAAAAGACCGGCATAGGCCGGCGTTGGACCCCAGAGACCAGTGGAGGGCCCTCAAAGACCAAGAGAGGCCCTCAGAGGTCTATCCGGGCTCTTAGTGGCCGACATCGGATCTTCAGAATCCAGTGCGGGGCCCCCAGAGGCAATTAAAGGCTAGTCTTGAGACATAAATGAGGCCACCAGAGCCTGTGTGAGGCCCTCAGCCGCCGGTTGGGCCCCTGAGACCGGTTTAAGGGCCCTCAAAGGCCAGTGGAGGGCCCTCAGAGGTCAACGTGGGTCCTCAGCGGTCAATGTGGGCGCTTGACCGCCACTGAAGGGCCCTCAGATGTCAGGTTAGGACCCTCAAAGACCGGTATCGGAGCTGTTAATAGCTGGCGTGGGTTTCTCGAGCCTCGTGACAATCGAATACGGGCCAGGGCCCCATACGCCCATGGGGGCCCATCGGCTGTTTGGGGGGGGCAAATGATATGATGGCCCCCCCTAATTTGTCTATGGGGGGGGCATGGCCCTGATGGCCCCCCCCCCCTGCGACCGCCACTGGCCCCACAGTCTGATACATTACAAACCAAGTGACAGCTGACGCCAAGGCCTGGATGTTTCCATAGCACGGCCACAGTGTAACAGCTTACGGATCGGCTAGCGGTGTGTGGTTTTGGCGCTGGGGGGACTGCAACGCAGTGTTAGTGTTATTCGTGAGGCAGACTGTACCGCATGGCGTAGCGGCCATGCGGGTTAGCCTACCTACGCATTTATTGAGACAAACGGAATACGTATGTGGATTGAGGAATATGTTGAAAGCTAAACAACAGATAGGTTGTACATCAATCTGATGTTCAGTTTATTGTTCACTTGCTCATCCATTTGACCTTTTCGACCATTCTTTTCATGGAGGCTTTACCAGTAGCGGCGGAACACCTTCAATTAAACGGGGGGGGGGGGGGGGGGGCACTGACGACTTTTGGTCCCATTCTTAACGTCCATAGGGCTAATGTTAAAATGCCCAAATCAAAGGGGAGCACGGTGCCCTGGTGCCCTCCCCGTTCCGCCGCCTATGGGCTTTACCTCAAACCTCTGAACCTTACAAGAGCCTAGCCTGTTCCCGGTATGAAGGTCTCAACTATCACAATAACTAGAATATACAGCACCCGAATCATGAGGCATTGAATATACCTATACCTGCAAAGTTGCAGTCATTGCAATGAGAATTCGGCCTCCTTTTCAGATTATGCTTCCACCTGTTATGCAAAACATCCAGAACCGTTTATATTTATCGGACCATTGGAGCGCAACAGTGCATCTCGGGACTCGTAACCCGAACCGGTCGTGTTTGACCAATAAACCCGTGTGCTCCGTGCACCGTGCATGCTCTCACCTTATTAGCTGCACACAGTGTACACAGTGCACACAAAGTGGCTAGTGCAGGGGTGCACACTGCCGTGTTGTTCGTTCCGGGTCGAACGCATCTGAGGCATCGGTTTCGGTTCATCAGACATCGTCTTACAGGCGTCAATGTTCGAATATGTGTTTGGTCTCATTTGGTACTTCTTCTTGCAATGTATGTGCATATTTCTCCGAAATAAGTGCTTGTTTGAGCCTTCTACTTGTAAATTAGAATAAGTATCGGTGCACGATCGACTCTATTTAGGTATGTTTCGCCAACGAACTAAGTAGCACAATCAGTCGAGGCTCATCACGGAAATGTGTTAAGCACGACTTCGGCTGTTCGTCATATACATAGATGTTTGATCGAATATTGATCATTGGACATTGAATACAGAATAATTATTATTTTTATAAGAGGAATTATCATTGTTGTATAATATACCTAATTGGACATTAAGTTCGAGTTCGAGCTTGAGCTGGGCTGAGCTAAGCTGGGCTGAGCGTGGGCTAAGTGTGAGAGAGCAGGGCAAACTGAAAGGTACCAAACATAGGCGGCGGAACGGGGGGGGACACCGTGCCCCCTTTGATTTTGGCATTTTAACATAAGCCCTATGGGCGTTGGACCAAAAGTCGGCAGTGCTCCCCCTCCCTCCTTAATTGAAGGTGTTCCGCCGCCACTGGTACCAAATGAAGAATCAGGCCAAGCCAAAACTCAATCAAATACGCTCCAATTTCTCACAATGCTCTATAGCGCTGCGCCTGGCACGGCCGCTGGGCTCGAGCTCACGCTATAGTACCGGCTATAGCGCCACCTCCGCTGTCCAGCAGGGCTGCACGGTTGTCTGAAGGTGTGATAGAGGACGCCTACAGCGGGCGGTAGGGCAGCGTCCGCAGCTCACCAGCGCGAGTCGCCAGCACACCGTGGCCACCGCGCTGCAGGCTGGGCTGATAAAACGGCCATCATTTATCAAACAGCCGCACTCCTGTTTCAATGATATACTGGCCACGAAGGAATGAAGTATGTGTCATCCTCCCGCTCTCATCAGGACCAACTTATTTCCGTGTCCGGACTGACGAGGATCCCACCCAGGCAGCCGGTAAGAACGACACCCCAATAAGGGCATACGTCGTATTCCTCCAGGGACAGGGTGACCTTTTAAATGGCTGGCATTAAATGGCATCCTCCCACCGTGACATTCCTGTTATTGCAGGAAAATTTACCTACTGGAATATCTACCTACTGTCATACTCATACTCATACTCATACTCATACTCATATATTTCGGTTACATCCAAGAAATTGGGTTTTCAGTAAACCACGTCATACATTCAGTAGTTCAAAAACTCATACCTATACATATAGGACAGATTCTATAGAGGTTAAAACACACCACACATGATAAACCAACTGACCACATTGACCTAGCGCAGCCGGATTAAACATGCCGTTTCTTAACCTTTTTACGGAACGCCGCCAAACCGGTGCAGCTTCGAACAGTCGCAGGCAACTCAGTCTACTGTCGTAAGACCAAAAGGGTCCAACCGCCGATGCGAACAACAACAACAGCGCATAACGTCTGAGAAGTAGGAACTTAAACCTAAGCTACGGCGAAATATGCCCATGGCCCAACTATTTTCTCAGCCTTCCAAACCTCTGATAGCTCACGGAAATGTGTGCTATAACGAACGTATTTAGTATAAAACGAATAATAAATTCGATGGCGCATACAACGCTTACAAACGGTTATTCTATTTCGGGAAAAGCCAGTCGGTAGGTACATTTTGCTTTACGACAGCACTTCCTCGGAAGGCTGCACAACATACCTAAACATCGCGTCGGTCCTTTATCTATGTTACGAAGTAAAACGTGCTTAATGCTAGAATAGCCAGGCCTAACCCGCGATAGTGTCCGTTCGCATTGCCAGCAAGTCAAAAGAAATCACGCAATGCCATACAAGATCACAATAGATCATGTCAAAGTGTCGTCTAAATCACACCACATGTGCCATCCGCACACATACGGTCGACGCGAGTGACATAGACGTCGCGTCGCCCGCGCCCCGGTGTCGCGGATGCGTCGGTTTCGCCGCGACAACCGGTGGTTATCCTCGACAGGTCTGCGTTCCAATGACCACCAGCTGCGACCTGCCAGCCGCCTTTGTTTGCTCTCAGTATAAATCGGCTGCGGTTTCGGAACTCAGCATCGTCCCCCGGCTCTGCGGGATGGCTGCCGTCGGCCTGCGCTCGGTGGCGGTGCTGCTGGTGGCGGTGGTTTTGGTCGCCTTAGGGGCGGCGTCTCCTCCGCCGAGGCCCGGTGGTCGAGGGCACCTGCAGGAGACCAGAGATGGGGGTCTGCGGGGAGGAGCTGAGATTGAGAGAGGAGGAGCTGAGATCCAGAGAGGAGGGCCGGAGATCGAGAGGGGAGGAGCTGAAATCGAGAGAGGAGTAGCGGAGATCGAGAGAGGAGGGGCTGAAATCGAGACGGCAGCGAGAAACGACAGGACCAACTCTGCGAGCTCCGAGTCGAGAGAACATGAAATGGACGCTCGTGGGACTCATCTTTCCTTCCCTCATCTTAACGAGGGACTGAAACTGGCTGGAGAAAATGACGATAGGAAACCGATGGAGGGACCCAAGGCAGAAGCAAATGACGCTAGGAAACCGCTGGAGGGACCCAAGGCAGAAGCAAATGACGCTAGGAAACCGATGGAGGGACCCAAGGCAGAAGCAAATGACGCTAGGAAACCGTTGGAGGGACCCAAGGCCCACGACTGGGAGGCCCGTCTGGTTGGGCGTTCGGACGACTTGCAGCCCAGAAGGCCAGCTTACGGCACCACAGCGAGGAAGCCAGCGCTCACAGGCTCTGGCCGAATTTCGAAGGACCCTGCGCGGGAGTCCACACTCGAAGGTCGAGGAGGAGCCGACATCCAGCCGCGTATCGAGCTGAAGCCTCACATCAAGCCTTTCGATCAGCGCGACTTGGCGGACGAGCCGACCTCGAGAAGCGACTACACCCTCCCCGTCGGGAAACACCAGCTCAAGTCGGACAGCTACCCGAACAACTACGCCGTCAACAAGCTCTCCACGTGGAACCTGCGCCCGCAGAGCGGCACGGCCAGCCTGACGCTGACCTGCTCCGATTTCCAGCTGGAGGGGCCGGCCTCCTCGCACGGCTGCGTCTGGGACTACCTCACCGTCAACGGGCGGCGGCGCTTCTGCGGCGCGGACGGACCGGCCGCCGTCACCGCCAGCTGGCTGCGCATCGAGTTCAAGAGCGACGCCACGGTGACGGACCGCGGCTTCAGCTGCGAGGTCGAGGTGCGCGACGGCTGCTGCGGCCGCAGCGGCGCCGGAAACCGCATCGTCGGCGGCACGGAGGTCAGCCCGGCGCACTCGTTCCCCTGGCAGGTGGGCCTGATGAACCCCAAGTACGGCACCGGGTTCGTCTTCTGCGGTGGATCGGTCGTCAACTCGCGGTTCGTCATGACGGCGGCGCACTGCACGGACGGCCTCCACCCGATCAACATCACCGTCGCTGTCGGGCTGCACGAGGTGGGCGGCACGGCCGGCGCGCGCGTCATCAAGGTCTCCGGTATCCGGCAGCACTCAGAGTACAACAGCGCGGCAGCGTTCGACCTGGACATCTCGCTGCTGGAGCTGGCGGAGGAGATCGCCTTCAGCGACAGAGTCCGGCCCGTGTGCCTGCCGCGCGGCGGCGACCTGTACGCCGGCGTGCCGGCGATCGTCTCCGGCTGGGGCACGCTGAAGTCGGGCGGCAGTCAGCCGGACGTGCTCCACAGTGTCACCGTACGCACCGTCACCAACGCCGAGTGCGCGGCCGCCTACGGAGCCTCCTCCATCACCGCGAACATGCTGTGCGCGGCCGAGTACGGGAAGGACTCGTGTCAGGGTGACTCGGGAGGGCCGCTGGTCAGTAGCGCCGGAGGCCGCGCCACGCAGATCGGGGTGGTGTCGTTCGGGAAGGGCTGCGCCGTCCCTGGCTATCCGGGGGTGTATGTTCGGGTGACGGAGCTGATGGGGTGGATCGACAAGACCGCCATGGACGGAGAGGTCTGCTGAGAGGGCTGGAGGGGCGCCTCGGCGGTCGGCCAGTGAGGACAGAGGCGCCTCAGCAGCCGACGATAGAGGACATTTCGCTGGACGGGACGCGAAGTTCTGCTGCGAGGGCCGCAGAGGCGCCTTAGCAATCGACTAGAAGCCGCACCTAGTTGACTTTGGCTGACCGAAGACGGTATTCGATGTGTTGGGTGTGCTCGCAGTCGCTAGTTTGACAGGAGTCGTGCTGTGCTTCCTGTGTGTCTCGTGTCTGTTTGTTTATGTTGATTTGCAGTCTGTTACCAAAATATATGTTCAGCAAGAGATTTGTTAGGATGTTCATTCAACATGAAAGTTAGCTGGCTAACGCAGGAAAACACGAATCGTTATATTACTCACTGGCTTTGGATTTTTTTCACTTGTTACATCCTCTTTATTCTCTATTATTATCACATCCTCTTTACATCCTCTATTTATTCGTTAGTGCGACTCATATTGATAAGAAAGTTTACCGTGGAAAACGAATAAGCGAATTATAGAAATCAGGCGACGTCCTCATGCACCTACTTGTTAGTGAATTCACATATGTATGTATGTACTTACAGCCGATACCTATTTGCTCGTCGTCGCTCAAGCAATTAACCCTAGAACGCCTAGGGGGGGGGGGGTTGTATCAACCCCTACCCCACCCCCTGAGTTTTTTTCGAAGTGCACGCTAAACGGCTTGTCGTAGCGGGCTGAAATTTTCAATACCCTCTGGGGCAACCTTTGCGCATCTTTTGCCGAAAAAAATTGATCGGGTCATGTCAGGTCACGGAGTTATGACGTCATAAGAGGTACAGCCTCCGGCCGACAGTTACCAAACGTGTGCGCCGAATCCCTAGGTTTTCTGCCGGTGATACCCACATTGTTTGATGGATCATGATGAAACTTCCCATGCATGTTGGGGCAAGCATTGGCTATCGTGTGGTGCAAGAAAATTGACCGGGTCAGGTCAGGTCACGGAGCTATGACGTCACAAGAGGAACAGCGTCCGGTACTATTTTTGAAAAGCGCCCGAACCACTATTTTGCTAATTCTTGTCACCTCAATGGGAATATGCAGCAATATTAGCTTCTATAGGGAGCAAATGGACCTCCCAAATCCAAAAATACAATCAGATTTCAAAAATTTAAATTTTGATTTTTCGAATTTCTGCCGCCGACTGTGACCTTGCTGACTTCCGGCGCTCCCAACGCGCCATTTTTAGAGCTAGGGAAACGAAATACATACCAAACGATAGAGAATTGATCAAGGAACACGATAGTGAAGGTTTCAAGTCGATATCTCCCACCGTTTTGCCGCAATCGCCGCGGAAAGTTGAAAAAGTTTGATTTTTTCGGAAAATTTGACCTTTGACCGGTCATAAGTAGGTCAAATGTTGACCTAGAACCAAAAAATATACCACCAATCGCGAGATCTCGTTGAGAGCAATCCGTTGGTTTTTTTCCGCTAAGCTCTACGACCTTCCGTTTCGAAACGCCAGGGGGGGGGGTCGTAACAACCCCCCCCCCTGGTCGTTCGTGTTATGAGAAATGGCCTGGTCGTGCGAGGGTTAATCTTCGGAATATATTGCCCACATGATTCCACGTGCTGGCATGCACCTCGTTAGCCCCGCTGATGTCAACGCTTCTAACAGCTGTCGCTCCGCAACACCCCAGGGTGTCCTGAACAAATACACCGTGATCCCACCACACAAATACACCCAGACGCTAAACCAGCAAATACCTGATCAGCCTGCAGCGAGCGGCCGTCTGAGCGTCCACCGTCCTAAATTATATTCGCCGTCAGCACGGTCGTAGGTACTGCTTTGTAACGGTGCGTCTGTTTATTTACATTCCGGTAACGTCATTTGAGGAAGTGGGCATTGTGCAATGTACGGGCCAAAGCGAAATGCGGACATTGGTGTCCCTCAGAGAGCTGTCGGCTCTTTATACGACAGAAAAACACGCTAAGATACCTAGTCTTAGTTTTCGGATTTCTTACGGTGATGTTACGAGGATCATATTTTTAAATTAGCTAAAAAAGTTACCGTATCCTCGTAGCTTTTAAAAAGCTCAAGCAAACACATGTTTATTAGGTAGGTATATGAACGAACATATTATCATAAACTGTGACCAACATGTTTTCTGCTTATTTTTACACGGGATAAGGTGATTATCACTTAACTTTAGCCTGACAAAGCTAAGAAATAACGTATTTTAAGTGCAACAGTTGTTGAAGCACGTGTCTCTATAGAAAACTTCCAATACGCCGGATATCTGTCAGAATCTTGGCCCGAGCAAGGCCCCACCCGAGATAATTTCTGTCAAATTTAAGCACAGGCAGGCTATCTCCAATGTCCAATGCACGTGTTCATTGCTTAAAGGCGCCTTAGCTCCGTTCTTTCTTAGGTTTGTCAGACTATAGGTACATAACTCAAATATAGGATTAGCTTCGCGTCGCTCGATCAGTACCGGTCAATTGAATTTGGGTTAGCAATAAATAATGTCTTCAGTGCAAGATAACGAGCGTTTTATAATTAAAACAACTAACAAGTAATACTTATTTGAAAAAATAGAGATAAGATCTATTCATATAAATAGTTCGTTTTTTAAGTTCGGCCCTCACTTTAAAGGGACTATCCCACCTTCTAAAATGTTGTTAAAACCAGTTAATTTGTGCACTGGCGGATCCAGACTTGCGTTTTGGGGGGGGCCAACTCATGCAGGAGCCAAACCTAGGGTACCCCCAAATCCTGTTTTCTCATCGGATTTAGGCCACTTATTTTTCGTCACAGCCCTGACACTATGAATTTTTTTTTTTAACTAAAAATAAAAATATATAAATGGTAGCCCACCTGACCCATGCCTTTATATTACTTTGTAAACACTTACTATTGTTTTGTCGACCAGTTAACCCGCTTCGAGTCAGTGCTTGGGTCCCTTTGCGGGCCGGGAGGTGGTAAAACGGGAGGTGGTAAAACGGGAGGTGGTCTAACTCGGCTCCTGGGCCAGGCACTGATTGAACTGTGCTTCATTATCGCTTGGGGGAGGGGGAAAACGGGCCACTTTAGGCCTCTGGGAAGGGGGCATGGCCCTAAATGCCCCCTCCCTGGATCCGCCAGTGTAAGAGACCATTGGAGCTGCAGTTGAGTACCTCAGACGTCAGGGTACGTCCTCAGATGTATAGGACTCGCATGGAGACCTCTTATGCTATAGTGGACTGAAAGGACCCAAAGGAGCCTGTCTAGGGCTCCCGGAGATAGACGTGGGCCCTCAGGAGCCCGCCAGAGCCCCCAATGAGGGATAAGTGAGGGATACCAAGTGCCTGCAATTGCATATTGCATAAGCCATAACGCCATTACAAATCAATATAATATGTACCAGTGGCAGATCCAAGGGGGGCCACATGGGTCATGACCCCCCTTGGTGCCCGGGGGCACCACAGGCTTGTCAGGGGCACCACCGGCCTAGCAGGGGCACTATCAGCCCGCCAGGGGCACCACAGGCCTAACAAGGGCACCACGGGCCTGTGAGGGGCCCCACAGGCTAGGCTTGTCAGGGGCACCCCAGGTCTGTCAGGGACACCAGAGACCTGCCAGGGGCGCCGCCGGCCTTGCAGGGGCACCATGGGCCTGTCAGGGGCACCAGAGGCCTAGCAGGTGTACCACAGGCCTTACAGGGGCACCTTGGGCCTGTCAGGGGCACCACAGTCCTGTCAGGGCCCAGGGGCACCAGCGGCCTAGCAGGGGCACCACAGGCCTGCCAGGGGCACCACCGGTCTAGCAGGGGCACCACCGGTCTCGCAGGGGCACCATGGGCCTGTCAGGGGCCCCACCGACCTCGCAGGGGCACCACCGGCCTCGCAGGCATCACGGCATCACGCAGGGACACCTTGGGCCTGTCGGGGGCATCACGGGCCTGTTGGGGGCTCTTTAGGCTTGTCAGGGGCACCACAGTCCTGTCAGGTCCCAGGGGCATCAGCAGCCTAGCAGGGGCACCCTAGGCCCGCCAGAGGCACCACAGGCCTGCCAGGGTCCAGGGGCACCACAGACCTACCAAGGGCACCACGGGTCTGTCAGGGGCACCTCAGGCTCCCGTGCCCCCCCCCCCCCCCCCGGATCCGCCAGTGATGCCACACCACGCCAAACACCGCCAACTCCCAGCTACCGCGCCATAAACACGTGCCAACAAGTCTTTTTTGAAGGTCGACTCCACTCGCGCAACTTTTGACTGACCCTCACTGCTACCATATTGCTTCCATATTATGCTGTGGAAAGCTTTACTTCACCAAGTGGCTAAAAACCTCCATCAAGCTATATTTTCTTAGCAATTTTTCTTACGTTTTGGGGGGGGGGGCCAAACAGGCCACTTTAGGCCTTTGGGGGGGGCCATGGCCCCCGTGGCCCCCCCCCCTGGATCCGCCAGTGAATTTGTGCCCGACTTTATAGATTGGATGACCAGGAACACGGTTCTGGCATTCATTTTTCATTAAACATCTTAGGCTTCCCATATTCCAAACACAAACTTTCAAATATGTGACGTCACAGCCCAAAATTAGCTCCTTCCCCAGGCCACATTACTGTCATAAAGCTGATTCTTTTTACTCTGTAGGCACCACAACAAAGTTCAGACCAAGTTTTAAGCGATTTTTCAACGAACAAACCCATCTAAATCAGAATGACTAAACGAGGTGACGTCACACTAACGGTCGCTCCATGTTGAAGATAGGGCCTTGTACAAGGCCCATTTTCAAATGAAGGGAACGAATTTCTTCAACACCAAGAGGCCGCGGGGGTTGCAACCTAGATAGATAGTGGTTTCTGAACCTCACCGCAAACTTGGCTATCTCAACTCAAACCCCATGTTAAAGGTGGGATAGTCCCTTTAAACATCTTTTTGAACACAGCACGAGAATGGGGTTGGGAACTCGATTTTTTAAGAATGCATGAAAATGATCAAACTATTTTCACAGAATTTATGGTGCATACCATTGCCTCATAAAATCAATAAGCTGAGAGAAATGGGGGAAGAAAGATAGGAAACTTGTTTTGAAAAGTTCTTGAAAAAGATGCTCTTGATGCTGTTACGTCACATGTCACCTTCTGCGGTTGACAAATAATGGCGCATCTGGCGCACCACAGATTACATGTTATATCAATGGGTGAAAGATGTTGTTTGCTTCACTCTGCCATTCGCGCTGTTTTTAACTTTAAATTATGCTAAAACATTTACGGATGAAATGTTCAGTGTCAAAAATTGATGTGTCTGCCGTGTACTATATTCCCACTTAACATGAG